CTTGTGGAGGATCGGAGGTGGACTTCTGCATGTTCAATCCGATGATTTTGCCAATCTGTTCCTGATTTTTTACAGATACAACATGACTTTTTCAGAAAATCGTCATTTCATGTGCTTCTGCTTCAGTTGCATTTCAGTGCATTTCACTGCGACTTCTGCTGATGTCACCACTTTCGTCCTCCAAAATTCAGCATTATCGGAGTTCCTGCCAAAAAGATATGCAAGTTGTAAATCAAATCATGACGTCGTGGGGGCTTCAGGTGGTTTGACATGGTTTGACGGCCAAGTTCGACTGCTCCGACCTGGGCCTGTTTGGACCTGTTTCCAAGTTGTTGTTTTTTTCCCCTCCAAACTCACCTTGAGTCATTGAGGCCAGTCATTTCTGGCCATCGGCCCCAACTCATCCGCATTTTTGTTGGCCCTTGAGGATCCAAAAACGCTTCCAGCGAGGGTCCATAGAAAAAGCCACCTGATTTTCAGAATCCAGCCTGGTAAAATCGGGGCACCCCCTCGAGCAGCTCAAACTTTGTTCAATCTGAAAGGGTCCCCAGCCGTTTCTCGCGAATAGATGGAAGATCAATGAAGATATAAAATGTCGAAAAAAATGGTCAGCTGAGTCAGCTAACAATAGCTAAAACACTCAGACTGATCAATGATGATCAATGTTCATGCTTGGGCTAGAACCATCTAGAACCTAGATTGAACCGATTGCATCAACAACGGTCGACCATGTAACAGTGCAGCCTGTTGGGGCCGCCCCCAGAATCAGGTTTCTCCCACGTTCTGCATCGAAAAATACAACTTTTTTAAAAGGGAACCGAAACCCGAAAGTGACGTGTTGCTTCAAAATACGACTTGTGTCCGAGTTTCTGATGAGATTCGGGGTCCCTCACATTGTCAATCTAGGATATCTATAATCTATAGTCTGGTGCATGTGTGGCATAGTGTGGCGTCTGTGCCCATGACTTCAAAAGTGCTGCTGATTTTGGTCGCCATGCTATTTTCACACATTGCTGACTCTAGGTCTTGATTGTGCTGTTGCATCATTTTACACCTACAGAAAGGTCCAAGGCATTTAAAGAAAGACCAAGAGCCCGTCAGGAAAAAAAAACGGGGCAAATAAAACCTCAAAAGACCGGACGCTCTGGGAGACGAAGGAAATCGGAAGTCTGTGACATTTTGTGACCCAAACACCACATCAAGCGCATCAAGGACCCAAGTGACCCTCTCGAAAAACCGATCTGGCCTGGCTTTCGAGGTCGTGTTCGCGCTTCTCTGAGTTCCGATCGTCCCCAGACGGCACGCCCGTACCTTTTCGAGCTTTCAGCGATGGCGGAGCTCAGGTCTAGCAGTTTACAACAGCAGCATGCTTCAGACAGGATCAGAGGTCAACACTGGAAAACTAGTGAAACTAGTGCAAGAAAGTCGGAGACTCAGAGCAAAAGACTTACATTGATCTTACAACATCTTGGAGGTTGGGCAAACAAGACTGTTTGAGATGGATTTCTTGACAGGACATTCCTGGCAAGAAGCTTCAAAGGGAAGTTTTATTCAAGGCTGAGGCTGAGGGAAATCAAAATGCGGAGAATGCGGAGAATATGTTCAATGTGTTCTCACCGTTGAGCTGCCTTCACCACACAAGAACCATCAAGAATCGAGACCGCAGTTGACAACCAGCCTGTGGACTTGTCTTCCCAGGCATTTGGCAGCAGCTGAACCTTCACGTCTAATGAGCAGAACCAAAGCAACACTGGATGATACTGAAAAGTCATTTCAGGAGCAATGGAATCAGAATGGAGTCGAAGACTATCAAGAGTTGAAGAGCTAGAGAAAGCCAGAGGTGTACAGTAGAATGTATGGCGATGTATAGCGAACCAAAAGCAATTGTGCTTGCTCTGACTTGCCTACTCCAAATTAATTGAGTTGCCAGATGCTTTGCAAGCAGCACAGACTAATTTTTCAGTTGGCCAGTTTGAAACCTTAAGAATGTACTTCCAGCTTCAGCACATGCTGGTTTTTCCCTCCAGGTCATCATCCCTGAGCGAATCAGCTTGACCTTTAAAAATCCGCCGAAACAATGGGAACCTGTCGAAATGTTTTCAGAGCACCACAGAGCAACAGAACACCCACTTGCTCACGAAAAACGTTTCGGAACGCCTAAACTAAGGACCCAGATTGATCTAGAGATATCTAGATTGATCAGGTTACATGAACAAAGAATAACAAAGAGAAATTCAGTGGTCTACTGCCGGTCACAATGCAAATTGGATACCTTTGCAACTAGCCACACCTTTGGCATCTCTTGGCCTCTCTTGGCCCCCGGGAACTTGTTGCATCACTTATCCCTTTCAGCTTAAAAACCAGACCATCACAGATCAAAGGACAACAAAAACCAAAAATATGTAGACTGCGGGGATCATCCAGATGCTCAGCCAGGCGCTTTAACGCAATTGAAAAGAACCATGACCTACCATGACCATCATCGACTTTACACATCCTATCACCACATTGGTTGAATTCTGGACTGTAAGGGAAGATCGCAATGCAAAAAAGGAACTTCATCATCTTCCTCATCTGAATGCGGCAAGTCATCCGGAGATACAAAGCCGGTGCCTCATGGCACTGGATGGCATCAAACTGGCAACATGTGGCAACATGTGGCAACCACAATCATCTCAGCGAGGTTTTCCATATTTGTCGCGAGTGTGAAACACAGATCCTTTCCAGCCATCTGACCCAGATCCAAAATATTCAGTAGCAACTGGAGTATCGAATCAAAAGCGATACATGAGTTTATCTTGTACGGACTGCGACGATCACATGCAAAACAAATACATATGAAAAATACATATCCACAATCTCTCTATATATATAATATATGTTCTGTAGGTATATTATATCTCTAGAGGTATACGTAAATATATGCTTTGGTATATGTAAATATATCAAGGTATAGACATATATATTTAATATGTGTATATATATATATATCGGAAGAATTGTTGAGTAGCACAAAAAATCACTAAGACATCCTTAGGTTTAAGGAGCTAAGTGTTACATCTTGACTTTTCTTCATGTTGAAATAACAAGCAGACAGGAACACAAAAAAATATCCTTGAACATGGGTGTGAAAAAAAACTAGCGCAAACCTAGCGGGTTTGTAGCGCTGCCTTGCAGAATTGGTGAATTTAGTTGCGTGCCGCCTCATAATGAAGAGGAAAAACAACTAGGTCCACACTAAGTATCAACAACTAGTACAAAACTTCTGTCAACTATTTTTGGCAAATGGTCATATATATATATATATTCATAATTATATATGTTGTGTATACAGACACCTGCATTGCTGTCTTATACATGTTGAATGTATATAATATAGTACAGTACGTATGTATATGTGTATATACTACATGATTATGTGTATAGCTGCGTAACATATATTGTGTATCTAATATATAGTATATAGTATCCACATATTAATAATTATACAGATTATACAATATATTATACGTATTTATATGTTATACATACATATGGATGCGAAATACAATGTACAATTATATACATAGGATCATAGGATGAATTCATTATTCAAAACAATATATTGAAAACACATGTCACGTGGTGTCCCAACCTTTTCGCGATGCACTTTGAGGTTTCTGGGAAGGCGAAGCTTCAACATCCTCAAAATGACATGGTTTTGTGGTTGTAACGAAACACGTCAAAGTGCTTAAAATTGAAATAGCTTATAGGCTTATATGACAGTGCAAGCATGCACGGCATGTCTGTGTCTGTCCTTGTCAAAGCCAACATGTCTCTGAGATGAGACTTGAGCAGGAGCACTTTGTACCTGCACAAACAGGTCGTCAGACCCACTACTTTATATAGACATCTTTCTATGCATCTGTGGCCTGTTCATCTTCATCGTCTGACAGCGGCAAGTCTGCAGGAGCTACGAAACCAGTGCCTGACAGAGATCAACCAGACAGGATCTCTTTGCGAGAGTTGTCTGCCAACCGTCACGGTCGGATTCGGAAACTGCAAAGGTGAGGGGGGAGCCTTCACTTTTAAACATGATTCAAGATGTAAACCTTGCCATACATTCAGAGCATGGGTAAGGGAGAGGAGAAAGTTGAATTTTATCTGCTATAAGCTGCTATAGTTTCGAATGTGAACCTTGTCACATTCAACGCATTGTTGGGTGGAGCGGGGTTTATATATTTGACACATGCCAGATGTAAACCGCTGGGGGATGGGAGGATCAACCGCAAGCACCGTCAGAGATTTCACGAATTCTCAGCGTTTCTGAACAATTTCTGAAACATGAATCTCATACGAATCTCCAGTTTCGGAGACGTGATTTTGTGTCAACTAGACTAGACGTAGTTTCTGAGTCGTGCAGCTTCAGTTTCTGCAAAAAAAAACGTTTCTGAAAGGTTTCTGAGACATTGTTGCTGAACCATATAACACTGAGACGGGTCTGTTCATGATCCATAGTTTCTGAGCGGGAGCTCCCGAATCTGAAGTAGTTTTGGAGACATGCTTCGGTTTGTTTTGTTGGCATCACTTTTCTGAGTTTTCACGCAGCAACTAACTACTGATGCGCGTGCTTGGAGGAAATTTCCGGGTGCTCCACATCGCAAGTCAAACTTGTTTGGAGCTGTCGTCTACGAATCAACATCACGTACAATTGCTGTAAATCTACGGTAGTCTGCACATCCCACATCTTCTCATGTCAGTGTCGCAGAAGAAACGGTCTTCAAACGGCAAAGGCAGAGAAACTGCACTGCCTTTTCGTGATGCGCTATGACGCTTCTGAGAAGGCGAAGCTTCTTGCGCGTCCTCCACATGTCTGTCACATGTCTGGCAGATGTCAAAACAATTCACAACATGCACCATGTGCTTCAGGTGAATGTCAGCGTGACTTGTCCACGTCCTTGTCAAAGCCGACATGCCGGGACGAGGTTGCGGGCTGTGCCTGCAAGTGCATCACATGCAAGTCAACCAAAAAGAACCAAAAAGAACCGACACGAGCTGGCCCTCCTCATCGTCTTCCTCATCTGAATGCGGCAAGTCATCTGGAGATACGAAGCCCGTGCCTGCCAAGCACTGTCTGGAAACATGTTTGATCCAAGCTCTGCAGTGTGAGCAGGACTCTGGTTGAACATTCTTGAGCTTGTCGCAGAAAGATTGACTAAGCAGGTACAACGGGTGCCAAAGATTCCCTCATTGACTTCATGATTCCAGTCCCACAAAGCCCCAAAATCCCTGCCTTTTCGCGATGCTCTGTGGCTTTGAGAAGGTGAAGGTTCCTTCACATCCTGCCCATCTCATCTTTGTCAGTATTGTTAGTAGAATCACATTCCATGCGCATGTCATGTGCCTTTGTTGCTTACATCACTTGCAGATATCAAACATCTGATCATGAAGACAAACCCATGAAAAGCATCGAAAAGCCCTCCGTCTCCTGGCCGAAGCCAACATGTCTCTGAGATGAGGCTTGAGCAGGGGCACTTTGTACCTGGACAGTCAAGCAAAGCATGACATGGGAAACCAGAATCAAGAACTGCAGGTTTGCGGTGGTTTGCAACATCTCTTCAATGTGAGACATGCAAATAAACATGCAAATACTGCCTGCTCAACATCTTCCTCATCTGACAGTGGCAGGTCTGCCGGAGCTACGAAACCAGTGCCTGACATCAAAACACAACATCTGCAGTCCGCAGCACGAACAGCCCCCGCACAAAAGAACAACGTTTTGCATGTATTGTGAATGGGGTCAGAGATCAATTAGACAGGATCTGTGTGTGTGTGTCTGTTCTTTTTTGTTTCCAAACATTTTTTGGGACACTTCGCTTCATTCTCCTGAATGAGGGTTGACCGCCCAGCCTAGCCTTTCAAAAAGATCTTGCGTGCTTCTGCTGTTTGTTGTGTTAGCATTACTTTTCTGAGATTTTAAAGCAGCAACTAACTACTGATGCGCGTGCTTGGAAGAACTTTCCGGGTGCTCCACATCGCAAGTCAAACTTGTTTGGAGCTGTCGTCTACGAATCAACATCACGTACAATTGCTGTAAATCTACGGTAGTCTGCACATCCCACATCTTCTCACGTCAGTGTCGCAGAAGAAACGGTCTTCAAACGGCAAAGGCAGAGAAACTGCACTGCCTTTTCGCGATGCGCTATGACGCTTCTGAGAAGGCGAAGCTTCTTGCGCGTCCTCCACATGTCTGTCACATGTCTGGCAGATGTCAAAACAATTCACAACATGCACCATGTGCTTCAGGTGAATGTCAGCGTGACTTGTCCACGTCCTTGTCAAAGCCGACATGCCGGGACGAGGTTGCGGGCTGTGCCTGCAAGTGCATCACATGCAAGTCAACCAAAAAGAACCAAAAAGAACGGACACGAGCTGGCCCTCCTCATCGTCTTCCTCATCTGAATGCGGCAAGTCATCTGGAGATACGAAGCCCGTGCCTGCCAAGCACTGTCTGGAAACATGTTTGATCCAAACTCTGCCTTATGTGAGCAGGTCTCTGGTTGAACATTCTTGAGCTTGTCGCAGAAAGACTGACTAAGCAGGTCCAACTGCTGCCAAAGATTCCCTCATTGACTTCCCCATTCCAGTCCCACAAAGCCCCAAAATCCCTGCCTTTTCGCGATGCTCTGTGGCTTTGAGAAGGTGAAGGTTCCTTCACATCCTGCCCATCTCATCTTTGTCAGTATTGTTAGTAGAATCACATTCCATGCGCATGTCATGTGCCTTTGTTGCTTACATCACTTGCAGATATCAAACATCTGATCATGAAGAAAAACCGTGAAAAGCATCGAAAAGCCCTCCGTCTCCTGGCCGAAGCCAACATGTCTCTGAGATGAGGCTTGAGCAGGGGCACTTTGTACCTGGACAGTCAAGCAAAGCATGACATGGGAAACCAGAATCAAGAACTGCAGGTTTGCGGTGGTTTGCAACATCTCTTCAATGTGAGACATGCAAATAAACATGCAAATACTGCCTGCTCAACATCTTCTTCATCTGACAGTGGCAGGTCTGCCGGAGCTACGAAACCAGTGCCTGACATCAAAACACAACATCTGCAGTCCGCAGCACAAACAGTCTCCCCATTGAAAAACACCATTTTGCATGTAGGGTGGCGGGTGATGGACAGGATAAGGGATCAAACAGGCTGAATCTGTGCGTTTGTTCTTGCTTGCTTTTTTGGATCCAAACTCTGCCTTATGTGAGCAGGTCTCTGGTTGAACATTCTTGAGCTTGTCGCAGAAAGACTGACTAAGCAGGTCCAACTGCTGCCAAAGATTCCCTCATTGACTTCCCCATTCCAGTCCCACAAAGCCCCAAAATCCCTGCCTTTTCGCGATGCTCTGTGGCTTTGAGAAGGTGAAGGTTCCTTCACATCCTGCCCATCTCATCTTTGTCAGTATTGTTAGTAGAATCACATTCCATTCGCATGTCATGTGCCTTTGTTGCTTACATCACTTGCAGATATCAAACATCTGATCATGAAGACAAACCCATGAAAAGCATCGAAAAGCCCTCCGTCTCCTGGCCGAAGCCAACATGTCTCTGAGATGAGGCTTGAGCAGGGGCACTTTGTACCTGGACAGTCAAGCAAAGCATGACATGGGAAACCAGAATCAAGAACTGCAGGTTTGCGGTGGTTTGCAACATCTCTTCAATGTGAGACATGCAAATAAACATGCAAATACTGCCTGCTCAACATCTTCTTCATCTGACAGTGGCAGGTCTGCCGGAGCTACGAAACCAGTGCCTGACATCAAAACACAACATCTGCAGTCCGCAGCACAAACAGTCTCCCCATTGAAAAACACCATGTTGCATGTAGGGTGGCGGGTGATGGACAGGATAAGGGATCAAACAGGCTGAATCTGTGCGTTTGTTCTTGCTTGCTTTTTTGGATCCAAACTCTGCCTTATGTGAGCAGGTCTCTGGTTGAACATTCTTGAGCTTGTCGCAGAAAGACTGACTAAGCAGGTCCAACTGCTGCCAAAGATTCCCTCATTGACTTCATCATTCCAGTCCCACAAAGCCCCAAAATTCCTGCCTTTTCGCGATGCTCTGTGGCTTTGAGAAGGTGAAGGTTCCTTCACATCCTGCCCATCTCATCTTTGTCAGTATTGTTAGTAGAATCACATTCCATGCGCATGTCATGTGCCTTTGTTGCTTACATCACTTGCAGATATCAAACATCTGATCATGAAGACAAACCCATGAAAAGCATCGAAAAGCCCTCCGTCTCCTGGCCGAAGCCAACATGTCTCTGAGATGAGGCTTGAGCAGGGGCACTTTGTACCTGGACAGTCAAGCAAAGCATGACATGGGAAACCAGAATCAAGAACTGCAGGTTTGCGGTGGTTTGCAACATCTCTTCAATGTGAGACATGCAAATAAACATGCAAATACTGCCTGCTCAACATCTTCTTCATCTGACAGTGGCAGGTCTGCCGGAGCTACGAAACCAGTGCCTGACATCAAAACACAACATCTGCAGTCCGCAGCACAAACAGTCTCCGCATTGAAAAACACCATTTTGCATGTAGGGTGAATGGGGTCAGAGATCAAACAGACAGGATCATCAGGATCTGATTTTTTTCTTGCATATTCTGTTTTGAAGTTTTGATGATAAGACTTTTAGCATGAATTCCCATAAGTTCCGTGAATGCTCCAAACACTGAGTAAGTGCTGTCCATCTTGTGCTTTGCTGTTTGTTGTGTTGGCATCACTTTTCTGATATTTCAAAGAAGCAACTAACTAGCTACTGCTGTGTGCTTTGAAGAAAACGGGGTGCTCCACATCGCAAGTCAAACTTGTTTGGAGCTGTCGTCTACGAATCAACATCACGTACATTGCTGTAGATCTACGGTAGTCTGCACATCCCACATCTTCTCACGTCAGTGTCGCAGAAGAAACGGTCTTCAAACGGCAAAGGCAGAGAAACTGCACTGCCTTTTCGCGATGCGCTATGACGCTTCTGAGAAGGCGAAGCTTCTTGCGCGTCCTCCACATGTCTGTCACATGTCTGGCAGATGTCAAAACAATTCACAACATGCACCATGTGCTTCAGGTGAATGTCAGCGTGACTTGTCCACGTCCTTGTCAAAGCCGACATGCCGGGACGAGGTTGCGGGCTGTGCCTGCAAGTGCATCACATGCAAGTCAACCAAAAAGAACCAAAAAGAACCGACACGAGCTGGCCCTCCTCATTGTCTTCCTCATCTGAAGGCGGCAAGTCATCTGGAGATACGAAGCCCGTGCCTGCCAAGCACTGTCTGGAAACATGTTTGATCCAAGCTCTGCAGTGTGAGCAGGACTCTGGTTGAACATTCTTGAGCTTGTCCCAGAAAGACTGACTAAGCAGGTCCAACTGCTGCCAAAGATTCCTTCATTGACTTCATCATTCCAGTCCCACAAAGACCCAAAATCCCTGCCTTTTCGCGATGCTCTGTGGCGGCTTTGAGAAGGTGAAGCTTCCTTAACATCCTGCCCATCTCATCTTTGTCAGTAGAATCACGTTCCAATCGTTCCATGCAAACGCATGTGTAAAATTCTCGAGTGACATCACTTGCAGATATCAAACATCTGATCATGAAGAAACACCCATGAATAGCATCGAATAGCCCTCCGTCTCCTGGCCGAAGCCAACATGTCTCTGAGATGAGGCTTGAGCAGGAGCACTTTGTACCTGCACAAACAGGTCATCAGACCCACTACCTTGTATAGACATCTGTCTATGCCAATGCATCTGTGGCCTGTTCATCTTCATCGTCTGACAGCGGCAAGTCTGCAGGAGCTACGAAACCAGTGCCTGACATCAAAACACAACATGTGCAGTCCGCAGCACAAACAGCCCCCGCACAAAAGAACAACGTTTTGCATGTATTGTGAATGGGGTCAGAGATCAATTATCCAGGATCTGTGTGTGTGTGTCTGTTCTTGTTTGTTTCCAAACATTTTTTGGGACACGTCGCTTCATTCTCCTGAATGAGTATTGTCCGCCTAGCCTAGCCTTTCAAAAAGATCTTGCGTGCTTCTGCTGTTTGTTGTGTTGGCATCACTTTTCTGAGATTTCAAAGCAACCACTAGCTACTGCTGCATGTGCTTTGAAGAAAACCATGGCACGCCAAACTTGTTTGGAGCTGTCGTCTACGAATCAACATCACGTACATTGCTGTAGATCTACGGTAGTCTGCACATCCCACATCTTCTCACGTCAGTGTCGCAGAAGAAACGGTCTTCAAACGGCAAAGGCAGAAAAACTGCACTGCCTTTTCGTGATGCGCTATGACGCTTCTGAGAAGGCGAAGCTTCTTGCGCGTCCTCCACATGTCTGTCACATGTCTGGCAAATGTCAAAACAATTCACAACATGCACCATGTGCTTCAGGTGAATGTCAGCGTGACTTGTCCACGTCCTTGTCAAAGCCGACATGCCGGGACGAGGTTGCGGGCTGTGCCTGCAAGTGCATCACATGCAAGTCAACCAAAAAGAACCAAAAAGAACCGACACGAGCTGGCCCTCCTCATTGTCTTCCTCATCTGAATGCGGCAAGTCATCTGGAGATACGAAGCCCGTGCCTGCCAAGCACTGTCTGGAAACATGTTTGATCCAAGCTCTGCAGTGTGAGCAGGACTCTGGTTGAACATTCTTGAGCTTGTCGCAGAAAGACTGACTAAGCAGGTCCAACTGCTGCCAAAGATTCCTTCATTGACTTCATCATTCCAGTCCCACAAAGACCCAAAATCCCTGCCTTTTCGCGATGCTCTGTGGCGGCTTTGAGAAGGTGAAGCTTCCTTCACATCCTGCCCATCTCATCTTTGTCAGTAGAATCACGTTCCAATCGTTCCATGCAAACGCATGTGTAAAATTCTCGAGTGACATCACTTGCAGATATCAAACATCTGATCATGAAGAAACACCCATGAATAGCATCGAATAGCCCTCCGTCTCCTGGCCGAAGCCAACATGTCTCTGAGATGAGGCTTGAGCAGGAGCACTTTGTACCTGCACAAACAGGTCATCAGACCCACTACTTGTATAGACATCTTTCTATGCCAATGCATCTGTGGCCTGTTCATCTTCATCGTCTGACAGCGGCAAGTCTGCAGGAGCTACGAAACCAGTGCCTGACATCAAAACACAACATGTGCAGTCCGCAGCACAAACAGCCCCCGCACAAAAGAACAACGTTTTGCATGTATTGTGAATGGGGTCAGAGATCAATCAGACAGGATCTGTGTGTGTGTGTGTGTCTGTTCTTGTTTGTTTCCAAACAATTTTGGGGACACGTCGCTTCATTCTCCTGAATCAGTATTGTCCGCCTAGCCTAGCCTTTCAAAAAGATCTTGCGTGCTTCTGCTGTTTGTTGTGTTGGCATCACTTTTCTGAGATTTCAAAGCACCACTAGCTACTGCTGCATGTGCTTTGAAGAAAACCATGGCACGCCAAACTTGTTTGAAGCTGTCGTCTACGAATCAACATCACGTACATTGCTGTAGATCTACGGTAGTCTGCACATCCCACATCTTCTCACGTCAGTGTCGCAGAAGAAACGGTCTTCAAACGGCAAAGGCAGAGAAACTGCACTGCCTTTTCGTGATGCGCTATGACGCTTCTGAGAAGGCGAAGCTTCTTGCGCGTCCTCCACATGTCTGTCACATGTCTGGCAGATGTCAAAACAATTCACAACATGCACCATGTGCTTCAGGTGAATGTCAGCGTGACTTGTCCACGTCCTTGTCAAAGCCGACATGCCGGGACGAGGTTGCGGGCTGTGCCTGCAAGTGCATCACATGCAAGTCAACCAAAAAGAACCAAAAAGAACCGACACGAGCTGGCCCTCCTCATCGTCTTCCTCATCTGAAGGCGGCAAGTCATCTGGAGATACGAAGCCCGTGCCTGCCAAGCACTGTCTGGAAACATGTTTGATCCAAGCTCTGCAGTGTGAGCAGGACTCTGGTTGAACATTCTTGAGCTTGTCGCAGAAAGACTGACTAAGCAGGTCCAACTGCTGCCAAAGATTCCCTCATTGACTTCATCATTCCAGTCCCACAAAGCCCCAAAATCCCTGCCTTTTCGCGATGCTCTGTGGCGGCTTTGAGAAGGTGAAGCTTCCTTCACATCCTGCCCATCTCATCTTTGTCAGTAGAATCACGTTCCAATCGTTCCATGCAAACGCATGTGTAAAATTCTCGAGTGACATCACTTGCAGATATCAAACATCTGATCATGAAGAAACACCCATGAATAGCATCGAATAGCCCTCCGTCTCCTGGCCGAAGCCAACATGTCTCTGAGATGAGGCTTGAGCAGGGGCACTTTGTACCTGCACAAACAGGTCATCAGACCCACTACCTTGTACAGACATCTGTCTATGCCAATGCATCTGTGGCCTGTTCATCTTCATCGTCTGACAGCGGCAAGTCTGCAGGAGCTACGAAACCAGTGCCTGACATCAAAACACAACATGTGCAGTCCGCAGCACAAACAGCCCCCGCACAAAAGAACAACGTTTTGCATGTATTGTGAATGGGGTCGGAGATCAATCAGACAGGATCTGTGTGTGTGTCTGTTCTTGTTTGTTTCCAAACAATTTTGGGGACACGTCGCTTCATTCTCCTGAATGAGTGTTGTCCGCCTAGCCTAGCCTTTCAAAAAGATCTTGCGTGCTTCTGCTGTTTGTTGTGTGGGCATCACGGTTCTGAGATTTCAAAGAAGCAACTAACATAGTCACTGCTGTGTGCTTTGAAGAAAACGCGGTGCTCCACATCGCAAGTCAAACTTGTTTGGAGCTGTCGTCTACGAATCAACATCACGTACATTGCTGTAGATCTACGGCAGTCTGCACATCCCACATCTTCTCACGTCAGTGTCGCAGAAGAAACGGTCTTCAAACGGCAAAGGCAGAGAAACTGCACTGCCTTTTCGTGATGCGCTATGACGCTTCTGAGAAGGCGAAGCTTCTTGCGCGTCCTCCACATGTCTGTCACATGTCTGGCAAATGTCAAAACAATTCGCAACATGCACCATGTGCTTCAGGTGAATGTCAGCGTGACTTGTCCACGTCCTTGTCAAAGCCGACATGCCGGGACGAGGTTGCGGGCTGTGCCTGCAAGTGCATCACATGCAAGTCAACCAAAAAGAACCAAAAAGAACCGACACGAGCTGGCCCTCCTCATTGTCTTCCTCATCTGAAGGCGGCAAGTCATCTGGAGATACGAAGCCCGTGCCTGCCAAGCACTGTCTGGAAACATGTTTGATCCAAGCTCTGCAGTGTGAGCAGGACTCTGGTTGAACATTCTTGAGCTTGTCCCAGAAAGACTGACTAAGCAGGTCCAACTGCTGCCAAAGATTCCTTCATTGACTTCATCATTCCAGTCCCACAAAGACCCAAAATCCCTGCCTTTTCGCGATGCTCTGTGGCGGCTTTGAGAAGGTGAAGCTTCCTTAACATCCTGCCCATCTCATCTTTGTCAGTAGAATCACGTTCCAATCGTTCCATGCAAACGCATGTGTAAAATTCTCGAGTGACATCACTTGCAGATATCAAACATCTGATCATGAAGAAACACCCATGAATAGCATCGAATAGCCCTCCGTCTCCTGGCCGAAGCCAACATGTCTCTGAGATGAGGCTTGAGCAGGAGCACTTTGTACCTGCACAAACAGGTCATCAGACCCACTACTTGTATAGACATCTTTCTATGCCAATGCATCTGTGGCCTGTTCATCTTCATCGTCTGACAGCGGCAAGTCTGCAGGAGCTACGAAACCAGTGCCTGACATCAAAACACAACATGTGCAGTTCGCGGCACGAACAGCCCCCGCACAAAAGAACAACGGTTTGCATGTATTGTGAATGGGATCAGAGATCGAACAGACAGGATCTCTGTGTGTGTGTGTCTGTTCTTGTTTGTTTCCAAACATTTTTTGGGACACATCGCTTCATTCTCCTGAATGAGTATTGTCCGCCTAGCCTAACCTTTCAAAAAGATCTTGCGTGCTTCTGCTGTTTGTTGTATTGGCATCACTTTTCTGAGATTGTCAAAGCAAAACCACTAGCTACTGCTGGCATGTGTCTTTTTGACGAAAACCATGGCCCTCCAAAACTTGTTTGGAGCTGTCGTCTACGAATCAACATCACGTACATTGCTGTAGATCTACGGCAGTCTGCACATCCCACATCTTCTCACGTCAGTGTCGCAGAAGAAACGGTCTTCAAACGGCAAAGGCAGAGAAACTGCACTGCCTTTTCGTGATGCGCTATGACGCTTCTGAGAAGGCGAAGCTTCTTGCGCGTCCTCCACATGTCTGTCACATGTCTGGCAAATGTCAAAACAATTCGCAACATGCACCATGTGCTTCAGGTGAATGTCAGCGTGACTTGTCCACGTCCTTGTCAAAGCCGACATGCCGGGACGAGGTTGCGGGCTGTGCCTGCAAGTGCATCACATGCAAGTCAACCAAAAAGAACCAAAAAGAACCGACACGAGCTGGCCCTCCTCATTGTCTTCCTCATCTGAAGGCGGCAAGTCATCTGGAGATACGAAGCCCGTGCCTGCCAAGCACTGTCTGGAAACATGTTTGATCCAAGCTCTGCAGTGTGAGCAGGACTCTGGTTGAACATTCTTGAGCTTGTCCCAGAAAGACTGACTAAGCAGGTCCAACTGCTGCCAAAGATTCCTTCATTGACTTCATCATTCCAGTCCCACAAAGACCCAAAATCCCTGCCTTTTCGCGATGCTCTGTGGCGGCTTTGAGAAGGTGAAGCTTCCTTAACATCCTGCCCATCTCATCTTTGTCAGTAGAATCACGTTCCAATCGTTCCATGCAAACGCATGTGTAAAATTCTCGAGTGACATCACTTGCAGATATCAAACATCTGATCATGAAGAAACACCCATGAATAGCATCGAATAGCCCTCCGTCTCCTGGCCGAAGCCAACATGTCTCTGAGATGAGGCTTGAGCAGGAGCACTTTGTACCTGCACAAACAGGTCATCAGACCCACTACTTGTATAGACATCTTTCTATGCCAATGCATCTGTGGCCTGTTCATCTTCATCGTCTGACAGCGGCAAGTCTGCAGGAGCTACGAAACCAGTGCCTGACATCAAAACACAACATGTGCAGTTCGCGGCACGAACAGCCCCCGCACAAAAGAACAACGGTTTGCATGTATTGTGAATGGGATCAGAGATCGAACAGACAGGATCTCTGTGTGTGTGTGTCTGTTCTTGTTTGTTTCCAAACATTTTTTGGGACACATCGCTTCATTCTCCTGAATGAGTATTGTCCGCCTAGCCTAACCTTTCAAAAAGATCTTGCGTGCTTCTGCTGTTTGTTGTATTGGCATCACCTGAGAAGGGGGGACGAAAGCCATTCCCTAGCCGGATGTTTTTTTGTTCTGCAAACTGTCTTGCTCCGAACCCCAACGGGCGCTGCTCTCTGTTGAGCTTCGGATCCGTATTTTTTTTAAATATGCTTGCCTCTATGTTCCTAGTTTTTTCAAAGCTTTGCCTTTCCTCCATGTCATGCCTTTTTCCCGAATGCGTAGCAAGGGTTCCCGTTTCACTCCGGGGGTCTGGGGACTGAGGGTGTGTTCGCTCGATGTTGCGGTTACGTTCGCAACATTCCAACCTGTTTTATACACTTTACACTCTACACTCCAAACTTTACACTTTACACTCCTCACACCACACTCCTCACTCCACACTTTACACTCCACACTTGACACTCCACACTCTACACTTTACACTCTACACTCCACACTTTACACTCCACACTTTACACTCCACATTCTACACTTTACGCTCTACACTTTACACTCTACACTCCACACTTTACACTTTACACTGTACACTCCCCACTCCACACTTTACACTCCACACTCGACACTCCACACTCCATACTTTTCACTCCGCACTCTACACTTTAAACTCCACACTCCACACTTTACACTCCACCACACTCCACAATCCTCACTCCACACTTTACACTCCACACTTTACACTTTACACTCCACACTCCACACTCCAAACTCCACACTATACACTTTCCACGCCACATACACTTTACACTCCACACTCTACACTTTACACTCTACACTTTACACTTTACACTCTACACTTTTGACTCTACCCTTTACACTCTACACTCCACACTTTACACTTTACACTGTATACTCCCCACTCCACACTTTACACTCCTCACTCCACACTCGACACTCCACACTCCATACTCCTCACTCCACACTCTACACTTTACACTCCACACTCCACACTTTACTCTCCACACTCCTTACACCACACTCCTCACTCTCCACTCCCAATCCTCACTCCACCTTTACACTTTACCTTTACCTCCATCACACTCCACACTCCACACTAACACTTTCCACCCACACGCCACCTCTACACTTTACAAACTCCACCGTCTACCTTTACACTCTACACTTTACCTTTACACTCTACACTTTTTGGCCTCTAACCCTTTACACTCTACAACACTCCACACTTTACGCTTTACACCACTGTAACTCTCACTCCACACTCTACAACTTTACACTCCACACTCCTTACACCCACTCCTCCTCAACCTTTGAACCTCTACACTACACTCTACACTTGACACTTCACACTCTAACACTTTAACAGTCTACACTTTTTACAACTCTACACTCTTCATTCACTCTACAACTCCTACTTTACACGTACGTTTACTACACTTTACACTCCTCACTCCTTAGTTTGAACACCCCACACATCCACACTTCCACAACTCCCACCACACGCCACTGTGAGCTTTTCCGCAAAGCTTTGGCAAGCTTTGCAGTACACAAAGTAGTACTGGGAAAAACTTATTTGTGCAAGCTTTGGCAAGCTTTGCAGTACACAAAGTAGTACTGGGAAAAACTTATTTGTGCAAGCTTTGGCAAGCTTTGCAGTACAAAGTAGTACTGGGAAAAACTTATTTGTGCCAGCCTTGGCAAGCTTTGCAGTACAAAGTCGTACTGGGAAGTACTTATTTGTGATCCTTGCTTTGCAACCCTTCGCCACCCCTTCCTCAGTATCACTTCTCATCCCCTTGCAAACTCTCTTGTTCCGAACCCCAACGGACGCTGCTCTCCGTTGAGCTTCGGAGTTCCTCCATTTTCCTCCGTTTTCCCCCTGCTTTTAACGATTTTCCTTCATTTTCTGTAGTTTTTCCTACCTTTTTCCAGCCGTTCCTCCATTTTCCTCCGTTTTCCCCTGTTTTTAACGATTTTCCTTCATTTTCCTTGGTTTTTTCCTGCCTTTTTCCTGCCGGAGTCAACGGACCTAGGGGGAATCGAAGCCTACCGTCACCTCTTTGCGTAGTGGTACATGCCCCCCAAAAAACTTCAATTTGCACGGCCTCTGCGCCACCTAATTTCGAGCTCCCGCCACGGCAACGTCCACCCCCCAAACCTAATACTCACTTCGTTCGCCAAAACAACTTTGCCTAGCCTATCGGCTGGCTTTCGTAACTTTTCTGAGATTTCAAAGAAGCAACTAACTAGCTACTGCTGCATGTGCTTTGAAGAAAACCATGGCACGCCAAACTTGTTTGAAGCTGTCGTCTAAATCAACATCACGTACATTGCTGTAGATCTACGGTAGTCTGCACATCCCACATCTTCTCACGTCAGTGTCGCAGAAGAAACGGTCTTCAAACGGCAAAGGCAGAGAAACTGCACTGCCTTTTCGCGCTGCGCTATGACGCTTCTGAGAAGGCGAAGCTTCTTGCGCGTCCTCCACATGTCTGTCACATGCCTGGCAGATGCCAAAACAATTCACAACATGCACCATGTGCTTCAGGTGAATGTCAGCGTGACTTGTCCACGTCCTTGTCAAAGCCGACATGCCGGGACGAGGTTGCGGGCTGTGCCTGCAAGTGCATCACACGCAAGTCAACCAAAAAGAACCAAAAAGAACCGACACGAGCTGGCCCTCCTCATCGTCTTCCTCATCTGAAGGCGGCAAGTCATCTGGAGATACGAAGCCCGTGCCTGCCAAGCACTGTCTGGAAACATGTTTGATCCAAGCTCTGCAGTGTGTGATCAGGACTCTGGTTGAACATTCTTGAGCTTGTCGCAGAAAGACTGACTAAGCAGGTCCAACTGCTGCCAAAGATTCCCTCATTGACTTCATCATTCCAGTCCCACAAAGCCCCAAAATCCCTGCCTTTTCGCGATGCTCTGTGGCGGCGTTGAGAAGGTGAAGCTTCCTTCACATCCTGCCCATCTCATCTTTGTCAGTAGAATCACGTTCCAATCGTTCCATCCAAACGCATGTGTAAAATTCTCGAGTGACATCACTTGCAGATATCAAACATCTGATCATGAAGAAAAACCCACGAATAGCATCGAATAGCATCGAATAGCCCTCCGTCTCCTGGCCGAAGCCAACATGTCTCTGAGATGAGGCTTGAGCACTTTGTACCTGCACAAACAGGTCATCAGACCCACTACTTGTATAGACATCTTTCTATGCCAATGCATCTGTGGCCTGTTCATCTTCATCGTCTGACAGCGGCAAGTCTGCAGGAGCTACGAAACCAGTGCCTGACATCAAAACACAACATGTGCAGTCCGCAGCACAACGTGTTGCATGTATTGTGAATGGGGTCAGAGATCAATCAGACAGGATCTGTGTGTGTGTGTCTGTTCTTGTTTGTTTCCAAACATTTTTGGGGACACGTCGCTTCATTCTCCTGAATGAGTGTTAACCCCTAGCCTAGCCTTTCAAAAAGATCTTGCGTGCTTCTGCTGTTTGTTGTGTTGGCATCACTTTTCTGAGATTTCAAAGAAGCAACTAACTAGCTACTGCTGCATGTGCTTTGAAGAAAACGGGGTGCTCCACATCGCAAGTCGAACTTGTTTGGAGCTGTCGTCTACGAATCAACATCACGTACATTGCTGTAGATCTACAGTAGTCTGCACATCCCACATCTTCTCACGTCAGTGTCGCAGAAGAAACGGTCTTCAAACGGCAAAGGCAGAGAAACTGCACTGCCTTTTCGCGATGCGCTATGACGCTTCTGAGAAGGCGAAGCTTCTTGCGCGTCCTCCACATGTCTGTCACATGTCTGGCAGATGTCAAAACAATTCACAACATGCACCATGTGCTTCAGGTGAATGTCAGCGTGACTTGTCCACGTCCTTGTCAAAGCCGACATGCCGGGACGAGGTTGCGGGCTGTGCCTGCAAGTGCATCACATGCAAGTCAACCAAAAAGAACCAAAAAGAACCGACACGAGCTGGCCCTCCTCATCGTCTTCATCTGAAGGCGGCAAGTCATCTGGGGATACGAAGCCCGTGCCTGCCAAGCACTGTCTGGAAACATGTTTGATCCAAGCTCTGCCTTATGTGAGCAGGTCTCTGGTTGAACATTCTTGAGCTTGTCGCAGAAAGACTGACTAAGCAGGTCCAACTGCTGCCAAAGATTCCCTCATTGACTTCATCATTCCAGTCCCACAAAGCCCCAAAATCCCTGCCTTTTCGCGATGCTCTGTGGCGGCTTTGAGAAGGTGAAGCTTCCTTCACATCCTGCCCATCTCATCTTTATCAGTAAAATCACGTTCCAATCGTTCCATGCAAACGCATGTGTAAAATTCTCGAGTGACATCACTTGCAGATATCAAACATCTGATCATGAAGACAAACCCATGAAAAGCATCGAATAGCCCTCCGTCTCCTGGCCGAAGCCAACATGTCTCTGAGATGAGGCTTGAGCAGGAGCACTTTGTACCTGCACAAACAGGTCATCAGACCCACTACCTTGTATAGACATCTGTCTATGCCAATGCATCTGTGGCCTGTTCATCTTCATCGTCTGACAGCGGCAAGTCTGCAGGAGCTACGAAACCAGTGCCTGACATCAAAACACAACATGTGCAGTCCGCAGCACAAATAGCCTCCGCACAAAAGAACAACGTTTTGCATGTATTGTGAATGGGATCAGAGATCAAACAGGATCTGTGTGTGTGTGTCTGTTCCTTTTTGTTTCCAAGCATTTTTTGGGACACGTCGCTTCATTCTCCTGAATGAGTATTGTCCGCCTAGCCTAGCCTTTCAAAAAGATCTTGCGTGCTTCTGCTGTTTGTTGTGTTGGCATCACTTTTCTGAGATTTCAAAGAAGCAACTAACTAGCTACTGCTGCATGTGCTTTGAAGAAAACGGGGTGCTCCACATCGCAAGTCGAACTTGTTTGGAGCTGTCGTCTACGAATCAACATCACGTACATTGCCTGTAGATCTACGGTAGTCTGCACATCCCACATCTTCTCACGTCAGTGTCGCAGAAGAAACGGTCTTCAAACGGCAAAGGCAGAGAAACTGCACTGCCTTTTCGCGATGCGCTATGACGCTTCTGAGAAGGCGAAGCTTCTTGCGCGTCCTCCACATGTCTGTCACATGTCTGGCAGATGTCAAAACAATTCACAAATGCACCATGTGCTTCAGGTGAATGTCAGCGTGACTTGTCCACGTCTCCTTGTCAAAGCCGACATGCCGGGACGAGGTTGCGGGCTGTGCCTGCAAGTGCATCACATGCAAGTCAACCAAAAAGAACCAAAAAGAACCGACACGAGCTGGCCCTCCTCATTGTCTTCCTCATCTGAATGCGGCAAGTCATCTGGAGATACGAAGCCCGTGCCTGCCAAGCACTGTCTGGAAACATGTTTGATCCAAGCTCTGCAGTGTGTGATCAGGACTCTGGTTGAACATTCTTGAGCTCGTCGCAGAAAGACTGACTAAGCAGGTCCAACTGCTGCCAAAGATTCCCTCATTGACTTCATCATTCCAGTCCCACAAAGCCCCAAAATCCCTGCCTTTTCGCGATGCTCTGTGGCGGCTTTGAGAAGGTGAAGCTTCCTTCACATCCTGCCCATCTCATCTTTGTCAGTAGAATCACGTTCCAATCGTTCCATGCAAACGCATGTGTAAAATTCTCGAGTGACATCACTTGCAGATATCAAACATCTGATCATGAAGAAACACCCACGAATAGCATCGAATAGCCCTCCGTCTCCTGGCCGAAGCCAACATGTCTCTGAGATGAGGCTTGAGCAGGAGCACTTTGTACCTGCACAAACAGATCATCAGACCCACTACTTGTATAGACATCTTTCATCATCTTTCTATGCCAATGCATCTGTGGCCTGTTCATCTTCATCGTCTGACAGCGGCAAGTCTGCAGGAGCTACGAAACCAGTGCCTGACATCAAAACACAACATGTGCAGTCCGCAGCACAAACAGCCCCCGCACAAAAGAACAACGTTTTGCATGTATTGTGAATGGGGTCAGAGATCAATCAGACAGGATCTGTGTGTGTGTGTGTGTCTGTTCTTGTTTGTTTCCAAACAATTTTGGGGACACGTCGCTTCATTCTCCTGAATGAGTGTTGTCCGCCTAGCCTAGCCTTTCAAAAAGATCTTGCGTGTTTCTGCTGTTTGTTGTGTTGGCATCACGTTTCTGAGATTTCAAAGAAGCAAAACTAACTAGCTACTGCTGTGTGCTTTGAAGAAAACGGGGTGCTCCACATCGCAAGTCAAACTTGTTTGGAGCTGTCGTCTACTAATCAACATCACGTACATTGCTGTAGATCTACGGTAGTCTGCACATCCCACATCTTCTCACGTCAGTGTCGCAGAAGAAATGGTCTTCAAACGGCAAAGGCAGAGAAACTGCACTGCCTTTTCGCGATGCGCTATGACGCTTCTGAGAAGGCGAAGCTTCTTGCGCGTCCTCCACATGTCTGTCACATGTCTGGCAAATGTCAAAACAATTCACAACATGCACCATGCGCTTCAGGTGAATGTCAGCGTGACTTGTCCACGTCCTTGTCAAAGCCGACATGCCGGGACGAGGTTGCGGGCTGTGCCTGCAAGTGCATCACATGCAAGTCAACCAAAAAGAACCAAAAAGAACCGACACGAGCTGGCCCTCCTCATCGTCTTCCTCATCTGAATGCGGCAAGTCATCTGGAGATACGAAGCCCGTGCCTGCCAAGCACTGTCTGGAAACATGTTTGATCCAAGCTCTGCAGTGTGTGAGCAGGACTCTGGTTGAACATTCTTGAGCTTGTCGCAGAAAGACTGACTAAGCAGGTCCAACTGCTGCCAAAGATTCCCTCATTGACTTCATCATTCCAGTCCCACAAAGCCCCAAAATCCCTGCCTTTTCGCGATGCTCTGTGGCGGCTTTGAGAAGGTGAAGCTTCCTTCACATCCTGCCCATCTCATCTTTGTCAGTAGAATCACGTTCCAATCGTTCCATGCAAACGCATGTGTAAAATTCTCGAGTGACATCACTTGCAGATATCAAACATCTGATCATGAAGAAACACCCACGAATAGCATCGAATAGCCCTCCGTCTCCTGGCCGAAGCCAAGCCAACATGTCTCTGAGATGAGGCTTGAGCAGGAGCACTTTGTACCTAGACAGCCAAGCTAATCTGCACATCTGCTGCAGTTCTCATGCACATTCGTAATCGCTGCAACCATGGCAACCAGAATAGTCCATCAGACTCACCAACCTGAAATATCTTGTCTCACCATCAACATTTGCTCGCAAGGTTTCAATGTTTTCATATATTCTCCGTTGCATCCGTTGCATCCGTTGCATCCGTTGCATCCGTTGCCTGCTCATCTTCCTCGTCCGACGGTCTCAAGTCAGCAGGAGCTACATGTTTTCCGGAAGGTCCTTGACCTGTCAACATGCAACGCGGCATGATATTATCATGCACAAACATGAACATTTCATATTTATTCATATTGTTATATCAAACGGATCAAACACATATGACAGTATATGTATGACAATGAAAATGCTACCCGATGAACAAAGGTATCACTCTACAAGATTGGATGCTGCTGCACCCATGCTCAAAACGACTCACAAACAAATATCCACAAAGCCTGTCTCGCAAAATAAGTGAGATACGTTGAGATCATTTCTTCATGTGATCTCAAACAATTTGCGACTTTGTCTGTGCTTCCAGTTTTATGAGTTTTTCCCACAGACTCCTCAAACAAGTTTGTCCTTGTGTCTAGTTTTGGGAATTGAATGGAATCAGTAATCCTTGTAGCTTTGTTTCAGACTGCACCATGCTCCAAAAGTCAAAGCACCAGAACGACACAGTACCATCAGAGAAACGGAATCATGTCTACTTAAAGGAAGATTCGAACATGGAGGCGAACTTGATTCAACAATATTGAAGAGATCTGTGAATTCAGTGTATTCATGAATAATGTTCAGAGTGTTCAGCTCGTTCTCTGCTCAGCCAGCTCCGTCTTTTCCAGAGCCTCTTGGCTGGCTTGCTGGTGGCTCGTCTAGCGCATCCTGGTAAACGCAAACTTTAACAAACAGAACCAGGTTTGAACCATATGTAACCTATATTTGAAACGCATCTGTAAACACATGTCGGCTATTTTGGAATGATAGGTTGATGAAAATTGTATCAGATCCAAACACAGAAGCACATCTCCACACATCATTTTATCGACTAAACTGGTCAAAGCGTGAAGGAAAGCTGGCGTAACATCGAATTGACTTGAGCAATGCTGTGTTGGGCTCCCTATGCTTCCCTGAAGGTGAAAGTTCAATCCGCCAACACTTTCCACATCCCTAAGGTCTGCGGGAGATGAACGTACTTTGAATCTTTGATCATCTTTGTCATTCTTTGTCCATGATGTCAGAGTCTTTCAAGATCTTTCAAGTTAATCTTGATGTCACATCCCGGGTCAAACTGCGTCATCACCGCCGAATTTCCGGACCCTCCGGACCCGTCCTTTTTGAAACAAAGATGGGCATCAAGGGCCACATGGGGTTTGCCCGGTGAAGGACTTTGGGTAACCTGCATGGTTTCTGGTGTGCCTTTTTATCGTGAGACAAAATGAGACAAAATGAGACACAAAGAGTTTGACGTAACTAGTTGAAACAAATTTGGAAAAAATTGAAATTTTGATTGGATGAAAATGATTGAACGATATTCAAAGAGCCAAAGGATTCTCAAAGGCAAAAGAAGACACAATGAATTCACGAATTCGATACGACTTCAATGCGAAGTGAAAAGCACAGAGATGGAGAAACTTCCCGTTCCGGAACCTCCAACCCATCCAGTCTCCTGGTGCGCAACATGGAAACGAAGAGGATAAGAGAAAATAAGAGAAACACAAAACCACAGGCGAAATCCCAACACAACACCTTGAGACGAAACGATGCCAAACGCATGAGATATGAAAAGATATGAAAAGATATGAAAAGGTTGCAGGATGTTGCAGGAGTAGCATCACGACCATCACGACAGTCTAAAAATAACTGGAAGTGTTTGCCCAATGCCTACAGCCTGGCCCACAGAGGAATGCGCAAATGGACGTGAGATTACGATGTCTTAAGCGGTTTTCCGAGTGCACCTGCGGTTTGTTCTGTCTGCTCAGGGTTATTGGTTTACAAGTGCGTTTCCAGAAACGTTAATTTCATTTCCTCGTTTTTTGTTTCGAGTTTTGCATAGTTGCAAATCATCAGATTTTGACTGACGGCTTACCTTTCACAAAAACTCCTCACAGCATCGCTCTTCAAAGCTTCTGCAGCTGAAGGCCGTTCTTGCGGATCCTTGCTGTGAACATCGCATGAACGATGCAGAACCAGAGTGAGCGAAACAACGTCGGTACACTTTGCAAACAAGTCGACCCAAGGTCTCAATATGTCTCAATATGTCTCAATCACATCCTATTACATCCTATTACATCCTATTTAATTCCCAGTTCTCCTTATGTTCCAAACTCAGTGCTCCAAAGAAGGATGGTGTGCTAAGAAGTAAAAATCTGTCCCCTCCGGGTGATGTCCTGTGGGCAAACTCTTGATCCCGATTTTGAAGTCTGTGGTATCCTTTAGAACCCTATAGATTCCTATAGATTCCTACAGATTCTTCTAGATTCCTACAGATTTCTATACAGACTCCTACAGATTCCTAGGTTCCTACAGATTCCTGTAGATTCCTACAGATTGCCATAGATTCCTACAGATTCCTATAAATTCCGATAGATTCCTACAGATTCCGACAGATTCCGATAGATTCCTACAGATTCCGAGAGATTCTCATAGATTCCTATAGTTAAACCAAGTCATTCGTTGATCTTTTGGTTATTGAGTAATTGGTTCTAATGTTCTACTTCTTGATGTGTGCTGCTGTTGTTTGGCTCTACGAGATCACATTTTCAAGGCCTCGAAATTCTCCGACGCTTTGGACGTTTCCGGAAGTCCCGGAGCAAAAATGACACCCAGAATCGGGGTCCTATCCTCTAGACGCAGTTGAAAAATCGTGCACTTGACATGGAACATTTTTCCGTACTTCCTTTAGTGTTCCACCCTGACCCACACCATCATTGCTGGTCATGGTGATCCAGGTTGAGCTCCCACCGTTGATCCCCCTTCCACCATGCGCGGCTTGAAGCTTCGGAAATTCTAAGATTTGGACGACCTGAAGCAACAAATCCAAAGCTCCCAGGATGATCTGATGAGCTTGCAGTTTTTTCAACGCCTTCCAGACAAAGAGGAGGATGAAAACAGTGTATCAAAGAGGGCTCAGTTCCATAAACACCATGAAATGAGCTAAAAGGTGACGAATGTTGACGGAGAAAGATCAAGTATGGTCAACAAAATAATAGGTGACCACAGGCAGCTGACAATACGGTATGACGCAGACATGACGCAGACATGACGCAGAAGCCAAATTGCCAAACTTGTTCCGCAAGCCTCGAAAATCCGCTTCGGCCGTAGTCCATGGTGAGCCCTGAACAGGCCACCAACAGGTTCTATAGCCTGGGCCACGCCACTGGGCCACGCCGGGCCACGAGAAAATATGGGGCTGCCGTGGTTTGGAGCTGGGTGGTGGACCTCTAGCTCTCCCCCAGCCCGGCGAAGAAGTTGTCCCTCTGGCCTGTTACGAAATGTGCAACTGGTAAACTCAAAGGGAGGATAAAGAAAAACATAAGTGAACACGATTGAACTTAAGATGAAAATGATGATGAACATGAAACTTAACATGAAAACAATGATGAACAGCAAAACAACATGTTCATGACCATGATGATTACTAGTACTATAGCCCATAGGGCCCATAGGATAGTAGTTGATATTACTATGAGGACGGCGATGGCAAGAGAACCTCAAGTCGCACCAAGAAAAACACTGCTGGGAATAAACGGAACCAAAGAGGAACCACTACAACGCGCCACGCGCAGTTACAAACGCCCTGTTTGAAGAAATGTTACTTTAAATCTACAGGTAGTGTAAAAACCATGTAGAAACAACGATTAAGTTCCTATCACTCTATACTAAAAACAATCTAAAAACAATCTAAAAGCCCTTCCAACCAAATGCTTCTGAAAGGTGTCTTGAACATTGACCGCAGTCGTGCTGATTTGACCGGTGCCAACACCAGTCGGCACATGAAAAGTTCCTCTCGCCGTGGATGTCGTAGCACCTGCTGGTCATCATCGACGTTTTTGCGGTCGATTTAAACCAAAGCTTCACGACTTCCAGCTGAAGTGAAACTGTGAAACTGTGAAACTGTGCTGAGGTCGTCATGACTCGTCATGATCTTCTTTCTTCATGTTTCTTGATGTTTTTTGCTATTTCTGATATTTTGGCTAAAGCTTGACAAATCCGAGGGCCATGCAAGGTCTTCAGGTAGTGACCTGCAGGAACTTCAAGTATTTCGTCAGAAACACTTCCAACCACAAAAGCACAAATGACAAACTACCTGGAACACCGTATGATCATGTTTTTTCAGTTATTTGAAAAATACAATCGTTTGGGGGTCCAGGTATTCATTCATTCCTCTTTAGATCTGTCATTCCTAAATCATATGCAGCGCGGACAAAACACGCGCACACACACACAGCGCGCGCACACGGACAAATGCACATGAGTTGAAAGTAGAGCTGTCGTGGAAACTAGTCACGGGATGATGGAAGTGTTCGTATCCAATCCTTGTAGGAGAAGTCGCTACACAAACCATTGATCGATGCACTGATGAGGCAAGGAATGGGGTTGCTATGAACTTTCCGCAGTCAGATGAAAGGGGTCCCTGTGAAGTCTGCTCGTCATTTTGCCCTGGTGGCCTAAGAAAAGTAGGAACCTTCTCAGATCTTCTGAGCTTCTTGATGCCATATGCATTCATATTCCAGGTATTTCCAGCTTATGCACACTGTTCATCAATATTCATCAATATGTTGTGTCCTTGTATTCTCTTTTCTTCCATTTCCAATATTTCCATGAATTATTCATCTTCTACCCTCTGGTTATTTAACATAGCCATAGAAAATCACCATGCTATTAATAGGTAAACCATCTATTTCTATGGGCCATCTATACCATGGCGAACTGTTAGTCATAACCAGAAGGTAATATCTTCTTCCCCGAACTGGAAGAGCAACGATTGCAGTGCTCCGAGTTCTCCCAGTTCCAATATCGGCACGTCGTTCGCACGCACGTGAGGCCCCGGGGCACCCGATGAAATCTGCGAGGCTGCGCAGATGCGTTACCTTCGAAAGCAAGGAATATCCAAGGCGTGTGCAGAAATCCGTAGAATTCGTTGATCGATTGTATTATATAGTTATATTATATTACATAATCATTTAAAATTATTTTGAAGCACAACTTCCCTGTCATCATCTGTCATCTCTAAATTCTAAATAGATCTGCTCCCTCCGAGATTCATACTCTGCTTTGAGCCCTGGGACCACCTTGGCTCCCGGATACTGACTGGGATACCGCTTCCCTAGACTCAGACTCAATGTGAGCAGCTTGGAAAAATGTCAGAAAACTGTCAGTTTTGAGAAAAAAACAAAAACATGAGAAAACACAGACTTTTCCAGTAGTGACTAGTACAATTCTGGAGATTCCTGGAGGCCTAAAATGAGAATGACATGGGCTGAAAAAGTGAGCTGAGATGCCATATAATGCCATGTCTTGGAAAAAAGGGTTCCACTGTAGTTCCAGCTATGTCAAATATGTCGAATTTATAGCTGGAACCACCACATCCACCACGGCACGGCACTGAGGATATCACTCAAACGTTCTTGTAACAGCGCCTGAATTTTGGGTTTAGGGCAGCTTGGGAGATGAAGCCAAGATCGTTTGGAAAACCAGGGAAGCCGCAGGGAACCCAAAAGAATCACTGCATGCATCAATAGTTAGATTATGTTAGACCGGTATTCTTAGTATTGTGCTATTAGATTGGTTTTCTTGCTCTATTCTTGCTCAATCTAATAGCTCTCTAATAGCTCTCTTGCTCACATTGCATCCGGTCCCCCAGTCAATTGCATCCCCTTTCACATTGCTAAATTATCTTTGATTCACCATGACATGAGCCAGCATACCCTAGATAATCCATGATAATCCTAGATACTGTATTGTCATGCTGGTTCCATTGTGGTGTAATTACTCTAGTTGGAAGATGTTGGAAGGATTTCTGTCGTCGCCAACAACCCACGCTGCACTTCGCAATTGATCTTCCATGATCTTCCCAACCAATATCGCAACACCTTTTTTTGTGGGATGCGACTTCGACTCAACAATATTCTGTGGTGCCAATAAGTGTAGGTTTTTCTTGCAAATTACTTTCTGATCAGATATGCTTGTGGAAACATGTGGAAACTCTCTATTGTATTTCTTAGACATGTTCCATATCCAATTGATCTAACAATTATTTAAACTCTTAGATGTGCATGTGCAGCTGGATCTGCTCAGCTTGACGCCTCTGAGATGTCAGAAAGAAAGATCAAGATCAAACAAAAAAGATGATCCTTGATACCTTGATATATCTCAGAAATATATCTCTAAAAACGTTTGCAATGCAATCATAACTGGTCGTAGGCAATTTTCCTAGCTCATGGTTTGCCAGTTTTTCCCGTGCTGTTTAAGTAGAAGCCCAAACTCTTCGTATGTATTGTTCATTGTATCTTCGGCTTTAAATATGTTCCATTCCTTTTCACTTATGGTCAGAATGGTTGGCCGTGTCCTCTGCATCTTCGGTCCTGTTGTATTCCACTCCTCTGACACCAACCCCAACCCCAACACCGGGCCTCGGAAATGCTCCAACCAAGGAGCCTTAGCGCGGCAAACGGGTGACAACGAGTGACAAGTGCTACACAAGCGATCCCCGAGTCACAAATGGCGATAGTTGTGCAAGCATCGAGCCCGAAAAAAAAAACAATATCCATGTCTAGGGGGAACTTAACGAAGTTACTTGGGAAGACGTCCCTACTTTTTGGAATGCATATACGATGAAAGAACACGTTTCTACGTGCTCTGGATATTTCTAGGCCTGTCCTGAAGCAAGGATGATTTTTTTTGCGTCTCCATTGCCAAGGGCCGACATAGTGATTCGGGATTGGGTTGTGAAGTGTTGAATTTTTGATAGCTACCAACCCTTCCTTACAATGGAAACTTTGTTCGGGAACCAAACGAGAGAAATCTTCATACGAATTGGGCGAACGCCAACATCCAAGCCCATTCGCCCATTCCAGCCATCATCACCCATCCCAGAATCAAAGCACATGATCTTCACCCATAATATTCCTGCATCCATAACCCAAACACCGTACCCATTTGTGTGCATCATTTCAAGAGCAACATCCATTGGAAGGATGTGTAGCTCAAAAATGTCCTGCATGGCTTTCAGATTGGTCCTGTGACAGGCTGTGATACCGGACCAAATGTCTAACTTCTCACTCAGTGGTAGTTCGAACAAAACCTGCGGAAGGCAGGGGTGGAAAATCCAGGTAAGGCATCAAGATCATCAAGATCAAGGAAAACTTTATGGTGCTTTTATAGATGCTTTTATAGTGCAACAGGGCCAGATTTTCTTAGACAAAAACACAGGGCCAGAAATGTTGAAACACAGGTGACATCACGGTGACATCTGTCCTGTTTACACTTCACACAGTATTTAGTCCAAAAACAAGAAAAGATATCGTAAAGATATTGTAAATCTCTCTCACTGGTCTGTAGGCCTCTGTCTATCAGATTGTCCTCAAGCGATTTCAAACAAACCTCCTGGCAATATCACTGCCTCAACGAAGTAACGATTGTGCAATTTTTCAGCATCTTTCTGTTCACACATTTCACACCTCTGGTAGTAGATGCCGACCCAACTTCTCTCTCTCCATTTCCACCTGTCAATCTCAGGAACCCACAATCTCACAGTGTTCATCAGTGTTCATCGAAAGCAAAACCAAAAGAAATCACAGGGCATACGAAGGAAGAACTGGGTGAAACAAATGTCGCCAAAGCATTACATTGCTCAAGGCATGAACTAGATATCCTGACACTTGTCTTGCTACACATAGTTCAACTGGAATTCATACAAGTTACAACAGCTATGATCAAATATGAAACATGACATAAACATGACATAAATATTACATAAACTGACCAGACGATTTACGGCCTGGTGTGTGGGTCGTGCCAAGTGCAAGCCGCACAACTTCCAAACACCGTCATAGGTCAGACAGAAATTTTCGTGCGAAACCTGATTGGCGCCACGACATCGGCAAATAGCGATGCAGATCTTTGCAGCAGATCTTTGCAAAGCTGTAAGGTCGGAACACAAAGTAACCAGCCAAGACTATGCAGCCTGCGACGGTGCCGCAGATGCGCACACAAAGTCAAGGCCTAGAAGAACGAAGGCTATCGAAGGCTTAGATTTTATATGGAATCGGAATCAGAGACACTCTCTCCACGCGCTGGATCTGGAGAGATCTTTTTGAAGAACATCCGTGTGTTGGTTACGATTCAAGAATAATTAATTAGACAGGATGTCTTGCCACCACCAAACCACTGCACATCATTTAACATCATTTGCATCACTAGACTTTTTTCATCCGCTTCACTTCTGTGTCTTCTCAAGTTGGGTCATCTTTGCATATCGTTGGGTCCCAGCATGTCCCATCTTTGGCAGTCGATCCTTGCCAAACCCGATAGACCACAGCGAAGAGCGCACGCAGCCCTCGCTAGCGCGGCATCATCACACCTTCCGAGATCTCTGGAGCTTCGAGTTTTATGGATGTGAGATGATGTACAGATATGATGTACAAATATTAATCAGGCTTATCTTCGAGGCTTCACATAATTCACATATAGACATAAAACATCATAAAACATCATAAAACATCATAAAACGGTCATCGGCAACTCTCCATACTTAAGGCATCTGAATCTGCTTCAGTTTCTCAATCCTACTGGCACTCTGTGGTGTCATGTTTTTGTTTGACGGTGCACTCGAGCATGTCACGTAGGCTCAATGCTAGTTCCAATCTTCAGAGACGCCTCTCCAAATCTTTCCAAAGCGAAACCTGCACGACTTTGAACATGTTGAACTGATTCTGTGAAGGATGTGAAATTGGGGGCGGCCGGGTGCTTTTGGAATTTTTGGAATTCTGGTTATTTGATGTTTCTTGATCTCTGCCCTTCGTTTCTTCTCGATCCAAGGCGGTTCGGAAACCAACGCTTCGCAGCGGTTCAATTTTGATTCCACAAGGGATTGGCTGAACAAACCGAAAAGGCTTCGCTGGCCAGTCTTGCAGGCTCTGTCAAAGCCCCGTTCGGGCAAGTCCAACAAAAAGGGGTGTTAGAATCTGTTAGAATCTGTTAGAATCTGTTAGAATCTGTTAGAATCTGGCAAACACTTATATAAACTTATTCTAACATGATCCATGCGAACTATGATATGGGAAGGGGATGGTAAGTTTCAACCCGCCTGGTGCATCTCTTCCACAATTCCCAGCTGTCCAGGCCTTGATATTCCATGGTAACCATGGTATCCCAAAGCTTGCTGTAGGATTCTTATGGATTTGAGGAAAAAAATGGAACAGTTCCGGCAACAAGCTTGCGCTGCAACCTGAGTTTTCCATAGTTTTCCAATTCTGCGACGGTCCTCCCAGAGAGCCACCGATTCCAAAGGCTCGAGCAGGCTCAGTACTGCATCTCGGAACCTTCCCAAAATCATCGACGGAATTGGTTAACCATGTCCTTTTGGGCCTAAATTGGCTCTGCCACGTGCCCTTGAGCTTCCTGTTCTCGTGCGCAAACACAACATAGAGTCCGCAATCTTTGATTGTGTAGTTGGAATCCATGGGATGTGAAACTTGTATAGCCAATTTAAATACCTATCTATTACGGTCTTTCTACGCTATGAAATGACGTGGACATACTGTGCGCCTCAGGAAGTGCTGGTTGTCTTTTGCTTCAATCTGCAGGCGCCGGAGGAACCTAAGTGCTTCGCTTCGGAGAAATTCTATGAACCGAATCTTCGAAAAATCTCCGAAGCGTCTGGCCACAGCTTTCAGGTGGCTGTTGATGTTGATGTACTCATCCCTTAGGAAAGAACTTTGTGACTTCAGCTTCGCTGAAAACATGATGCACCTGAAGCAGAGTTGATGTTGCAGAAAGTGAAGCCATTTTTCTCTACTTGTTTACCCATTAGGCAAAAACTTACTGGAGAAAACAACGACAATGAATGACCAAATGACAGTGAGTTGCAGAATTGGAACAGGATGTCTTTTCAGAGAATCAGCCCAGGCGGAGGTAAGGCTTTATGCCCTTCGGAGGGAGCACAAGGCCCCAGTGGACGTGGTGGGACTTCATTAGCACTTGTTTCACAAGCCTAAAAATTCCAGAAACACCTATCGGATATATCGAAGGGAAGGACCGCCCACCACACTAGTCACTATCTTTAACAGAAAGGGAAAAAGAATGAAAAAAGATTGAAGTGGAGACATCCTCTGACATTGTCGTCCCTGATTGTCGTCCCTGCACCTCCATGGCATGTTCGCCCTCTGCTGAATGGACTTCAAAGACTTGTGCCCACGGCCGCCGTGGTAGCTCCCGTTGCACCTGTGAATCCAGAGGCCAAGATTGGCGATGTAAAATCTATCAGATCTATCAGATCTATCAGCAAGTCAGGTCAACTTATGTCAATTTCAATGACCTTCGCATGCTTTTGTCTTACATTCGTGGAGCTTTCCACTTGTCAAAAGGCTATCCCGGGCTATCCCCCATGACCATCCATGACCATCATATCCATCATCCAGCTATTAGATTGGGAATTTCCCTGAAAACCATCCATCTATGGGGATACCCCATGGAACCCCCATGGAAAAGTGGCTGTGGCACGTCGAGTTTCTCCCAGGTTCCGTCCTTATACCCGGCCACGGTGCTTCCCACATGAGGCAGCCAGGATTGGACCTGCCAACGACGACAAAAGGTGAGGCGACTCAGCATCTCCCAGCATTTCATCCCTCAATTTGAAAGGGAAAAACCGGGGTTTTTCCCTGGGAAAAACATGGGAAAACATGGGGAAGACATGGTAAAAACGCAGAACCGTTTTAACGCACATTGATTGTGCCGCGTTGAAAAACTGAGGACCGCGGAAATGTCACATGACGAGAGGCCATGGGCCATGGCGCGTCCGAATGCCAATCGAAAAACCCGAAAGTTGGCAAACTTCCGACTTCGACTAAGACTTCCAATTAGGTAAAAGCACTTCCCAAATGGGATTTGATATCTTTCAATGTCTTGAATGTGTTTGATGAGGTTGGAAGATTCGTGAGAAGCTAGTCTAGCTGCATTTCCCAAGCGGCGGACGAGCTGGAGCGGAAGAGTAGAAGGTCCATCTGGCAGCTGCACCTGCCATATCTGCCCAAAGACATTGGTTTCTTCTGCTGGAGACACAAGAACTTGTTGCACACGGAAGCGCAAGAACATACCAAATGGATACAAATGGCCCGACAAGAACTCTGTACAAACTCAATCGGAGACATATGTCAACACTGAACAGGTTTATTCCTCCATGTTCGTCCTGCATGTCTCTTCGAAATGAAACTTGAAGCAAGAAATAGGAACAGAAACACATACTATGTAACTACTCCGCAGTTTCACATGAAACATCATGGAACAGTCGTAAGATCAACTAACAGCTTTGTATAGATGTCTGTCCAATTTCTTGAAACGTCTATAATAGTCTATCTGGTTGGTGGTATACCTACCCCTCTGAAAAATATGAAAGTCGGTTGGGATTATGAAAATCCCAATATATGGAAAGTCATAAAATTCATGTTCCAAACCACCAACCAGCAAACTATGTCTATAATGTTGTGATATGTTTTGTATGGAAATGGTGAAACCAACAAGCGTCGGGTTGGAGAAACTCCATTTGCCCCCTCCTGGAGCTGCATGCTTTGGCATGTCACTCCTGCGCAGAATGGCGTTGAATTCAGTGGTTTGTTGAGCTTTGGAAAGCTTTGGCAAGTCATGGAAAACCTTTGGAAAACCTTTGGACCTTTGGAAAACCTTTGGAATGTGTAAATCCGTATAAAGTGACAAGACATGCCCAGAGGTTCAGCACGGCAAAGCTTGGCAACATATCCAATACCTTCAAATACCAACCATATCAACATATCCATGAACGACATGGTCGCTGGATGTCAGTGAACATAGGGAAAGCGCGCGCAAGCAGAATTCTGTGAGCTCTTCCTAGAAATTATTGACTGGATGATCCTCTATTGCTGTGATAAAGCTAGGATCCCATACGTGCAAAGATCTTTGCCATTGTAATCTCAGCCTCACTTGGTAGAATCCAAAGAAATGTTTCCGAGGCATTTGGACAGGATGCCATCAGAATGCTTCCCGAAATTCATGTTTCATGTCACCCGGCATGCCACCCGGCATGCTACCAATGGTGACCATTCTCCTTGTGAAGGACGGGGCCGCGTGCCCCATTTGGCGCGCACATCTTGCGGGGACAGCCTGCCAAATCTGCCAAGCTCTTTCTAACACCGAATTCATGGCCTTTCATCCGTTTCATCAATCATAAACCAACCATAAACCAACCATGAACCAACCATGAACCAACCATGAACCACTGCCACGAGATCAGCCGTCGGCAAAAGATCAGCGATAAATTCGCAGCGCTCCTGCACACGATTCGCCATCCTGGAAGATCATCACTGCCAAGCTCGGGGGGAGCCTCCAGCGGAAGCCTTGGTCTGGAGATGCATGGGATTGCGGGTGAAATCAACATCAAATCTGCACACATTCGTCGCACCTGTCACCTCCAAAACCTAAATCTGAGATCGCTCAGGGACAAGCTGCATGGGGAGATAGGAAGCCTCAAATTGCGGGCGATTCTGCCAGCTGGAGGCAACAATAAGGGCATGAAAAACATGGTGGGGGCGCCTCTAAGAGGCCGTGCGTTTTTTCACATGGATATATTTCTCTTCAATGATGCTTCAAGGTTTCGCCACAACGAGAGCGGTTTTTCACAGATATTTATATATTGTGGGTGTGTCAAAAGTCATGGAAGGGTATGGAAAAATGAGGGTCTCGGTGTGATTTCACTGGTTTTTGTGGGACGAAAGCTACATGTTGGAAAAGGCAGCTGTACGCTTTTTCTTCTCTTTGTTTCAGCCGCTTTTGCGGCAAAGGTCTCCTAGACATTTGTACATGTTGTTGTGGCAATTTCTTCGCCACAGAAAAACCCAGACACATTTCATGATGTCTGTCTAATAACAAAATAATATATATATATATATATATGTTATAACAAAATAATATAAATATATAATAACAAAATGATATAAATATATAACAAAATAATATATATATATAATAACAAAATAATATATATATATATATTATAACAAAATAATATAAATATATAATAACAAAATAATATATATATATATATATTATAACAAAATAATATATATATATATTATAACCATGTGCAGCGTATAATATATATATAACTTGAAGTCCATCATCAATTTCTGACATGATGTTGAACAAAATACTATATATTATAACCATACGCAGCGTATAATATATATATATATAACTTGAAGTCCATCACCAACTTCTTACATGATGTTGAACAAAATACTATATATTATAACCATCTGCAGCGTAGCATATTTTTAACTTGAAGTCCATCATCAATTTCTGACATAATGTTGAACAAAATACTTGTATATCACAAACAACTACCTGGTAGGACACCTCTATACCCAAACCCGAACCCCACACCATCATCAATGTAACATCAACGTATTAAAACGTAACATCAACATATAATCAACATAACATCAACGTAGCAACGGGGCATGATCAAAGTAACATCAACGTATCAACAGTAGCCTCAACGGCTCCTCAATGTAGCATCACAGTATGATCAACGTAACATCAACGTAGCATCCACGTCGCATCACCTTGCACGCAAGAGATATGAACGTTATCACACCCCACCCCACCCCACCCCAAAAACCTCAAAAACGCACGGCCTCTTAGAGGCGCCCATTCCAAAAACATGGCATTGAAATTTGCAGAGTCCATGAGAGAAGCAAAGATGCCATGTTTTTCAATGGAGGGTGCAGGTTGGGGGCCACTGACCCGCTCAGCAACTGACATCTCCAGAATGTAGGGACTGTTTTCCATCCTGGCAGAGTTTTCCCCAGAAATTGCCAGTGCCTGATGAGCTGATGTCTAAGGCCATAGGATTCCATGGGCTTTGCGCCCCATCGGGAAGCAACACAGCAACAAAAGCGCAGCTGGCATACATGTATCATCATGTATCATCATGTATAAATATAATAATGTACATGTTTGTTTATACAATACCCATCTATCTATCTTTTCTCTATCCATCTATTGAGGTATCTATATTTGAAGCTTTGTTTCCAGACTTGTCCCATAATGGAGCAAGTCAAATAGCTTGGATTCTATGGCCAGCCCAATGAAACGAAGCTTCTCTGGTGCACTGACAATGTATGTTCAAGAATATTTCTAGAGACAAGGTCAATACTTTATCACATGTTGTCATACCTTTGTCATACCTTTGTCATACTTGTACTGTATCTACTTTTTGGATCTTGAGGGATCTTGCTGGTTGTTGAGTTCTTGCTGGACAAAGAACATCAAAGAACCCCCTGCTGTCGACATCTGTCGACAGTGCCACATCACCTTCCGCACATCTGGAGCCACCTGAAAGCACAACAAAAATAGTCAAAAATAGTCAAGATCATCAAGTATCACCAGATTCACCAGTATTTTTCTTGAACTGGTGAAAACTCAACAACTCCCGAGCCACCAAATGCCGTACACTGGACCTTCGTGCTGAGTCTTGGACCTTACCAGAAGGCCTCGGGCTGGGAACAACTCCCGCGGCCTCTGTCGATGCATAGCACCTGAAATGGTCACGACATGGTCACGACTGATGACAATGGTCAAATATTGTCAGGATGAAGATACACACCAGTAAATCAGTATAATAGTGCTTATAATAGTATATAATAGTGATGACAATTGTCAAATATTGACACACATCCCTAATCATCACTATTATATACGAAAAATAAGCATTGAACGCAGCTGTAAATCCTGAAATGTCCTGACTCTAAAGCACTGCAAAATGAAACACGATCTGTTATCGCGCTTTGGAAATTCATCGGCCAACTGAACAAAAACACCTACATAATCCTACATATCCATACATGTATAGTATACATATAGTATACACACACACACATTACAGTGCATTACATTGGATTGCATCACATCACATCGTAACATCACATCACATCATATTACATCACATATCTTACATGTATCACCTGTATCAGATCCATTAGATATATCACATAATATTACATATACGACACATATCATGTACATCACATGAATATTTATCCCACGTCCTAACGTCCATTGTCCCGCCCAGCGAGCTTTCTCAGCTCAACACCCCATGAAAAAATGCCTCAGGACATCACAGGTTTTAAAACTATGTAGGCGAAGCAAATTAAAAAAGCACCTCGAAACATGCAAAGAAAAACAGAGAAATCTCATGGAATCCCCTTACCTCCCGAATCTACCGTTTATATCTAATATATTTTAATATAGTATATGTCTGAAGTTCTGAAAGGTTTTCATCACTGGGTTTCAAGCTGGCTCAAGGCAAACCCGCCACTGAGATAACATTGGCACTGGCTCAGGCTCCAAAACGTGGACAACTGGCAGCTGCCAGGCAGCGTGGGGAGCATTTAAAAATTTATCATGAATCATGACGTTCCAAGATTCACTGGAGCTATCTCTAGCTTGTTGATGCTCATATGTTCACATAAGTCGCTGTGAACGCTCTCTTCCAATTGCTCGAAACTCAATACCGGCCCAGTTACGATGGATTGAATACTTTGATTGTACTGATTTGCCAGTTTCTGTCCGAACTCACACTTATGACTTATGATTCTAATTCTATAAAGTCTTGGCATGTCCTGCTTGTTTCACATACCAGACATGGTCTGAGAATGTCTGAGCCATGACTTTGGACGTCAGCGAAGTCTACGTCTCAAAGGTGTCCACAGTCGATTCAGCTTTCGTATACCTCTGCCTCGCACAAGCCTTGCCTTTGCTTGGTTTTCTATATTTTTCTATTGCATCCAGAGAATTCAAATGGGTGTGTCTGAAAATCACATAGACCCGGGAAAAGGATGGAAAATCAAACCTCGATTTTTTTCCAGTGTGATCTCCCGTGTGTTTCAGCAGCGAATTCACAGGGGAATTGAAGCCCTGGCAGCCGTGTGTTTCTTTCACGCATCGCTTGTGGCGCTCGTCTCAACGTGTCAAAGATCGCTACCATGCAGCTCCTGCAAAGGTGATCCTCTGACAACTGCAGTAGCAACTTGCTATGTTTTCAACCCAGTCACCAACTACCAACCACTAGTGACTTGGTAACAACTTGGTATAGCAACTTGGTATATCCACTTACATCAGTTACCAACTAGTCAATCACCAGTTTCAATCCACCAACCACTTACCAAGTGTATCTGGTGCATTGCTGGCACCTCACAAGCACTCCCAAGCACTCCCAAGCAGCAAAGCACACAAACATGTAGAGACAGCAATTGAAACATCTGGCACAGGTTGAAGCGAAATGAGCGCCTCATAGCGCTATCCCCTCACTCCAGTGACGTTGCTTTTCGTGTAGTTCAGAAGACACAGGGAACTGGCCTTTATATGTAGTTGTTCTCGATGTTTCTGGTAAATACCGTAAATTAAGTATGCTTCAGTCACAAAGTCCATTGCCTAAATCTGTCCAAGTATGTTATTCAGTATGGTCAAGTGCTACCTGGAATACACCTTTTCAGTCATTCTTTGCCACCTATATGGATCTGTATACATATATTATAGTGTATATATATATATATACATTAAATGGTGTAATATATATATATATATATATTACGTATATATGTGGAGATGAAAAATCCTTTCGTGTTTCGTTGAACGAAGACGGCGCCTTCTCAATGAGCTTCGTGTACGCCTTGGAGGCCCCAAATGTTTGTTCTTCCGATGTTCTTCCGATGTTCTACCGAGATGTCGAGGCTGTTGAGGCCAGGACGCTCTTCCCTCCCTGTTTGTTGAAATCTTCGATTTGGGCGAAATTCCTTCGCTTGGCTATAAGCCTCAGTGACTCAGTGGACCAAAAAATGTGTAGGGCATGGCATGACTGGAATTTAGCAGGACATCGGTGACATCGGCACAGCAAGAGACAACTGAAGCCTGTGTCAACACCTGGGGAATCCCAGAATCACCGAAATTCGGGGGATGGGTAAACTGGGCTCCACACTTCTCAAGAGCAGGGGGGTACTGGCCTTGCACACTGGCAAGCTCAAAAAGTGAACCGTGCAGTCTCACATGTGTTTTCTTTCACGAAATCAAAGGCGATTCTGAATCAGTCCTAGGAAAACCAGTCCTCATCAAATTGTCCATTGGTAAAATCATAGGAAAACCATTGGAAAACCATCGAAAATCATAGGAAATCATAGGAAAACCATTGGGTTTCTGGCCAACACAGTACCAACTGCCAGGTGCATCGCAAATGCGATTCTTCGGATCGGCCACCTCAGCTCGAATCGGAAGAATCACCACCATCAAGCGAGCTACATACGGCTCCCATTCTGGGGAAAATCATGAAAAAGGGACACAAGTTGCAATGTATATATCATGATATATCATGAGATTTCATATTTTTTCTAGATCATGATCAATTGATATCAATTGCAAGACCCTTTTTAAAAAAACAGCGTTGCGGCGAATTATATTCTGATTGACCCATGACGCATCCGCTTTTCTCCGCACTTCAAGCATCAGGGCACCATATCCTGACACAACCTGGTCGCACGTCGCTGGTGAAAAACGGGGCGTCGGTGTGCAAATTCCGAGGCTTGGCGAGCGCCCTACCCACTAAAAAAAACACAATCCCAAAATATGTCCGAACGACTAGGTAACTATGAAGGTAACTATGAAACACTGTAAACAATGGGATGATCATGGGATTATGATGGGATTGATGGTAAATCATGAATGGGACATCGTCTCTATATATATATATACATACCACCATTATAGCACTGAGGGCCACGAAACCACTTTGCAACGCGTTGTTACCCTCCTACGTCTTCGAAAAGCCGCCAGGCAGTCATTTGGGGCAGCACCAGTTTGGAAGAATGTGTCGGAGCAGATCTTTGGTTCAATGATTCAATGATGTTAGGATATGTTGACATAGTGGTGTATTAAACTTTAATGTATATATTTTAATATATTTTAACAAGACTGATGAATATGAGCAAGTTGCGATTTTTTGGTGTTACATCTGTTACATAGTTACGTTACGCAACATATAGTTACATTACCAACAGCATGGTCCAACATTGCTGCCCATGGCGGTTTCATGCTTGAAACCCTTCGGATCCCTCCGGATCCCGCCTGGTTCACAGCACTTTTCCAGGGCGCATGTGATGGAAGCCAAGCGAAGCTCATGGAGGCCAAGACACGCAGCGATGTACCTCGACAGTCGTCGTTTTTTGTTGATATGTCACCGTGACATCATGTTTGTTAAGTAATCAATCATATCAATCATATCAATAACGACGCAATGCTGTGTGGAAACTTGATATAATGTAACATAACGCAATGTAAGGTATAGTTTATAAAGGTAATGCAATGCATTATTGTTACTACTATTACCTTTATTCTTATTATGATTATGATTATGGTTATGGTTATGTATATATGAGTCCGGACTCCGGATCCCTGGCCCCCCCCCCCAATGGTATGGTCCCCCCCAAATGGTATGGTCCCCCAAGCTCACGCTCTCGGGAACACGGGACACGGGACCATACATACATACATACATGCATACAGACACACACACACAGACAAACATACATACCTATCTACCTACCTACCTACATACCTACATACCTACATACCTACGTACCTACGTACCTACATACACACGCACATACATACATACATACATACATACATACATACATACATACATACATACATACATACATACATACATACATACATACATACATACATACATACATACATACCTACATACATACATACATTACATTATATTACATTACATTGTATTACATTACATTATATTACATACATACATACATACATACATACATACATCCATCCATCCATCCATCCATCCATTACATTACATTACATTACATTACATGACATGACATTACATTACATTACATTACATTACATTACCATACCAACATACCAACATACCAACATACCAACATACCAACATACCAACATACCAACATACATACCAACAACATACCAACATACCAACATACCAACATACCACATACCAACATACCACCACCACAGGCCACAGGGGGGGGGACCAGAAGAACCATACCACCACCACAGGCCACATGGGGGGGGGGACCAGGGGGGGGGAGGGGGGGGGCTTTGGGAGTCCTGGGTCATATATATATATATATATATATCTTACCAGAGTAGTGTTTCAGATTTTTGAATTGTGAACAGAAAAATCGCTGTGGCCACAGATTGACCAACAAAGGAAGTTCGATGCGTTCGACTGGCATGGCCAAGCTGCCAGCAAAGCTTTGAATTCGAAAAGGCTGCGTTCGATGTGCAAGCTTCCCGTCAAAAACCACAGCCCTTCCAGCTTGATAGTGGTAAGTGACCATTTCGTTGGCATCCCACGGTCGAATTTCCTCGCAGCACAATGGCACAACGTCATCAGATGTTTTGGACTCCAGCTACAGTCTCTGCATGCTTTGGAAAAAACACACATCTCAACATCTTCGTGTTGAATCTGCCAGTGCCTTCAAGTTTCCTTCAAGTTGATGCGCACATAGATGCACAGGGCATCAAATGGCTATATTCAGCCATGTCTATAGCTATATATAGCTATATATATATGTATATGCTTATGCTATCCGCTGAGCGCTATGCTTATAGCCACTTTCTTAGCTAATTTAGCTACTTTCTTAGCTACTTCCAGCCAAGGTGCAAGATGTCCTTCAGATGGGAAACGATCTGGCCATAGGGGCATCAGTGCTGTAGCTGCTACTCCTCGAGGAATCTTTGGTGGACCAAAGTCCAAGTGAAACTTCGACAGATCGTCCATACAGTCACCACTTGCGACCACTAGAGAGGCTGCCACCAGAGCGAAATCATCCCCTAAAAATCGGAGCACATGCTGTCCCGCTTTGGCAAAAACCTCTAAGGTTGCAGCATCTGACGCCCAGTGCCAGGACATACTGGAAGGAAACGCTGCATTCAAGCCATCAGCACGAAAAAATGATCCAGTTGACTCAGTTGATTCAGTTGCAGTTGACCCTTGGGCTTCAATTGATTCAACGCTTTTCCTCCCTTGTCCCCGAAGCTTCGGTTTTGCGGTCTTTGGTGAAAACTGAGGAAATTCCCGGGTGAGGTATTCCTGCGCAATGCGTTGTAAAGGCTCCACTGCCGCAGAAGGGATTCGAACCACACCACAACCTTTGCGGCGAAGATCTTGACGGAAGCGCCAAGGGAAGAAGCGAGGCAAAGGCGTCAAGCTGCGCCGTGACCGCTTTGACTTTGACCACTTCGACCTGAGGAGTCGCAACGTGAGAGCGAGATGAGAAAAAATACCCAGAGTCTGCTTTGAGACAGCACGAGCTTCAGCACGAGCTTCAGCACGAGCTTCACCACTTGAAGCACTTGAAGCACTTGAAGCACTTCCCCTTCGACTTCGTGCTGTACTTCGTGTTACTCTACTTCTTTCGACTTGTCGTTTGTTTACCCAAGGTGTACGAAACCACATAGGAGCTACGCTACGCAAACAGGGGCCACCACAAGGCACCATGGCGAACCTCTCCATTCGCACTGAGCTAATCGATGCCAAATGGATCAGCTCCAGTGGAGCTTGAGCCACTTTTTTCAACCATGGCTGCCATGGTTTCAAAGCCATCAATGGCAGGGTGTTTTTACATCAATTTTACATCTATCTCATGTTGGCCCTTCCAATGTCTGTTTCTGTGTTACCATTCACCTCAGGTATAGGAAACGCGACAACACCTTGGATATTGTTGCCGTGCATTCTCAAGCTAGTGCACTGGACACGTCTTGATGGGTGGTCCCGGTATGTTTCGGTGATGTTTCGTGTTGATGTTCAATGATGGTCGGGCCCTCTGAGGATTCTGAGGCCTCAACCCAATCTTTGCTCTCTTGAGACACGTTCATCACTTTGTAAATGCGCATCAAGCCATGCTTGGTCGTGTGAACCTGGAGCAGCAAGAATCACAGATCACAGCACGAAGAGGGCTACAGCAGGGTGGCTAGGATGGTTGCTTTCCAACAAGGCTTTCAAGGCTTGAAAAAAAGGTGGACCAAGATGACCAAGATGACCAATGACCCAAATGCTGGGTCTCGGTGCCTCCTTGAAGAGCTTCTCATTCACTGAGACACCAGGACCTCATTGGCCACTCCACTTCAGAATACCGCAGGACATCGGAGAAAATCACAATGACAACGCGGTTAAACAGTCGGTTGACCAAAAGAAAAACAGTTTGGGCAAAGAAAAGCATTCGCAAACCAGTGACAACTGCGTGAAACATTCATCGTTGGAAAGCAAGAAAAATGTGTGACGTTTTTGGCTTCAAAGGCAACAAATTTCTGTAGACTCTGTGGACTCAGCAATTGCAGTCATTTGTGCCACAACAAATTTCTCAGAAGCAACAAATGGACGCTGCAGCCATACCGATGGGTTAAGCTCTTGGCTAACTTTGTGCTGGCAGAGTTTGTAGAGAAGAGATCTCGCCATCATGGGAGTCGGTGAATAATCCTCAGCGTGGAAAATCTGGCGTTGGCTTGTTGCATGGCATTGACATTCACCTGTTGCATGGCTTCCACGGAATGTCTGAGGCACCAGGCAGAGTAAAAGCTGAATTTGTTGCACTTGGGGTCGTCATCCCCGCAATGATCAGGGAAAACGGAATTGCCAATCCTGAATTGTTGGTAGACTCAAGCCAACACAAAGGCAATCAAAAGCACTCTGCCAAGAAAAAAACACAAGTAGAACAGGCGCAAAGAGAGGAAGATGAAGCGAAATGACATGAAATATAAGACTAAATATGATATCAAAGTGAAATGACCTCAAATTTACTGAATAATTTGTGAGTAATCTGTGATTTTTCTGTGAATTTCTGGGAGATTTGGCCATGTCTTCACGCTACTCAGGGCTTCACCTTGCCAAATGAGGCGATTTGGCCAAGTCATCCCCACCGCCACCAGCCCAGACCTCGCCGCATCCCCAAATGTCGACTTTCGACGATACAAACTGACTACGTTGTGACTTTCATGTTTTTGATTAGTCATTACTCATCATTGAATTGTCATTACTTATTTTAAGCTCGTGTTTTTAATATAACTTTCTGTGTTGCTCTTGTTTTGCTGTTGTACTAATACACTCTTCACATCTCTTCACCCCGCCAAGGAGACCCTCCTGGCCAAAGCCTACACGACATGGGTCTATTATAGCTCATCAAAGACGCCTCCAACGTGTAAAGAGCATCCTTTCAAAAGCTTTTGTTGACGTGTTTCTCTTGTATCATCGTGTATCTATGATTATCTATGGGCCTATGGGGCTGTTTTGCTTGGAGCTAGCGCGTTCATCGCCGTCAAGATCGGATCAAACGGCAAAGAGTAAGGCCAGAACCAGGACATAGTCTGCCAAATGGCGAATTGCATTGTGAGCCTTGCTGAAGCCAATCTGTCAACGCGTTCAGTGTGCCCTATAAGCCGGTCCAAAGTGTGTGACAGTCTGACCAAAACCTGGCTGTGACTTGGGTAACTTTGGGCAACTTTGGGCACAAACTCAAGCTGTTCGATCGTCTTTTCTCCAGGCCAAGTCTGCCCCGCCTTCTTCTCGCTGCTGGTCAAAGTACGGCCTTGGCGTCATGGCTTCATTGCACAAAGTGACTACGTGAATGTGTGCAAGCGCAACCGCAGCATTTGAGGTCCACAACGGCAGCACCAAAAGGGTGTGATTTGGGGTTGTTGCAGCAACCGAAGAGAGATCTAAACAGCACTAGCGTTGCGATCTAAAGAAACGAAAGCAATTGTTGATATTGTTGACATCTAAAGCCTCACACCCCTCTGACTAAAGCATGTCACTCAAAACAAGATTGACTCCCTGTCAAGTTCCCATCCCACGTGGAAACCCTGTGAGCACCGAAACTTGGACCAACATGCTTCATTTCATGTCATACATCCAAGTTGGTTGATGTTGGTTGTGTGGGAGGACCCGGGAAATCGATGGAAATCCATGGAAATCGTGGCATGATCTACCACGTTAATTAGTCTTCCTTTGAAGGCGCTTAATTAGGCCAAACTAGGCAGATGAAACGTTACCAGTGACCAATCAGATGGTCGATGGGTTTTTCCGCATTGCTACTGTTGATACCTCTCGACATTTGACTGGGGTCAGGAACCCAGGGTTGCGATGTGCTCATGGTTCCAGGTGTTGCCTCAACTTCCGGAAAAAAGTCTTGCAGATAGTGCGAGCTCCATGAGCTGCTCAGAATCCCTGTGACCCGGGCCATCCGCGATGGATGTGCGCTTCGCGATGCCTGTGATCTGGTATCCTTGGCTGGCTTTTGGCCACCATGTTCTCATGGTCATTGATATTTAAACGAAGAGAAACAACAAAGCTGCACATCTATCAATCCATATCAATCCATTACCGTCTAAGGTAAAACATGGTAAAAGATTCATATGATTCATAAGGATCCTTTTGATGAATGCTGTGGTAGAATTGCTGCTCAGGAACCGTAATCCCACCAAGCCATAACCCGTGAGTCCTGCTCAGGCAAAACAGCCGTCGCACGATGTCACACGTGCACGTGGAGTATGGGATGTTGAGAGTGTGGGAGGAATAACGGTTCTGTTGGTCTATCATGTTCTATCTCATGTTCTATCCTTAAACAGAAGACACGGTTCTGTTGAAAACGCAACGCGAAGAAATGACCAGAGCCTCGAAACTTCTAATGCTCACAAAAACTATGCAGATTTATATAGTAATTCTTCAAGGATCACATCAGATCACATACAACTCAAGTCTGGAGGCACTTGAACAATGAGATTCTTGTGCGGGTCAAAGTCATGAGTACTTTGAGTTTTTGGGGGAATAACTTCAGTACATGTTCTTTGCTGTTTTATTCTCAAAAACTCCACAGGTCCACATCTTCAAAACCAGAAATGAAGAGATGAGGGATGAGGAGAGAGGAGTTGAGCTGAAACACTGCCTTTTCTGACTCACTCCACTCGCTCCTTGGGTGTGTTCTCATCAATCCATTGGTAACCTCAGGGCTTACCGAAATCCAAGCGATCCGGCCAAGCGCGCTGCCAGTGTTGAAAAACAGGAACCCTTGGAACGATGTACACTCTGCGGCGCCTTTCAAGTAGTCATCCACAATAAAGTTCTGGCCTGTCCGCTTGTCTCGCCTGGCGAGAAAAGCGGCGTGTCTAATTAGTGACATATCAAGACACATATCAATCATATCACCATCACATGTAATGGGTCTAAGTTCCAGGCGACATGAAGACCACTTGAGGGTTTGAGAGGGACCTTATCACCGAGACGGATCCAGCCGAAAGGAGCCAGACTGGTGCAACAGAGCCTTTTTAAGTATGTTAGAAAACGAGCACGTGGACGGAAAACAAAGCACAGCCTCAATAATGGAATAAGCAATCGAAAGCAGAAAACATAAGGAAGAACTGAAAGCAAACAAGGCGGGAAGAAAAGCAAACGAACGTAGACTTCAAGTATGCAGAAGGACGAAACAACAGCCCAAAAAAATATAGAGGCAAAATGCAAAGACGGAAAAGCATGCAAGAGAAAAGGAAACAAAAGGGGCAAACGGACAAGAAAAGAAAGCAGACATGAAAACAAAAAGAAGACATAGAACAAAGCCAAAAGGAAAAAAAATATAGTTGAGAAACGGTTATATAAATTGCTGCTTGGTGTGTCCTTCCTTTAGTGCGTCATATCTTTGATCCCGTTTTTTGTTTGGATCTGTTGTTGTTTCTTGTTTGTTTTTGGGTTTCTTTATTTTACTGCTGCCACTGGCTGCCACTTAATTCAGGGTTGCTATTTGTGTCTTGATCCGTTTGTTGTGCGTTCATGTTCAAGTTGGAAAAAAAAACAACCAGAGCCGCTGACACAAAGCTAGACCTCGAATATGTCTTTGAGATTTCGGGCAGTTGACCACCGCCAGTGATTTTCTCCAGGATCAGGTAGCTGCAAAGTTCCAATTCGGGAAAAACTGTTGGGAGGCATCGCAAGAAATCGAAGCCAAACATGTCATGTTTATTAAATATAGAGAGAGAGAGGGAAAACATGGGAAAAGAGTCATTTATCGTAATACCGGTATTTATTATTATGTATTGATATTTCCTAACAGGTCTTAAGATATTTCAACATAACTTAATATGCCTCTGGGTAAATTACAATATTTCACTAACTTGAATAGTTGGGCCATTTGGGGATGATTCCCCGAATCCTAACCATGATTCCAGGGTTCGGTCGCAGTGAGGTCGTGATCAAATTTACCCAGATTTATGGATACCACTTTTATACCACTATTATAGATATTTCAACATAACTTAATAATAATTATCTATACCACTTTGAAAAATCCCTATTATATACCACTATTATAGATATGTATACCACTATTATATGCCACTATTATAGCTATTTACTTGGTGATATACATAGATAATGTAATAGTCCTAATATTGATTAATATGTCCAAGTAAATTTCAACATAACTTAAATATACATTGTATTTACTTGGTGATGGTTCCTGCCTCGTTCGTTGTTTTCTGAGCGCTTTACTTGGCGACCTGATCGCAGTGCTGGATGAAAGTCGGCACTTTCACCGACAGCGGGCTGAGAAACACAACCTGAAGCGGGATGAAATGGGATGGGGCTACCCCAGCTGGATGGTTTACCCATAAAAAATGGTGATTTACCCACTAAAAATGGTGATTTTCCATAGTTATGTTAGTCATTACCAGAGGCTAATTGTGGTAATTCATCACTATTTGTTGTACTCCGGATGGTTTATTGATGTTTATTGGGCCTACCAAAGTAGCTGGATGATTTTTGAATGATCACAAGGGGTACCCCCCCCAAAAAAAAATCGGCCCATGACTTGAAGGAAACCTCCACAACTGTCAATCGAGCAAACAAAGCTCCGCACATAGAACAGCAACACAACCGATAGCATAGCTCGGCCCACTAGGACGCTCGGATTGTTGTCCTGGCAGGAAGCAAGAGTTGGTGGGGTGGAAAAAGAACATTTGGGGATACCCCTATTTTAGGAAACCACCATATAGCTGAATATAACACCTCTATAACTGTACGAAGACTCCAAGTCTTTCCAAAACTTTCCGAGTCTTTCCGAGTCTTTCATGTGTGGAACCCGTGGAACCCAAACTGCAAACTTGGCGGCACACCAGCATTGTTCGAGTTTCCCGGTAGCTTACCTTGGGTCAACCGCCACACCAGGCAGGATGACGTGCACCAAACGAAAATTGGAAAGACCCTTCCATGAGCCAGTCCTGCTTATGATGCTTATCTACATCGATTGCAAATGGTTGTCTCACTGCCATGTGCTTCCGGACATGTGCGGACATGTGTATATATACAGAGTCAGAAACAAAGCACCCCAACGAGGATACAGGTATAATATATATATATATATATGTATATATACGTATAATATATTTTTTTTAATATTATGTATATCGTTTCACGGGGTTGCTCACATTGTGGCAAATACATTGTCAACGATCTCAGATTCTTTTCTACCCATTGATCCATGTTTTTTAGAATTGTCATGAACCAGGTCGCAGAATATTCCTAATGCTGCACCAATCGTATGAAGAATTATGAACCAAGGGAGAAGGAACCAAACAAGCAAGCACCAGAAACAGGTCAGAACATATTTCGATAAAATGGACCATTGCAATAGCAGCCTACAAGACGAAGCACATCAATGACAAGGAAAAATAGCAGGTCTGCTCTGCCTTTTTTTTGACCAACAGCAGCGGATGATGATGCCATGGGGTTGAAACAGTGGCATGTACTTGGTTGCTTTGGCAGGCAAACACGCCTGAAGTATTTGTAGTAAATCGGATTGACACCGCAGTAGATTTCGTAGATAGACTAAATACATCTAAATACGCCAGATAATGATAAAGCAGAAAATCGCATATGTAGAATGCGAAAGACCTATAGGTCTATAGGTGGACAAATAGACTAATGAATTGATGACATAGGCTAGAAGAGATGATGCAAGGGCAGGATGGATTAGAGGTAGAAAGAGGATCACCCGAAGTGAAGAGGTCAGATAGTTGGAGAGGTAAATCTACAGACGTAAACGTACTGTAGTAGGCAGGTAGACAAAATGGCACAAAAGTATAGCCAACAAACACCTGGACCCAGACACAGTCAGACACAGCCAAAGCAAGGAAAAAGGGATATATACATAGGTATTTAGACGGTATAGACGGTATAGATGTAATGTATATTAGTGTAGTATAGATGCAAAAACACGGTTTTTTATTAGATTTCATTGATTGTCTTGTCTCGTCCCTTTCAACATCGCCACTGGTCGCTGTATCAATGTGGTCTCTCTCCATGATGTTCCGCCATTCCTCTCCCCAAGGCCATGGCGAGATTTTCCTCCCTAATGGACTTGTAGAAATAGCCTGACATCAGCCGCAAGGTGAACGTCCACTGTTCATAGGCACTTTTCAGCAGGTGGATATGGTGGATCCAATAAAACAATGTAATTTACATCAGGATACACAAACTCCAGGCGCGAACAACCTTGATTTAGCCTACAAAATAAGGTGTTGAGCATCTGCACACATACTCATGTCAAGCCATGTTTCAACAATGTTTCAACAATGTTTCAACAAGATCTATGAAATCAAAGCTGTAAATAAATTTCAGCACTTTTTCAACCAACATCACTTATTATATCACCGGTTCTTTTTTCAACATAAAAAACACATGGAAAAAACTGTAGCGTTTTGAACCCGTTGTGGACACCCGTTGTTTTTTCAGATCGCTGTAGCGGTGGAACCCAAGGGGCGCACTTTGGAGAAGCCGCAACAGGTGGTTCGCTCCACCGGGCCTCTCATCCTCCTCGTATTCCTGGCGGATAAATCTCTGGCGAATCATTGGAGATATCGAAAGCAAAATATGTATATATATATATACATATGATATATACATATGATATACATATGATATACATATGATATATACATATTATGATATATTTATATGTAATATGTATATCTGTTCAAGAAAAAAGTGAAGAATAGTGACAATACATAGAGGATAGATAAGTATAGGCTGACAGAATACATGGCAAATCCACAATATGTGTGATCCAAAGACTCAAATCGAAGCCAGCCTCCAAGGTCCAGTCCACTTCTACCTGGAGTCGAACTATTTTCAGCAACTGGAAGAGCTTCAGGATGACTCCATCATGACTCCATGATGACTGAGGTGTTGGCTGTGTTGGTGGTGTTTCTTTTCCCTGTCTTTTTAGCCTCGCGAGGAAAATGTGGAGCGAACAGAACCATACAGAAACATACAGAAACCACTAGTACCTAGAAGTACCTGCAGTACCTACATGTTACATGTAAGTCACATGTAAGTCACATGTATCTACTAGGCCGTCTGGGATCATTCGTTCCCAAACGCTCCCATTTTGGCGAAAGCCGCTGGCCTTTCCGCTGTTGGCTTTTCCTTTCTCCGACTTCTCGGACTTCTCGTCCTTTTTCTCCTTGCTGCTATCGGGTCCCTTCTTTGCCTCACGTCGTTTTTACAAAGCTAAGATCAGCTAAGATCAGCTAAGATCAGCTAGGTCTGTTGTAATATTGCTGTATGAGTTGTATTCCAACTTGGTGAAAAGCTGGATGATTTGTATCATTTTGTATCACTCATCTGCTCGTGAAGATGTGCACCTCGGCTGGAACCGATGGCGGAGCATATCCTTTCTTTCCCAGCAGCAGCAGGAAGGGCTCAATGAGCTGATCTGCCACAAAGCCACACCTGGCATTGCAGACATGATCAGACATATGCTGTAATTGTGCTTTGCTTGTGAATCTGCGACTCAAGAGTTCCAAGAAACCCCCAGCAAGTTGCAACAAGTTTTAACAAGTTGCAACAACAAGTTGTTTCGCACATGTTTGAGGCTTTTTTTGAGTCTTCTCATTCCCGCGTAGTGACTTCAATGTCATAGAAATATCATTTCAACATGTCATAGACATGGCATAATTACGCTGATCTGGGTCAACAATTGTAACGACCTCACTGCAACCTCACTGGAATGATGGTTAGTGCAGTTTGTATAGAGAATCATCCCAAAATCACCTTATTTCAGGTGAGTGAATCATTATGATTTGCCCAGAAATTTCAAGGCCACAAGGTGGGACATGTCAATTAAGGCCGGAACCAAATCCCGCATGCCACTGAGACAATGGGACCGCAAATCAAGACAAGGCCTAAGAGTGTCATGGTTCAGAAATCTGGCCTGTTGGAAAATCAACCTCCAATTTTGGTCACAGCATAGCAGAAATGCAAAGCTAAGATGTAAAGAGGTGCGAAGATATGTTTCATGTCACAAGTAAATGATGCGCTTCGCATCTCTAGTCAGATCCTACATCGCAATGGGAAAATGACATTAATCCAAACAACTCGGGATTGACTCACTCAACACTGCTTGGGGACCTGTTTCCCACTTCAAACTTCAATTATTTTCTGTTCAGTTTGCATTGTATGAAGCTTGTCGTGACGCAGTATGGACTTCAAACAGGAAGATATGACACTGCGGTGACAGCATGTGGCAATGATTGGGATATATTATCTATATATATATACATTATATATACATTATATTACATCATATCATATCATATCATATCATATCATTACCAACAATATGCCATGCATCTGGCATGTGCACCGCACATGGCAATGCCTTGACACGACACGGTCATCACGGTCTAAAACCGAGGTCTTTCCGAGGCGTTGGCGTGACATCTTCCCAGAGAAGTGTTGCGCCACGAAGCCATAGAGACACAGAAGCAGAAAACCATTGTTGCGATGCCACAAACCTCGGGAGATACCCCAGAAGATCGGATACTATCGGATACCTGATGATTACTCATGGTTCATGCTAATGCTTCCATTATCAATATATATATATACATACATATACATATACATATACATATACATATACATATACATAAACATATACATATATATATATACATATAAATATATATATATATATATCCGGAAATATCAGTAACAGTTTATACAGCATGTGGGGCTCTGCAAAGGTTTGCAGTGAGACAACTGGGCAGCACGAGGCAGTTTTGGTTCCCCACTTACAAGGCCACCCAAGACCACGTAGTCCAAGGGCAAGTTCAGGTAGCTCGCGTACATGGAAGGGCTGGCCTTGCAATCCATCTTCGAACTTTTGGCTGGTGGTGCTATGTCTTCTAGAAGATTCTGCTAATACAGTTGAGGGCTGAAGTCACAGCAGTTTGCTTGTGGACAAACCGTTGAAAAGTCGCCACGACCGGTCACAGGGTCAAAGCAATCAATCTCCGAGATGATGGCTGGCTGATGTTCAGCAACAGAGTCGACCAAGGGATTTCCAGTCTTCGTGTGCTTGACGAACCTTGGACCAAATTTGACGAGAATTACCCAAATCTTGCATTCTACATGGGTGCAGATGAACGTTATAGTTTAAGCGTTGTAAACGATGCATGCGATGCATATGACGTACAACATGGCTGCAACAGTTTATCACCTTATTTGAGTTATTTTGTGCATAAAATGACTGCCTACAATGTAACTAAACCATACCATGCCCTACCATACCATACCTTTACTGGACTTGACATGACATGTATATACCTGCTACTTGTTTCCTGACAAAACCTTCTGTTCTATTAATCAGATTCTATACCCTCTGGCAGTTTAACATAACTATGGAAAATCACCATTTTTAATGGGTAAACCATCTATAAATGGCCATGTTCAATAGCTTTTTGTATGTTTACCAGAGGGTAAATTTCGCAGCATGACAGCCTCACAGCCTATCGCATGGAGATATCTGTCGGTCTCAGGGCATCCCGACAAGCCCCGTATCCGTGAGGAGATGGGGCCGAAGTACCTGCGAAAAATGTGGGCCCCAGGACACGACGTCGCAATGTCGGATTCAAAATGATTCACAATGGATTGGATTAAGGGAAAATTTACAGGAAAACCCCATGTTTAGTGGGAAAATCTATGGTTTCCTGTAAATTTTCCCTTAATCCAATCCATTGACAAAATGATTCACCACAAATGATGAAGACGTGCAGACAAAAAAACCTCTGTGTAGATGCCAGATTCGAAAAATTACGTAACACCGCAAATGAAGAAATAAAAACCTCTCTGCATTACACACGTAGAGATGCAATGATATGCATGTAGAATCTGGCAGAGAGGTGATGTTCATTTCTTGTAATCATATTGCTTATCCCTCCCACAATTCGAACAAGTTTGTCAGATCTGCTGACATAGTCTCGCAGCAAATCGTGAATCTGTCTGGCGTTGATCTTTCCCCAGACCATCGGGCGGAATACTTCCCAACCGCCAAACAATAAACCAACTTAAAGGGGTAACTTGTTGTTGTGCACCATTTTGTCTTGATTAATTTCGATGACTGGACCGGCAGTATCTGCACTTCCAACTCACAACAAGATCAGTACAAGATCTTGGAGGAAAAAATCCGGCTCTCAAAATAACAGATTCACAACAAACAAGGATAAAAAAAAGGTACGAAAACATATACAACAGTTGTAAAAACAACTACAACCATCCAAAAAAAGGATGAAAAAAACTCTGAAAAACCGAGCGATGCGCAGCCGATGCGGCGCGGGTCACCCAGTGGGGTAAAGAGCAGCGCAAACCAACGCTGTGACAACCACCAGCGCCGCCATAACCTGAGCCACAGCCGTCGCCGACTGAAGGACTGGAAATATATATTTGTGCATGTATGATACACTTTACACTAAGTTTGACACTTTCTGACACTATTTGACACTAGTTGACACTTTGTGACACTAGTTGACACTATTTGGCACTCTTTGACACTAGTTGACACTTTGTGACACTAGTTGACACTATTTGGCGCTACTTGACACTAGTTGACACTTTGTGACACTAGTTGACACTATTTGGCACTACTTGACACTAGTTGACACTTTGTGACACTAGTTGACACTATTTGGCACTCTTTGACACTAGTTGACACTTTGTGACACTAGTTGACACTATTTGGCACTACTTGACACTAGTTGACACTTTGTGACACTAGTTGACACTATTTGGCACTCTTTGACACTAGTTGACACTTTGTGACACTAGTTGACACTATTTGGCACTACTTGACACTTTGTGACACTAGTTGACACTATTTGGCACTCTTTGACACTAGTTGACACTTTGTGACACTAGTTGACACTATTTGGCACTACTTGACACTAGTTGACACTTTGTGACACTAGTTGACACTATTTGGCACTCTTTGACACTAGTTGACACTTTGTGCTACTTGACACTAGCTGACACTTTGTGACACTAGTTGACACTTTGTGACACTAAGTTTGACACTATTTGGCACTATTTGACACTTTGTGACACTAGTTGACACTATTTGGCACTCTTTGACACTAGTTGACACTTTGTGACACTATTTGGCACTATTTGGCACTATTTGACACTATTCGGCACTTTGTGACACTAGTTGACACTTTGTGACACTACTTGACACTAGTTGACACTTTGTGACACTAGTTGACACTATTTGGCACTCTTTGACACTAGTTGACACTTTGTGACACTAGTTGACACTATTTGGCACTACTTGACACTAGTTGACACTTTGTGACACTAGTTGACACTATTTGGCACTACTTGACACTAGTTGACACTTTGTGACCCTAGTTGACACTATTTGGCACTCTTTGACACTAGCTGACACTTTGTGACACTAGTTGACACTATTTGGCACTACTTGACACTAGTTGACACTTTGTGACACTAGTTGACACTATTTGGCACTACTTGACACTAGTTGACACTTTGTGACACTAGTTGACACTAGTTGGCACTACTTGACACTAGTTGACACTTTGTGACACTAGTTGACACTATTTGGCACTACTTGACACTAGTTGACACTTTGTGACACTAGTTGACACTATTTGGCACTACTTGACACTAGTTGACACTTTGTGACACTAGTTGACACTATTTGGCACTACTTGACACTAGTGACACTTTGTGACACTAGTTGACACTATTTGGCACTACTTGACACTAGTTGACACTTTGTGACACTAGTTGACACTATTTGGCACTCTTTGACACTAGTTGACACTTTGTGACACTAGTTGACACTATTTGGCACTACTTGACACTAGTTGACACTTTGTGACACTAGTTGACACTATTTGGCACTACTTTGACACTAGTTGACACTTTGTGACACTAGTTGACACTATTTGGCACTACTTGACACTAGTTGACACTGTGTGACACTAGTTGACACTATTTGGCACTCTTTGACACTAGTTGACACTTTGTGACACTAGTTGACACTATTTGGCACTCTTTGACACTAGTTGACACTTTCTGACACTAGTTGACACTTTCTGACACTATTTGACACTAGTTGACACTTTGTGACACTAGTTGACACTATTTGGCACTCTAGTTGACACTTTGTGAGACACTATTTGGCACTACACTTTGTGACACTAGTTGACACTATTTGGCACTACTTGACACTAGTTGACACTTTCTGACACTAGTTGACACTTTTGACACTATTTGACACTAGTTGACACTTTGTGACACTAGTTGACACTATTTGGCACTACTTGACACTAGTTGACACTTTGTGACACTAGTTGACACTATTTGGCACTCTTGACACTAGTTGACACTTTGTGACCCTAGTTGACACTATTTGGCACTCTTTGACACTAGTGACACTTTGTGACACTAGTTGACACTATTTGGCACTACTTGACACTAGTTGACACTTTGTGACACTAGTTGACACTATTTGGCACTCTTTGACACTAGTTGACACTTTGTGACACTAGTTGACACTATTTGGCACTACTTGACACTAGTTGACACTTTGTGACACTAGTTGACACTATTTGGCACTACTTGACACTAGTTGACACTTTGTGACACTAGTTGACACTATTTGGCACTACTTGACACTAGTTGACACTTTGTGACACTAGTTGACACTATTTGGCACTCTTTGACACTATTTGGCACTATTTGACACTAGTTGACACTTTGTGACACTAGTTGACACTATTTGTTGACACTATTTGGCACTACTTGACACTAGTTGACACTTTGTGACACTAGTTGACACTATTTGGCACTACTTGACACTAGTTGACACTTTGTGACACTAGTTGACACTATTTGGCACTCTTTGACACTATAGTTGACACTTTGTGACACTAGTTGACACTATTTGGCACTACTTGACACTAGTTGACACTTTGTGACACTAGTTGACACTATTTGGCACTCTTTGACACTAGTTGACACTTTGTGACACTAGTTGACACTATTTGGCACTATTTGACACTAGTTGACACTTTGTGACACTACTTGACACTATTTGGCACTATTTGACACTAGTTGACACTTTGTGACTAGTTGACACTATTTGGCACTACTTGACACTAGTTGACACTTTGTGACACTAGTTGACACTATTTGGCACTACTTGACACTAGTTGACACTGTGTGACACTAGTTGACACTATTTGGCACTCTTTGACACTAGTTGACACTTTGTGACACTAGTTGACACTATTTGGCACTCTTTGACACTAGCTGACACTTTCTGACACTAGTTGACACTTTCTGACACTATTTGACACTAGTTGACACTTTGTGACACTAGTTGACACTATTTGGCACTCTTTGACACTAGTTGACACTTTGTGACACTATTTGGCACTATTTGGCACTATTTGACACTATTTGGCACTTTGTGACACTAGTTGACACTTTGTGACACTAGTTGACACTGTTTGGCACTATTTGACACTAGTTGACACTTTGTGACACTAGTTGACACTATTTGGCACTAGTTGACCCTAGTTGACACTTTGTGACACTAGTTGACACTATTTGGCACTCTTTGACACTAGTTGACACTTTGTGACACTAGTTGACACTATTTGGCACTAGTTGACACTATTTGACACTTTGTGACACTAGTTGACACTATTTGGCACTACTTGACCCTAGTTGACACTTTGTGACACTAGTTGACACTATTTGGCACTACTTGACACTAGTTGACACTTTGTGACACTAGTTGACACTATTTGGCACTCTTTGACACTAGTTGACACTTTGTGACACTAGTTGACACTATTTGGCACTCTTTGACACTAGTGGACACTTTGTGACACTAGTTGACACTATTTGGCACTATTTGACACTAGTTGACACTTTGTGACACTAGTTGACACTATTTGGCACTACTTGACACTAGTTGACACTTTCTGGCACTAGTTGACACTATTTGGCACTATTTGACACTAGTTGACACTTTGTGACACTAGTTGACACTTTCTGACACTATTTGACACTAGTTGACACTTTGTGACACTAGTTGACACTATTTGGCACTCTTTGACACTAGTTGACACTTTGTGACACTAGTTGACACTATTTGGCACTATTTGACACTAGTTGACACTTTGTGACACTAGTTGACACTATTTGGCACTAGTTGACCCTAGTTGCCACTTTGTGACACTAGTTGACACTATTTGGCACTACTTGACACTAGCTGACACTTTGTGACACTAGTTGACACTATTTGGCACTCTTTGACACTAGTTGACACTTTGTGACACTAGTTGACACTATTTGGCACTCTTTGACACTAGTTCACACTTTGTGACACTAGTTGACACTATTTGGCACTACTTGACACTAGTTGACACTTTGTGACACTAGTTGACACTATTTGGCACTACTTGACACTAGTTGACACTTTGTGACACTAGTTGACACTTTCTGACACTATTTGACACTAGTTGACACTTTGTGACACTAGTTGACACTATTTGGCACTAGTTGACCCTAGTTGACACTTTGTGACACTAGTTGACACTATTTGGCACTACTTGACAGTTGACACTGTAGTTGACACTAGACACTAGTTGACACTTTGTGATTTGACACTATTTGGCACTACTTGACACTAGTTGACACTTTGTGACACTAGTTGACACTTTTGGCACTACACTAGTTGACACTTTGTGACACTAGTTGACACTATTTGGCACTTGACACTTTGTGACACTAGTTGACACTATTTGGCACTACTTGACACTAGTTGACACTTTGTGACACTAGTTGACACTACTTGGCACTACTTTGACACTAGTTGACACTTTGTGACACTAGTTGACACTATTTGGCACTCTTTGACACTAGTTGACACTTTGTGACACTAGTTGACACTATTTGGCACTACTTGACACTAGTTGACACTTTGTGACACTAGTTGACACTATTTGGCACTACTTGACACTAGTTGACACTTTGTGACACTAGTTGACACTATTTGGCACTAGTTGACACTAGTTGACACTTTGTGACACTAGTTGACACTATTTGGCACTCTTTGACACTAGTTGACACTTTGTGACACTAGTTGACACTATTTGGCACTACTTGACACTAGTTGACACTTTCTGACACTAGTTGACACTATTTGGCACTATTTGACACTAGTTGACACTTTGTGACACTAGTTGACACTATTTGGCACTCTTTGAGTTGACACGTTTTGACACTTGTTGACACTACACTTTGACACTATTTGGCACTATTTGACACTAGTTGACACTTTCTGACACTAGTTGACACTATTTTGACACTTTCTGACACTCTTTGACACTAGTTGACACTTTGGCACTATTTGACACTAGTTGACACTTTCACTACTTGACACTAGTTGACACTTTGTGACACTAGTTGACACTATTTGGCACTACGCTATTTGACACTAGTTGACACTTTCTGACACTAGTTGACACTTTCTGACACTAGTTGACACATGACACTATTTGACACTATTTGGCTTTCTGACACTAGTTGACACTTTCTGACACTGTTTGACACTAGTTGGCACTTTCTAACACTAGTTGACACTATTTGACACTAGTTGACACTTTCTGACACTAGTTGACACTTTCTGACACTAGTTGACAGTAGTTGACACTTTCTGACACTATTCGACACTTTCTGATACTAGTTGACACTTTCTGACACATGTTGACACTTTCTGACACTAGTTGACACTAGTTGACACTATTTGACTAGTTGACACTTTTTGACACTAGTTGACACTATTTGACACTAGTTGACACTTTCTGACACTAGTTGACACTTTCTGACACTATTTGACACTAGTTGACACTTTCTGACACTAGTTGACACTTTGTGACACTAGTTGACACTTTCTGTCACTTTCTGACACTAGTTGTGACACTAGTTGACACTATTTGACACTAGTTGACACTAGTTGACACTTTCTGACACTAGTTGACACTTTCTGACACTAGTTGACACTAGTTGACACTGTTTGACACTATTTGACAATTATGTGTGCTATTTGACGCGATTTGACGCTGTTTGACACTATTTATTTGACATTAGTGGACACTATTTGACAATTATTTGAGGCTATTTGACGCTCTTTGACACTATTTCATGCAATGTGATTTGACACTATTTGACTATTTGACACTATTTGACAATATTTGACATTAGTTGACACTATTTGACAATTATTTGAGGCTATTTGACGCTTTTTGACACTATTTCATGCAATTTGATTTGACACTATTTGACTATTTGACACTATTTGACGCTATTTGACAATATTTGGATATATTTGGCACAATTTGACACTATTTGACACTATATTGAAAATTATTTGACAATTATTTGATGCTAGTTGACTGTCATTTCAAATTCATTGAAACCAGTTCTGGCTCAAACCCAAGTTCTTCGGTGGCAAATGGCCAAGCGATGTTGTTTGAATTTCGTTTGAGCTGAGACATTCACTTATGAGGCAAGTGAAAGTGCAATAAGAATAATAGAATAAGCGACATTCTTTGGAAAAAAAAACACAATTTCACAGACTGTGCATCTGACTTTGATTCGGAAGACCGCAAAGTCAAAGGCAGCCATCTGTCGCCTCCATGATCTGAAGGACTCTAAGCAGGAAATTGCGGGTCCCACAGCACTTCCAAATTCTCAAACCTTCCAGCTGCAACTCGGTATACTCGGTGCATGGCGCAACAGGACACCCGGGACACCCGGGACACACCTTCGCCTTTGCCAATCGCAGAAGGCAAGCACTTGATAGCCGACAAACACCATCAAGGGACCTAACCTGGCGAGACAAGGATCGGCGTGAAGAGTTGACCATCCACATTGACGGTGCAAAAAAATATCATCAGCTCCTGGCTGTTCCACGGAGCGCAGCGGTTGTAAACCAACCACTGGAACCTGCATGGCTCCTGCTGTCCCCACCTGGCTTCACTGTGGAAACTTCGCACTTTCCATTCTTTAGATATCTTTAGATTCTCGAACTCAGGGCCATGCTATGTAGAAGATGCTGTAGGCCTTGTGCACCTGTCGAAAAGCACAACGGTGCGTAATACGTGTAATACGTGTAATGCGATGTGATGCAATCCCATCTGGCCATACGCCATGCATTGCCATTGGGCCATGCATTTCTCCCTGTCTTCCTGCCCCGCTCAACTCTGAAGTTGCTAAGTTTCACAACTCGAAATTTCTCGAAGAGTTACAATAAACCCGTCTTGCGAAGACTTCTAGCTTTAGGGCACGGTTGTATTCGGAAACTCCCAGGAGGGGTGTCATGGAAACTACTGGCATGATCTGCGAGAGGTCAATACTGCACAAAGCTGAAGCTCATTTTCCCTGTCACTTCTCAGCTCAGAGAACGGTTTTAGCAAAAGCAGCACAGCTATGGTTTATTACAATAATTCAAAGTTACTATGCCAATCATAGCTGTGTTCTCAGGCTTGGAACATTCCGAACATGTGATGACATGAACAAAGGGGGTAGCGGATTTGATCCCTTGGAATCTAATCCCTTCAATGCTTCCTGAATACGACGGAGCAGTTTCTGAATACGGCAAAATAGCTGCTCGACGCAGTAGTTTCTGAATTCCCAGTTTCTGACTCCAGTGGAGTTTCTGAGTCCGACCAAAAACCTCCAGGTTTTAACATGTTTAACGGAAAAAAACAGGCACTATCGCCTTCCCCAACTCGTCTCCAATCATTTGGCCAAAGAATGTGGGGGCAAAAGCTGGGACTTTCAGATGCTTCACAATGGAGGACAATGGAGGATCAGCAAGTAGCAAATGTAGCAAGTAGTACGCCCACAGCTTTGCGTTGGGATTGATCGTCGCCACAGGTAGTTATCAAATCGAGAACGACCGTCTTGAAAGATCGTGTTAGATTCTGAAAGATTGAGTTCATTCAATATCTTCATAGTCACCATTAGTCACTGAATATGCCAGTGTTCACACTGGGATAACTGGATAAAAATGAGGTAACTTAGGTCATTCGCATGTCATTAGGATGTTGTTTTGCTGGTTGTTTCTGAGCTCAGAGCCCCCGAATTGAAGCGCCCCAAAGCTGCCAAGAGAGCTGCATGGAGCCCAACCCTGGGCACAGGGTGGAGGTCATCGGCAAAGACTGGAGAGGGACAAAAAAGCATCTACAGACAACATATATTATATATTATATATTAAATATTATATATTATTATATATTATATGTTATATGTTTATAATATATATATATATACAAAACCCCGGGTTTTGGTCCGAAACCTCGGGTTTGCATCCGAAAGTATGGGTTTCCGACTGAAACCTTTATTTTTAACGGTTCTTGGCTATGAAGGTATATATGGTATATTGTCTTTTATATTCAAATTAAGATGAATCAAGATGAGACTCTCTGAATACAAATGAAATCACCGCAAAGCCTATGACATCTGAGCGGCTATCTTCATCAACTGCCAAGGTCTGGACATGTTGATCACAAAAATGTATCCACCCCAAGCCTTGTCTGGACAGTTTGCACTCTGCAGAACCGCAAAAAACATGGAATGAATCCAGCACTCCTCAGTGTTTATCTGAGGACTGTCTCGTACAATCTTCACCAGCAGATTTCTAAGCTGTCAACTGCCACCATGTAGAAGTAGGAGAGGCCTTCGCCGGAGGCAGCGTTCAGATTTCCGAATTGAGTTCATAAAAGAAGAAAGAGGAAACAAGGCAGCCACGAGGCAGCCACGAGGCAGCCAAGTGGCACTGGCCATCGACAAGACTTGCGACAGAAATTTTGTTGCCAGAGCCTGCAAGTACGCTGATGGGCCAGTGTGAGGGAGTCCTCACACACAAGAGCCACCTGAAATCAGCACACCAGTCCAGTACTCGTGAAAAACATCTGTGACTTGTGAATGCAATGCCCTCTCTGTCACAGCAACTTGTTGGATCTGGATGTGCTTGGTCTCCGAGCAACCAAAAAGTGGAGCAAATAGCAGTGACTGCAACTGCTTCGTTGTCGAACTCCCCTCCGACAGACCTGAAAGGCACTTGGTCTTGATCGGTTGGACACAAAAGGTTCACAATCCTTTGTCAGTTGTTCACAATTAAGCAGTGTTACCCCTGTTGCTTGATTTTTTCTCAGGGGGATTACATAATACATATATATATATAATGATTATATATATATGTATATATATTTATATATATAATACTAGCCTTCACAAAAATGGGTGACGATTTCTGATGTCCATCGCCTCATGAGGTGAGCGGGAATCACAGCCATGATCATCGTTGCTGCAACGCCAGCGTTGACCTCACAGATCCCAAAAAAGGCCATTTTGAGGTGGAAATCTATGGAAAATCTATGGAAAATCCATGGAAAATCTATGGAAATCGGGAAAATATGGGAAAGATATGGGAAAATCTTCAACAAATGGAAAAATCTTGGGGAAATCTATGGAAGATGTGTAAAAAAAAATAGGTGGGAAAAATATGGGAAACAATGGTGGGAAACATGATGAATGAGACTGAGATATTTGACAAATACTTGACAGCAACCTTGATATTTGAGATTTCGGCACTTCGAGAGATCTCATATGTCAGGAGGCCCGTGAAGATGGACCTCACAGCTAAAACGCACGCACAGCTGCTTAGCTTTCACAGAATCGTGGCATCATGGCGTCGCATCGTTAAGGGCCCGGCGCGTAGGTGCCAAACCACGGAGGAATCATGCAACAAATATCATTGAGACCTCAAGGCGAGACCCATGTAACCCATGTAACCCATGTAACCCATGTAACCCATGTAACCCATGGAAAAGGCTCATGTCAATGCCCATTGTAAACTCAATGTTCCACGAGCACCATCCCGATTTCTGCCACTTGAAAAAACTCCCAAGAATTGATCAAAGCTATTCCATGCTATTCCACTGTGGAAGAGCCTCTTACCATGCCGGACTTCTCCTTGTTCTCACTTACCTTCTGGTCTCTCATAGTTTCCACTACGGATTTTCACTGTGGTGCTTTTTCTTTCTGGCTATTTAATGATATTGGATCTCAACGCTCTTAGTAGTCTACTCACGCCACACTAACTCCGTGGGTTCCACTTCCGCACCCTCTTTAGTGGATGATACACAAGCTACACTTCAGTATGCTGCCAGTTTGCTCAGTAGTTGAGCCAAAATTAAGGCAAGAGTTAAGAACTATCGTAACTATCATGAATATTCATGAATTATCTGCACAAAAATGTTCCTGTTAAAGGAGTCAGAGATAGTCAGAGAAGAAGCGAAGTGGCTGGAATCGACAGGCTCCAAGTGCTGAACTCATTGGTGTGAACTCATAGCTTTGCTTGATGGAAGGCCTGAAAATTTTCCAATCGAAGGCTTCCAGTCGATGGAAATAATGATGGAACAATATTAGGGACAATGCCATATGCCATCCATTCTGCCATCTGCCATCATCTGCCATCTATTCTCACAATGATTCCGCTTTCGAAAGACTCTTGGGTCACACATCAGCCCCCGGCAAAAACTTCCAGCCGCTTTGTTTCAGAGAGGAGATGAATGGCCTGGCAGCGCTATGAGATCTATGAGGAAATCCGCTAATTTTCGTCGCTCATCTGCTCTCGCTATGCTCTCGCTATGCTCTCGCTATGCGCTCCTCAAAGCCAACACGAAAGATGGAGTTTGGACTTTGAATTCTCCAATCTTTTTCATCACCTCAAAGCGAAGCGCACTAAAAATTCTCCGAGTAAAATTGGCTGGAAATTGGATGGATCCGCTTGGAAAATTTCACGAGTTTCTTCATGTTTCTTCATTTGCCAATGTCATAGAATTGGATGATGGGAAAATTTACAGGAAACCCCTATATTTGATGGTAAAAATAGTAAAAACCATGGTTTCCGGTTAAGATTTTCCCTTAAACCAATCCAGTGACAATGTGTTCTTTGATAAACTTGTGATCAGTTCAGAAATTCCTGAGTCCAAGGCCTCCCAAATAGCTACTCCTGTGACCTGCCAAAGAAAAAAGGCCATTGCTGTGACGCCGTGACACAGCCAGGTCTAGCATTGGTCCCTCGGTCCATAGGCCTGCATTCCTGGATAAATCCTGGGCCAACAAATGTGTTTTCGATGTGGATTTACCCGGCCTGGTAAACACACAAAAAACTATGGAACATCACCATTTTTCCATGGGAAAACTCACTATAAATGGCAATTTTCCATAGCTATGTTGGTTTACCAGAGGGTATCATGATTCATGATAATTCATGATTTATCCATTGGTGAAGCCGCTGCAAAAACTGAGCTGCTGACGTCGTGCCAATGGGGCGTCCTAGGGGGTACCATGACTCGTAGTCATACCACCGCAGAAACTTGTACCTGCAGCTTTCACATCTCACGGCTGCTAACAGCCTCACAAAACACAGCAACTGCAGCGTATGGCATAGGATCCATGGTGCTGGTATATATATACTAACATAAAGGGGGTATATTGATGGTAAAATATGGGATCCATGTTACCATATATAGCAGCACCATGGATCCGTCATGGGTATGGCATAGTACAGCTGACAGCGAAAAGTGATGAAACCTCTTCGTTGGACGTACAGCTGACGGCACAATCCATGTTCCGCCAGGTACTCTGCAGCGCGGTAATTAAACCAAGGGTCGAACCTGTCGCGCGAAAAGTCACCATGGGCAGTTTTCAATGGATTGTTTAAAGGGAAACTCTACAGGAAACTACAGATTTTCCCATTAAATATGGTGCTTTCCTGTAAATTTTCCTTGAAACCAATCCATTGAATTTTGGTATATTTTGGTGAGCATCTCTGAGCCGTCTACTCGTGAATAATGTAGCCGAAATCCTGCGACTTCTCTCCACTGCACAAACGTCGACACTGACAATGGATTCAATGGATGCAACGGAACTATCACAGGGCGCGGTTCTGCCCACCAGGCCTGTCTTTACACTGCATTTCATATGAGCTCTATAGTGGTTTGCAATGCTTTTCACTTCATCAGTCTTCATCTTGCAGCTTGCCATTCGCAATTTCAAGACTCCAAATGTCTCTGGCAGCTACATCAGGCTCTTTGGGTAGTCAAGATGCAAAGCACGCGACGTGTCATGCTTAGGAAAAACCAACGACCCCGTGACCCCGTTGCTATAAAGACATGATCAGGTCCTTGATTGGATAGAGTCGGATGTCGTAAGCTGCATAACATCCTCAACACTCCCCACGACACATCACAACACAGACCTCGACCCTGGTTAGAACCAGCCGTAAGGCGGAGAAGCTGCTTGTTTCACAAGCCCATGTCTTGCACTTCTCAAAACACCTACAGTACCTGCAGTAATTATTCTGTATGTGTATGTATTTGTGGTACATGAAGAAATTGTGTAAAAAAATCTGTGAATATGTTTGCCTATTCAGCTGTAACATGTGCATTCTGTGTATATCCGTGTCATCATCATCCTTGCCATGTTGAATCCGCCAGGGTTCCGTAGAGAAGAAACAGGATTTGGAGAAGCACGAGGACCTCACGAGTCCGTCAGGTCGCGACGAGCGGCTGCAACGGCTGCAACGGCTGCGGATCCGGCTGCGGATCGAGCTCCCCACAGCTTTGAAAGCAAGTCTCACCGGAAGCAAAGCACTCCTCAGATTCCACTCCGAGAATTCCAAGTGCGCCGGATGCCTGAATTCTTCATGGAATTTCATGGAATCTCATGGAATGTCATGGAATTTCTGGTCGTTTTGTCTAGCATCCCAAGGAGTCATCTTACAGGATTGAACAAAGAAAAGTTGCTGGGTCAATCCCCGACAATGTAAGAAGAAAGCATGGAACCCATTGGAACCCATTGGAACCCCTTGGAACCCGCATCTTCCGAATTCAACGAATTCTGCTTGGTGTTTCGCATACTCCTTGAATTTCGGTGATCCTGGCAACTTTCCGCTAGGAGAATGGAACCTTCCTTTTCACTGGGAGGCACGGAAGCCAACCCTGAAGCAGGAGAAATCAGAGTATGATAGCGGATAGGGAGAAAAAATTAGAAAAACACTTAGAAAGAAACAGAAACTCTGCATGACCTCACATGACTTCTGCCTTGACAAGTTCAAGCTCTGTCCCTGCGCTCTGAGATGATGACATTTCTGCCTCGCGGCACCTGCCAACTGTCAACTTTCCAGCCTTGTTCCAGCCCTTTTAGGCCGTTGAATCCATTGCACAACATGTTCTCACAATGTTTTCAAAGCTGCCTAACCAAAGCCTACCGGTTCGGTTGAAGTTCTTTCCCAATGGCTTCCTCTCCCTGTCTTGTCCTGCCATGTATCCTTAGTCTCCGTCTTACCCAGTAGTCCTTCTTTCGTCTATTGACGCAATGCCGGGCACTGCGCAGTAAAAACTTCATCCTCCATCATCCTATCCCTCGTCCAGTGTGTGTTTCATCCAAGGTCTCCAGTGTTGTTGTTGCATTGGTTTTATCTGCATGACGTGCCTTCAGCGCCGACACAACACCCTCCCGCGCCCATGAAACAAAATTGAGCCGCAAAATGCTTCGGTGCACCGAGGCTGCCATCAGGTGCAACGTGGCGGCAGTTGGATGATTTGGATCGCAGAACATCGCAGTCTCGAGATCAAAGAACGCCATCAGGGGGCGACGCCGTGGCCGCCATGTTTTCGGATGCTTTGGTGATTTACCAAAGTTTTTGGGCCGTGAAGCCTGGTGAATTTCTGAAACCTATTGAGCCTAGCTTTGAAATCTGCCTCGTTTGAGCTCCAGCCAGCTCTCTGCGAAATGTACATTTCGAGCTCAGCAAGGAAAGCTGACAGCGCCGGTGCACAAATGCACCAAAAGAGGGACCACATGTGCGCAAGTATGCGTAAGTTTGGGTAAGTATGCGTAAGTTTGCATATAAGTATGCATATGTACAGTATGCGTAAGTATGCACAAACGCAAAATGCACACAGTGCCTTCCATTGATGCACACTGGATGCACAGTTGCAGCAGTTGCATCCTGTGAACTTTCCTTTGACTCTTTGACTCTTTGACTCTTTGACTCTTTGACTCTTTGACTTCCTTCAATCTAAAGGAGACGTTGCAGCCCCGAAGGCCCGGGCATCAAGATCAAAGCGGACGTCGCGCGCATCGCGCACGTCGTAGGAAGAAGACAATTCCACTTCCTCCAGATTCGCATGTCCGCGTCGTGGTGGGCCGGTTGGATCTTTCTCTCCCTCAGTGAGGAGCACCAAACCCGCCATCATGCCCAAGATACAAAGGACATAACCGCCCAGCTTCCACCAGGGAGCTTCATCCATCTCTGCAAGGACTACAATTGCACTCAGGCTGTTCGTCACGATACTGGCACCCATGAAGACTGTCACCATGAAGAGTGCCTGCAACGACAATATGCCATCTATATGTGACTCATTGCCATCCCCTTGAATGCAAATGAATGCAGGGTCTCATGTATTCCAGAACGAATTTGACAAAGATGGCTTTTCTTAGGAAAAGCGTCCTTTTTGAGAAAAACATTGCAACAAGGATAGCAGGTGGCTATGGTGTGGCAGCTGAAGCAGTCTCTCTCGGTGACCCAGCTTCTCATTCAATTGGACTGCTTGGAGAAGTCATTCCATTCTTTGTGGCATCTTGAGAGATGACGTCAGCTAAGCTGTGGTGAATGCAGATTCTTTCGGGCACCCCATTGAAGTCACATATGAACTTCGGACAAACAAACTTTCAATAATATTAGAATATATTAGTCATGTGTATCCTAATTGAATCAGATTAAAGAATCTTGAGCACTTGGGGATATTTGGGGTACATTTGTGAGTATTGTTCGAGCATGCTTTGAGCATTGTTCAGGTCTCTGTTTGCCCTAATAAGGGGGGTTCCTAAAATGGTGGATCTCCCATTTTAACCATGGTTTTCAATACTAACTAAGTCATGGTCATCACCGGATTTAGTGGCTACCATAACGGAAAGATATATCGGAAGTGACCCCCTTTTTTTACAATGTTTGGGTGTTTTTGTTTAATCTGTGCCAAAAAAAATCATGGTGGATATCTTCAAAATGCTGGCTGAGTTTTCATGGAGATCTGGGATTCTTTGTTAAATATCTTGAAATTGCTGCTGAAATTTGCTGGAGATCATTGAAATTCATGGCCTCATAGTGCTGCAAGCCCAAAGAGATGAAGTAGAGATTCGTGGTCGAAAAAAACACCGCTGCTGCCAAGGCGATCCACGAGACCGGATGAAGCCATGCTATGCAGTTTCCACCGAGGCATTGCTCCAACAACACCGCAACCTGAGTGGCCTACCCTCTGGTAATGACTAACATAGCTATGGAAAATCACCATTTTTAATGGGAAAATCCACTATAAATGGTGATTTTCCATAGTTATGTTAGTTTACCAGAGGGTACGTTGAAAATTTTATGGCCACCGTTGAAAAAAAGTGTGTTTTTTTGGAAAAGGTCTTGGAAAATTATGGACAGCTGAATCTTACTAACACAAATATCTGAAAACAATCTCATCACAAACTTAATGAATCTATCAATAGATCTATGTCTATTGATAGAGTCTATTGATAGTATCAATATATCAATGAATCTATGATCTATTAGTGAGTCTAGCTGAAGCGAAGAACTTTGCTATTCTGCAAATTTGATAGTTTCATATGAGTCGTTGATTCACAAAAAGCGTCAAATCTGCTCAGTTGACGCCCACATTTCAGGTCAGAACACTCGGCACCAATCCCTGCCGTGTTTCGGATTGCCAAGAGCTGGTGAAACAAAACGTTTCGAGGATGCAAGATATGTGAAAGTGCCACACTGACAAAGAGTAGTAAGAGATAGTAAGAGTAATGTAAGAGTAATGTAAGAGTCATAAAGAGAAATGAGGCACATGGTCGGTTGGAATGTTAACAGAAAAAGCACGCTCAGTTTCCGTTTTCCAATGTCTACGAGTCTACCAAGGCATGTCGACAAAAGATGTTGACGCCATTCAGTTGAGCCGCGATCTTCGTGCACCACATATTCCCCGCCAAGGTTCCTCCGAGGTTGTGATCAGTGTAAAGCAAGACTTTGTCATGGCATGTCATGGCAAGCAGAATAGCACTCAGCACAATCAGCACAATCAGGGCAGAGAAAACGAAGATGTTGGCTTTGCCTGGCCTTGATCGGATATATACAAGTTCTGCAAGGACATGTTCATCCCGTATGCAAAGATTTGTGCAACAGGTTGGGAAAAACAAGGAGAATAGTTGTTCATTTCTGATGCGACTCGTATATCTAATCTGCTTTTGCCGTGTTTTTCTGACTTCCAACTGTAGCTCCATCTTCCATGCACTCTCTTGGAATCCAGAACGAAACTAAGACCATGGAACGAGACTTCTAAGTTTGCAGAGACAACAGACAAAAAGATGGTGCATGATGGTGCAGTGCTGCCTGCTGTAGCACCCAAAGAGAAACCACGCACTGCAGATCCATCGGGATACTTCATCAATACAAAGTTATTGAAGCAGAACCTTAGAGGCTCAGAATGGCTCAGATGACAAGAACTGCACATGCGAAGAGAACATGAAGTGAAATGCATCAACTTAGCCCGCTTAAGAAATCTATACTCAGTATCGCGGTGCGTGTGAACTCTCAAATCATCTCAAATCTATAAACTAGTATAAACTTATAAACACACTTGAAATGGGTGCAAATACTTGGAGGCAAAAATCCATCCGAAAAGTTGGCTAGTTTTTAGTTTTGTTAAATGTTATTATTTTTCCAGCAAGGAGACCAGGCAATAAAGCACAAGCCATAGATCATGGTGCGGGACGCAAGAAGGACATGCTTCACGTACTCTGCGCTCCAATTCACTTCGTTGATCTGTCGGAAGAACACCGATGCTGTGGCAGTGAAGAAAATAATGGCAGCGGATGAGAGTCGACGTAGTGTCAACGTCTCACCCAAGGAGCATGGTGCGATGAGAGTATTCCATACAATGTCCATCCCCGTAACCGGTGCTATGACAGACGCAGGTGCCATGGCATAGCCTGCAATGTCACACGCTGGGTTCAGAGCAATCTGCAAAGCAAGGCCTTAGCAGTTGCCATCTCCAAAGCAGAAGGAAAATAGCGCTGTGCGTTGTTAATCATATTGCATAATATTGATGGGTATTAATATTTATTATGAATGAATATGAATGAACTGTAACAAGGGTGGCATTACAATATGTTACCATATGTTACCCCAACTTTGCTGGTCTACTTCTCCACTTTGAAGCAACGCTGCTTTCTTAATTGCGTTGTAACAGATGAATTTCCAAAGCAGAAGCCCAGCAGCCAGCAATCAGAAGAACATTTCCTTCCTTCTGCTTTCTGCGCTCCTGTGAAATGGGCGCGTGTTTAGACCCGAAACATGACGCATTTTTTCCATCATTGCATCATGTTCTTCCTTGCAGCCTTAGAAGATCTTAGAAGTGGTGCAGGAGAAGGAACTACCCAGCTTGAGGGAAAGGTTTCAGGATTCTTGCATAGTAAGCATGATACAATGCACTTAATACACCTAGTGCAAGCATCGTAGCAAACACCAATTTCTAGTGCAGTAGCAAGTGCAGCAACATGCTGCCAATCTATGTCCTTGGCGAGCCGAGAACATCGCACCATCTGCTTCCCGATTGTTCCAGCCAATGTCCCCAAGACAGCCAGACAAACCTGAACAGAGCTACCATGGTTTGGTAGAGATCAAATCTTTGGATGAACAGGATGAAAACTCTCAACTCAACGAACAGCTATTTAGTATCTTCGTACCCCCCCAAAAAAAAAACAGCTGGAAAACGGTCCTTCGCTGATCGTTTCAGCCAGGAATCAAACCTTCGGTTTTCGTCAGTTTTGTCATCTTTTTGGATCTGTTGAAGTAGCATCTCTTTTAGCTCGTTGAAATTCACAACTCTGTTGAACAGTTGAACATGGAGTAACGGGCTCATTTAATGTAGCCAGTTTGGTATGCACATCTTTCTTCGACGATAAAAAAATGTCTAGAGGTGCGCAAAAATGGAAGATTTTGCACCAAGGATTTTCCGATGAAGGTAGACTAAGGTAGACCATGCAGAACAGTCCGGGTCGTTAGACTGCTGTTCTGGCCAAGAGACTCCCACGGCCCAAAGGCTATCAGTCTCTCCTTCTGGGAGGGTACTAGCAGTGACATTGGCATCTGAGCCATCTTCCATGACGACTTGAAGCGACGTCTGACGTCTTATTGACGTCTGACATCAGAAATGCAGTCGCCCCCCATTGCAACGGAGGGATCAACTCCGATCAACTCGTTTTCAACTCGTTTTCAACTCATCACCCGTACAGCACAGCGTCTCGGCAATACTGTGCTACGCTATGCGCTGCATGAACCGCTTGAGCCCGGCATGCAGCGGGTGAGTTGAACTGAACGAGTTGAAAGGCGGAGTCGGAGTGTCATGAAGTGTGTCGTGAAGTGTCGGAGTGACACTCAGAAGTACTCAGAGTGAGGAATCTGAGGATTTCTATCTGGTTTTATGATAAGTTTTATGATTTTCAGGTGCATCAACTCCATCAACTTGTGAAAGACACGTCATGTCGAGTCATGTCGAGTCATGCCCCATGTCCTCGCGGCCACGCCTCTTGTTTTCTATTCGTTGCTGAGAGAAGGATCTGGCGGAAAGTTCCAAAGTGGATCTGAAAATTGATTTTAGACTTTTAGATCTTTATATAAACATATAATATGTATATAATTACTATAATTATATATATATTATATTATAATATTATAATAATATATATATATATAATTATATAATAGATAGATCTTTTTAGACTGAAGATTCCCTGTCGCTGTCTTCGTTCACCTCAGCTATGAGCAGTTCACATCGAAACCTCCAATGTCATGCCGTCATCCCCAAATCACTTCCGGAAGTCCTACTCGTGTCTTTCATCTAAAGAGCCACCGCTCAAGCTTTGAGAAACTCAATCCATACTTCGCTTCGCAAATGTCTGATCTCCGCCCTTGCAACGCTTCTGGTGCTGGATATCTGGATATCTTTAAAAAATCTCTCAACCAGCTTCACTCGGTATGCAGATAGTAGGCGACTAGGATCTCAAGGTCTCCAGCTCGAGGAGGTGTCGAATTTCTTTTGCATCTTCTTGACGGGCTTGGAATTCCAAGTGACGCTTAAAGCTTTGTGAGTTGGGAACGACTCGGAGTTTTCCTTGCGAATTTGATTCAAGATGAGCTCCTTGAGCTGATGCAATGAGTCGAATGAGTCTCAAATCAGCCAAGTTTCGAGTCGACAGACTCGACATCAGAAACTCCACCGCAGGTCTCCGGACCTTGAGGCTTTTCCGAAGCTTCTGCAGCACCAGGCGACTAAGATTGGAACACACAACCAAGCGATTGCGGCGATGAAAATCATGGAGAATGATTGCAGAGTCAATCGTTGCCCTGTCCATGTTTTCCTCCTCTTGGAGAGTATCTAAGAGGAAATGTCTAACAGACTCCAAAAGGCTCAAGCTCCGGTGCGACATCTCCACAATGATTTCGCCTTGGATTACTCGAATGCGGGCAACGGCATCAAAGAGACCTGCCAGAAATTCCCAGGAAACTCGCGAGACGCGGCTCGTTTCAAAGAAAGGGCCGACGTCAGCCTGCATCTCCCATGTCCATTTCAATGCAGGCGTCCCCTGACTGCCCTGTGTGCGACGGAGCCCACCATAGAGATCTTCAAAGACCAATAAGGCAGCCTGAAGATTGCCAAAGATTGCCAAAGGATGCCACGGGGAGTAAGATTCTGTTGGAAAAGAACTATATTAACATATATTAACTATATGAAATATCAGAGAAGCAAAGGCTAAAACAAGTCAAAAGCATGAAGATGCTTGTACTCACTGGAAATAAGAAAGGGCCTGGCAAGAGCAAACCCACTGTGGAGTTTTGCGGCTGAATTGTTGCGCAGCTATTTTACTTCTGTCAGGGCCCTCAGGGGTTGAAAATAGCGGATGATATGCTTCATTGTCCCTTCATTCTTGGGGTGGGGCCAACTTCCTACATGAGTTTTGTTCAGCCAATCTCTGCCTCCCTATCCTTGGCAACGTTTGCTGCAAAGCTTGTCATGAGACAATGAGGAGAACACGCTTTTGGCCTTTTGGGGTTCAAGAGAAATCATCTTTTCCGAGCTTTCGTGTGCATTGTTGTGCATGTTTTGCCTTATCCTAGGTGTGCAAGAGTTCATTCATATTCAGGGTCTTTGACAAACACGGAGCGATTGCTCAAATGGAAAAACCATGAGCAGGAATCGAGCAATTCGCTGAAGCAATTCCCACATATCCACCAAACCAGTCATTGCTTTTTGCCAATAAAACGACAAAAACCTCAGTGACGGGGCAAAAACTATCAAAAACACTGCATTTTTCCAAAAGCGAAGCAAGGCCTGCAGGATGCTTGAAAGTAATTGCTGACACACGCGCACACATTGTCTCTACTTTCAGTTGCAGAAGAAATACCAATTCTATGTGAGTGAAGCAAAGGAAAATCACAAGGCCACGCCAAGAAGCCTTGAACTCCAGTCTTGCTGTGATCTCGGCTTTGCAATCGGACTGGCTGATGTGCACCTTTCCAGCACCATTGAAGAAGCCATGACAGTACTGTGCGGCTCTCGTTCTCGCTCTCCACCCCAGCTTCGATGCACCGACTTGTCTGTGAGGCCGCACACCAGACGGACCAGACGGACCAGACGGACCAGACTCACCTTCGCATCGTTGGCATCCTTCATGTCCTTCATATCCTTCATATCCTTCATATCCTCCACTTTCGCAAGTCGACAGAGTGAGCAAACTCCGCGATCCTTTCGGACGTCTCTTGGCCTTGGGAAATTTCGCGATGTTCAACTCAGGCTTTGCAAGAGTCTCACGCGAAGTCCTTGAAGTCGAGCGAGAGACCGATTCGACAGATGCAACCGGAAACTGCGGAAACCGCGGAAACCGCGGAAACTGCAACCGAGGGCTCAAGCGAGGGCTGCAGATTTTACAGAGCTTGCCTTGTGGTCCACACAGCATGGTCCATTCTGTAAGGCCATCTTCAGGTCCATGAGATTGATATTCAGTGTACACCAAGACTGAAACAAGTTGGAACAAGTTGGAAAAATCAAATCAATCAACAAAAGTTATAGCCTTTGGCCAAGTGGTCCCCTCTTTGGATGCGATTGCGCTATGTTTCGCCATGTTGAGCTCAAGAGGCGTTCAAGAGGCTGAAGGAACAGCTGAACGAGCCATGCGAGCATCTGCAGAAATTCTGCGACTGTCTGCAAGTCAATTACCTAAAGGGCCATGAGCACCACACAAATGACAGGAGCACTGGGAATACAGATTTATTCAGTACAAAGATGTACAAAGTACATCACACCGCAGCGTATCTGCTCTTGTCAAGCTCAAGTGCAACGATTTTTCTCGCACGAAGCCTCTGTGCGATCCAAGTTGGACGCCACATTTTTGTAGTGCCGCAGTGTTTTGTCCCCTCACTTTCCTTGGAAACCGACATTTTTGTCTATACATGGTCAGCATACTGTACCAAAATGTACCAAAAACCTCCATTTTTTCTTCGGAATTCGACGATGTTCTTCCCCCAGCACCTTGCGGGCAAAGTCCCAAGCTCCTGACCTAGAAATTTGAAGATCGAGGTGTACCTTGGCGATTTCGACAACGCAGTGGTCATCCAAAATTCCTCCATCCGAAATCTCTCAACCCGGGCAAGGTGAGATATGGAGGTTTCCAAAACAGGGGTCCAGGGTCCTCCATTGGAAATTCACGGTAATTTACCATGTGAAATCAAACCATCCATTTCGATTTTTTTCGGGGTAGCTCCATGAAATGTCGCCACTGATCCCCCAAGGGGGATTCCCCAGATCCCACGGGGCTCCGGGCCGAGGGCATTTCAACTCTGTGATCCACAGCTCTGCATTACATCCCGCCCAACTTTCCAAGCATTCCTCGTGGCAAAACTGCTCAACGGGAAATCACAAGTGAGTGAGATTACTTCGGCGTTCCTGGAATACCATATGATCATAAATTATACCATATTAATCCATATTAATCCATATTATACCTGTTTTTTGAATCCTGTACGTCTCTAAACAATTCCAATTTCTCAAGGGTTTGGATCCTGAGATACCACCAGGACACTGACAACATCAGGATCTCCGAGGGAATGCCGGACCCAAAAATCTACCACTGGGGCATGTCACCACTGGGGAATTCTTTGCTGATGTGTGTTCGCCGGCGAAAAAAATCGACATCCAGCATCAAATAGGAAGGCCCAACTCACCCATTCTGAGGAATGATTTGTTTGTGGAACATTGTTCAGAATTTTATTTGAAAAAAAAGTTCGAAACAGAAAATAGATTACAGTATAGATAGATGCTGAATGACACATCACTTATCTATACTTATCTCAGTTTCACGTGGTGACCATATTTTGTTCCCCATTTTGTTCCCCACTTTGCACAGACCTCAGTGATGATGGTCGGATAACGGCGATTCAAGCTGTGGAGGATAAAGGTCTGAGCCTGCCAGGGTCACAGGCATATGTAACTCGCTGACTGAATGCCAGTGACATGATATATATATATATATGTGTGTGTATGTATATATATATGTATATTAGTATGATTCATCATTTATTAGTTTATTTATTTATTATTATTGTTGTTATTATTATTATTATCGTCTACAAGTAGCTGTGAATAGCTGTGAACTATTGAGTCAAGCAAGACAACATCAGCATTGCCCAGGCTTTTCGGAAGTTGATCCGACCGCCAGGCCATTGCAATGCCATAGCAATCAAAGAACATCGCGCGACTGTGACCGCCCAGAGAGTTCCCAACTACCAAAACCTGTGATGGATGGATGATACAAAATTATTACATGTATATATATATATATACATAGATATATATATAGATAGATATATATTTATATATATATATATCAGAGAGTTCCCAACTACCTAATATAGTTTCCAGAGAGTTCCCAAGAATGACCCTGTCCTCCTAGACACCGAACCTCATCCCGGGGGGCATCGATGTAAATCTCACCCTGAATCGGGACACAGAAATCAAGGGACACTGCCAGGATCTGCCCTAGGGACTTTTGCTGTGGAAAGTCATGCTCAAAACTGACCATTTTAATAGCTGGTTGGTGGTTGAGCCACCCCTCTGAAAAATATGAAAGTCAGTTGGGATGATTATTCCCAACATATTTGGAAAAATAAAAAATGTTCCAAACCACCAACCAGATAAGTATGTTGATCCCATTTTCTGAAAGTAATTGGAACTGTAATTTCTAGTGATCCTTTAAAAAAACATATTGTTTGCCCTCTCCATCCATAACATGGGATATACAATGCAAGACGATGAAATTTGCCTTTCCCACTGTGCTCGTCTCGATCTTCTCAAGTCTGCATTGCATTACACATGCACAGCACATGCGCAGCACAGCAGCGCAGCACCTTCTCATTCCCACAGCATTTTTGCAGCTCCTAACGGCCGAGCTTGGACATGGGCATTCCCACCAATTTTTTTTCCGACCAGCCGATCATTTTAGTGTTTTTCATCATTTTAAGTAATCTAATCTTGAGAATCTTGAGTAAATTGATGTAAATTGCCAAAAAACTTGGCCTTCACTTGGCTATGAATGATTGGTGACAATTCAAGTTGCTCAACTGGAGAATGGATCGTCCCCCATGGCCCCAGGATGCCGGCGGCCAAATCCTGCTGAAGCTTCCCTACTTCGCAAACAGGGCAGGAGCCAACAGAAGTCGGATTCTCTTGAAACCTCAACCGCAATCTGCCACGACAATCTGCCGTGACAATTGATGTTACAACTTCCAAAAGAATCCGGTGTTTTTTCCATGTTTTTTCCTACATGTTTGCTTTTTTGCCTCTACATGAATGGATTGTAATGGATCTACCTTCCTACTGATCATGAATCGACTTCGCGGTTGTGATCCACATCGTGACAAGTTGATTCTTTTGGCAACTTGTAAGCGAACAAAGAAGAAAACCGGATGCGATGAAAACTGAATGTAAAGCATGCAACTCAATTCATCAGATTTCATCAAGGCTGTGACCATCTGTTGATGCAGTGCAAGTGATAGCTATGGCCACAGAAGAATTTCACCTTCTTCTGTGCCGGGGTATTCCTCAGTCAACGGGTCAAGCGGTCAAGCGTTGCCATGGCATCTTTGGTCATCTTTGGTCCAACATGGCAACATCCCACCCGTTCTTTGGGGACAAAGCCATAGTTGGATCGACTGGGGATGGAAAGATAGGTTGGATATGGTTGGATATCGCAAAAAAATATCTCCAAATTTTCATAAAGCCCTGTGTCGGGGTTAGGATTCTCAAGGCTCATCAGGATTTTTCTCATGGTCTCGTGCTGGCTTCTTGCAAATCTAGCACAAATTTCTCCAGAAGCCACGGACACTGACCTTTGTTTTTCAGCGCAGCAACATTGAAATTCTGGATGTTGGAAGCGAGTAAGTCAGAAAGATCTGAGTAAGATGACACATGGTTCTTCTTTTTTTTGGTGTAGGCGATGACACGTGACATCTCATGGTATCTCATGGTATCTCATGGTATCTCATGATCCCTACACCGGATCCAGTAGACCCCATGGCCCCATTGCCCCAATGTTCCGGGACCAAGACGATGTGCATTCCACGCAGCAGGGGCACCTGTGGCACCCTGGAATGACCCCCGGGTCATGAAAAGATTTGGAAATGGGATGAAATGGGTCCCAAACCTCACTAAATCATAGAAAATAATTAAAAAAGTCAGAGATCTATAATCTCAAGATTTCAGGAATTGATAATCAAAGATCTATAAGTCAGAGATGAGCACTGACAGAATGTGACTGGCACCGTCTTTGACGTGTTGAGTCTCCTGCAGTGAAAGGTCTTTGCCCTTCATCAAGGCTTCCTCTTGCACTTTTTGTACCTAGCACAGCCACACCTCTGAACCTTTCCTGACCCGACTCCTGATTCTTTGAGCTAAGGGAACCAGCAATCGTAAAACTTCTTACTTGCAGATACTGACACTTACAATATCTTCAGTTTCATTGCCATCCCAGTCAGCATCCTTAGCATCCTTTCCTTTGTGCATCTTTGTGCGGCATGTTGCAGGCCTGGCGTCTGCAAGCGTAGTACGTGGCTTGATGCTTCCAGCTTAAGGCTCGGTCAAGCAGAAAACAAACCTCGGGTCCCATCTCTGGGCGCGATGATGTGACCCACGACCTGACCTGACCTGACAATGCCTAATGAGGGCCGATGATGCTTCCTTTCTGAGATGTGAAAAAATTGCTTTCAAAGTTTCACATCTATAAGATGTGTTTAATTGTTTTTACAGCTCAGAACTCAGAACTCTAAAGAGACATAACCTGTGTCATTGCTTCGCGGACTTTCTACAACTTCGTATGACTTTGTCCACACTCAGTCTAAGAGTCTAAACTTTAGAAAATCTGTCGTTTTAGACTGCCATGCTCGGAGCTAAAAGGATCAAGGGCCAAACGATCACGACTGCCAAAATCAAGCCGAGTAGAGCTGCCATACAGCAAAGCATCGCCAGGGCCTGGCAAACCCAAATCGCTTTCAACATCTTTCAACTGAAAGACCAGAGAAAACTCACGTTTTTTGCAAAGAAAAACAAAGGATCTCAGCACTTTGGTACCTGCAATGTGGCAAGATGCCAGGATCGTGACACCCTGAAGCCTAGCTTAGAAGAAAAAGCTGAAATGCCACAGATGTGAACTGGAACATATCTACACATGACTCCAAATGTTGCAAATGAACCTCCTCAGTCTCCCGAAATCAACAAGAAGCACCCAAAGGATCCTTCTTAAGCACAAGCCAATCAAAGTGTGATGAAAAGAAGGTGGAAAAGATAGAAAACCTCTGCTGTTTCCGACTGAAAACTTGCGGATGCTGAAAAGGTGACATCGGTGACTGGCCCCAAAAAAATCCGAGCGCACCAGGGCTTGGACTTCCTCGGAATATTTCACGCTGCCCTGGCGCTGTGCGATATAAGATGATATATAATGATATATATATATATAAGTGGTATAAGATATAGAAGGACTCAATCATTTCAATCATTTCAGGCAAGTGCGTGACAGTTGTCTCTGCAGAGTTTCATTACATCATTAGTTAGCAAATGCAGAACATCTCTGGATCACAGACCAGTTCCCCTTGGCTTCGAGATCGTTTTCTGTCGCTGAAGTCTTGCACTCAACAAGCTCGAATTTGAGTTGCGCGTGTTTCATGGGCATGTTTTGGGGTGAAACACGCAAAAACATCTGCTATGTATTTACTTCGAAATCGTTCATGGCAGTATGAACTGTGCTTGTCTTAGTCCCTCCCACCCTTTTGTCGACACCATACTGACAGCGAAGATCAGGAGCCTGGTTCTTCTAGAGATAACTTTGTTGACGCTGTCAGAAAACATATCAGAAATGATGCTGTCTGAAAATGTGGAGTATACGGTATGCCCTCCAAATGACCATTTGACTGGGGATAATGATCATGAATGATCAGAAACCATTAGAATTGGGGTACCCGATTTTCCAACAAGCCAAATGATACGGTGGTCGTGTCCTGTGGGGCTGCTCGAAACTTGGATGCTGCCACATTCAAGACCTTGACCAAAGCAATTTCTGCCAAGACAATCTGAGAATCTGAAAATCTGAAACTCTTTGATTTATAAAGAAACATATGACATAAAAGGTCATAAAAGACAAATAGTTCATATGTTTCATCTTTTTTTCATTGAATTCACGTCGCATTCTATTGGTGGACACCCGCAGTTCAGAAACTCTTCGTCAGGTCGCCACACCACACAAGGCCAAAGGATCAAGATCTTCAAATACCTCAGGAGCAGATGACTTCACCACGTCATGAGTTGATGAGAACATGTCACAACTGCCAAACGCTGCCACATTTTTTGGGAGTTCGTGTAAGAGGCGCACGGCATGACCAAGGCAGTTCGTTGCATGTCCGATGTCTTTTTCGCAAAAAAGAAACGCAGAAACAATATATGATATATATATATAAGATATATATATATATAATATATATACATATATGAATACATGATAGTTACAAAGGAAATGATGTGAAATATATAAAATGACCATGAAATATATACATCTTGAACGCCTGCGTCATAGCCGTCCTAGCCAGACAAATAGGCTCCATGGCTGGGATCCCGGACATGCTGCCGGCGTCTCAGCTCCAGCGACGCTGGGGATGACCTGTCCACTATCCATGACTATCCATGACTACTACCCTCTGGTTATGTCAAAATAGCTATTGAAAATGGCCATTTATAGTGGATTTACCCATTAATAGCATGGTGATTTTCCATAGCTATGTTAGTTTACCAGAGGGTATCCATCAATAGAAAAGGCAAGTAAAAACTATCCACTAGTCATTTCTATCAATCAGTGATGGATGGAAATGGACTATTTTTTTCCTTGAAATGATTTGATAGCACGCAAAAAAAACTTACTGCGGTCGAGTTTCAAGGCGGCAAAGTCAGCAGGGTTTCCACCAATAACAGTTACCCTCAAAGCGTCATAGCCCATATGAATCCATATGACCCAAATACGACTCTCAAATATTGACTTCTCATCCGTGACTCGACTACTCGGCTTGGAAGTAAGATTGACTTAGACATGGAACATCTCCAGAACTTCTGAGAACATCTCCACATCTCCCATGACTTTCTTCCAAGGCTTCCAAGGCACTGCTACGGTGGGTAGGTCTGATCCAGGGGGACCTGACAGAGTCTGACAGTGAAACGTCGCGACGTGAAGCGCACTCAACACCTTCATAGTGTCACTGTCACTGTGTTCAGTTCAGATCCATGTCGGATTGGAATGTTGGTGCAACTGGTGCAACTGCGTTCAGCTCAGAGAAGTTCGGAGCTTTTTTCGCAAAAAGTTCTGCTTCAGACTTAGGCTGGCATAATATGTAGCACACTGGCATGAAACCGCCAGTATTTGCTCAGGTTCATTTATAAGTTTCAGGATTGAGACTGGAAAATCAATTCAAATCATCGAGAAATCTTCCAGTCTGTCCTTTCCCTTTTAGTGCTCCGCCTGAGTACTTCGTTCATCCGGATTGGCCAGAAAAGGCTTGGGCCAAGACGCGAAAGCAACGCTTTTAAGGATCCCAAATTTCCGGAACCAACACGCCTCAAGCATCTCATAAACCCACCGTGAATCAAGTTGCCAAAGGCGCGAACGAGCTCCATGACAGCCGTCCTTGCCAGTGGCTCATACTTGTACAAGAAAAACTATCCCTGAATCGGTAAAAAGATGTTAAAAGATGGTAAAAGGCAGAAGTAGAACTTGAACATCCAAAAATATCCAAAGCATTTTGAAGATGTTGCATTCGCAATTCGCAAGACCGGTGCAAAGCATTGCGAAGCATTTTATGCGTCTCTGTGTGCTGAAAGGTCTTGTGTGCTGGAGCCCTTTGGTCTGAAAAGACATGCTCTGAAAACCAGGAATGTTTGCGTCAGCAGCACATTTTGTGCGCCTGACATCGCCTGAATCACTGAATGCAGAGATAAAGAGAACGGCAGCCTACTTGTCTTGAACAATTCGGCTTGCCTGTATTGTACCCTGTGCTCAGGGAGCAGAAATCATTGCACATATATCACATATTTACAAATCGTTGCAGAAATCTGTGGTTGCTCACCAATTGCCACAAAGCCAGATGCTCACAGCATCGACTTGACTCTGGTGTCTTCATTCGTATACGCGCTCGTACCAAACTGCAAATTCTGGATACACTTGGTCATCGTCATACACAACAAACTCTCGGAAAGTCCTACGGCACTTCTCGCGGTCACCCAGCAAGGAATGGTATCTCTTGTCCCTGATCTGCCGCAGCAAGCCTCGGAATCAGATGGACCAATAATGGAATCAGATGGATTTGGGGTTTGGAGACTGTGCCGGCTGTGCAGAAAGTGTGCCGAAACTTTGTCCAAACTTTGCCTGGGAGATTCTTCCAAAGTGTGTGTGTGTGTGTTTGTTCAAAGGAGAGATACACACCATGGTGCACAGAAAAGTGCACATGGCAAAGAAAAGCAAAGTTGCAAAAGTCATCAAAAGTCCAATTTGCCAAAGCAAGATTCAGTCAATGTTCGGACTCACCTCATCATTGTAGAGAATATTTCCAAGCGTTGCTCGACACAGTAGGATACAGCGATGGCCATCGGCATTCTCCCGCGAGTATTCGTCAGATTTGCTACAGGACTCAGCCAAGTAGATGCCACGGCCATAAAGAGTTCCGGCATTCGAACCAGCTTTGTCCACCAAAAAATCACCCCGTGTGATCAATGTAGCGGCTTCCGTGGAAGTTCCGTGAAACAACCAGACCGTATTGCTGTCTTTGTCTGATTCTTCTGAATGCAAGTCCATCTGATCTGTTTTGATATTGTTTAGTACATGGCCAATGTGTGTTTGGTAGCATTTGTCGCACAAATCATAATCGCACTGTTCGCAACGGTATCGATCGATTCCCTTAGTCTTGTTCGCCCGTAAACAGCCTTCCTTGGTGCTGTGGTTGTCACAACCCCAGCCATTGTCCTTAGTGGTCCCCAGCGGGACTAAGGGATGACCCTTCATGCAGAGCTTTGCCCCAGTGCGAAGAATGTAGCACTTGTCGCAGTAGTCGAAATCACACTTCTGACAGCGAAAGCGATTCATCCCTTTGGTCTGGTGAAAATCTGTAATTCCACTAAGGCAGCCTCCATCTGCCCTACCATCACAGCCCCATCCATTGTCCTGTGTGGTGCCAAGTGGTTCCAGCTCGTGCCCGTTTTTGCAGACGCCTTTCTCGCCTGCGTCCTTCAGTTTTTTGATCTCCTCCAAGACTTCTTGCTGTCTCGAGCGAAACTCGGCCCAGTTTTGGAGATTCTGAATGCGTTCAACTCGCACGATCTTCAGACGGTCCGGGACCTCCGGGCACAACGAAATTCGGGGCGCGCTGTTGTGGCCATGAACAAATCCATGTGGTGCCATGCTCCCCAAGGAAATTCTAGACGATTACTATGACATGACTATGATTAATGTGGTTAAAACATGTTAAAACAATGTTATAAACCATCCCCAAGTCATCACCATAAATGGCTGGTATAAACCATCAAAAATCGAGGTGGTTTATGGCACTGTTTTAAGCACATTACCATTTTTTGAGTTTACTCACCATCAAGGTCAAAGGATTCAAGAATCTGAACGAAGCAAATCAGTGCCAACTGCTATGCAAAGGTGAAGCGTCGAAGCACAGGAACAAACAAATAACAAGTAAAGGATATTAAAGGTATATATATTGTATATATATATATATCCTATGCATATTTTATATATACTTATCCTATGGGTTGTGGATAGTATATCGCACACGGCAAATCCTCTCCAAAGGCGCTGCGCGATTCGCCAAAGGCTTCTCGTACAGATTCAGATTCGATGCAGGGTCCTACGGTCCTACACGTCAAAAGATTCAGTTCCCATCTGGTTATTTAACATTGCCATGGAAAATCACCATTTTTAATAGGTAAACGTCTATAAATGGGCCATCTATACCATGGCTATGTTAGTCATAACCAGAGGGTAACTGAATCTAACTGAATCCAACTGATCATCTAACTTTATCTGAAGCAAAAATTGTAAGTCGGATGGCACAATCGAGTGCGCCCCAAAAAACGCCCGAGTGCACCTTTGCACCTTTGCGATCTCTTGTGTAGACTTTCTTGTAGGTGGAGTCAAACAATTTCCTGCACATCCGTGACGGTCAATTGGAGAAACTACATGTGTGTATCCATGTCTGTTCAAACCGCTGCATTCAAATGCATTCAGCCTGCTAAACAGGTGCACCAAGTATGAACCTCACATGTCACATGTCTTTTAAACAAATTGAACCCTGTCCTCGTAACATGTCAACGTCCAGTTGTAACTTCTAGCAACTATTGAGTACTAATGTAACTATCCAAAGCGTTCAACCACTGTTGAACCACTGTTCCTACAGAATTTCGTAGCAAGGTTTGCTGGCCAAGGTACTGAATTGCCTCCAGGTCGCTCCCTTTGAGCTCAATCTTGGCGAATTTGTTCATGGTGTTTTCTTCGTTTGGGTTCAACCCTTTCTCCATGGGGATGTCTTCCAAACGACTCTTATCCCAGTAGCTTGGGATGATCGAATGGTTCACCTCCATACACCGAGCTGGGACACCTCTTCTCTCTGTCTCCTTGTTAGTTTCGAGACAAGGACGCGCCTCAAAGCACCTGGGAAACCATGGAAACCCATGGAAATGCAGCAGCGATTGTGACATGTGAAAAATCATGAAAAACCTGAGAACCGAATGGTGAATTTCTAGCTTTCAAGACATGGTTTAGTACAGTTGCCGAAGAAGCTTTCCTGAAAAGCAGGTGTGATTGAGGTGATGAACTAGGGATGCTGTCGTGTCCAAAACTTCGATGCACATCCGATCAGTGATCTTGGCCGCAGTCAAAGCACTTGTCACAAAGATCAAAGTCGCAAACCTGCAGCCATGGCAGCATCTTCACTCACCCGTTGAGTCAACGCCCTTTCAATGACAGATAATGACACTACCATTGCCCCCACCCGTTGTTGGGCCATAATCTCATGTACATTGGATACAGAACTGGTAGAAAACTTGTCATTTGAAGCTTCAGCCACACTGGAGCGGTAAAAACCGAAGCAAAACAGCACATTCAGCTTATTCAGCATGACTCAACACATAAGTACCAGCAACATCTAGATTGCATATTCCATCATCCATGATAATCCATGATAATCCATCATTATCCATTCATCTTATTCCTTCTGAAGACTTCCCAAACACTTCACCAAGTCTTCACCCAAGGACCCTCCGACCTCGCAATGGAAGCGGAAAATGCCTTTGGATTCCTTGAACTTCTCAATGTTACGCTTGCAGCCGTCTGGAGTACCACCCATATCGCAAACTTGGACGGCAGACGACTCTGCGGTCACATACCAACAAATCTAAGCCCCTAAAACAGCTTGAGGAAAACTCAGCCTTCAACAAGTTCTCAGCCTTCCGATTCTAAACAATTCATGAATGATCTCCATACAGTGATAAGATGTTCCGTGCTGTTAACATCTCCGCATTCCAAGAACAGCTGACCCCGCTCTCCCAGACCCCCAAAAAAAACCAGGCAAATCCAGGTGACCCCAGCCAGTGTCGCGAGTGAGACCAAGGCTTCTGAGCTTGTGCCCTTTGTTACATCCTTTGGGAGCAGGAGGACTTGAATAACACCGATCACAGAGATCGTAGTCGCAGGCATTACATCGAAATCGCGGTAGACCTTTGGTGGTTTTGAAGCCCTGTTCCTCTCAGCTGGGTCGCTGGGTCTGCAATGACGTCGTATCAATTTGTGGGGTTCGCAATCTTGGCCAAGAGGTCATGCTGTGAGTTGAGAATGTAGCTCGATGAAAAATCTGGAATACCAATACCACGAAGATCATGACATCAGATGATTTAGCTCTTATTCACCACTAATTCACCACATCCAAGAAAAACCATAGGCCATCAAAGTAGAAAGATGTAGAAAGTTTGACAACGTACGTCAGCATATACTGGTTGGTGGTTTCAATCCCTCTGAAAAATGATGGACTTCGTCAGTTGGGATGATGACATTCCCAATAAAATTCCATGGTTCAAAACCACCAACCAGTATATGGGTATGGGTCAATACCTATAGATACATTTTTAGTGGGATGAACATCCATTTACCAGCTATTTTGGGGTTCACTAGGTACCAGGGTTTTGACCCATCCCCATATGAACTGAGGCGATCTGTGGCTTTTTTTATGCAAGCGCCGTCCTTGCTTCGGCATCCACCTTCGCTCTTCCCATCGCAGCCCCAGCCGTCGTCTCTGGAGGTCCCCAGGGAAACGAGCAGATGCCCATTTCGACAACGGCGAGAATTCAGCTGCTCCAAGTAGCACTCCTCGCAGAAGTCGAAATCACATGCTTCACCTCGGGAAAAAAAAAAACATCAAAAAACGGATCCACAATTAACTGCTGTCAGCAATCTTCGCAGATATCCATAGATATCCTATTTTAAGGTCCCTTGTTGAAGTCATTTTTAAAAAACTTGGTGACTTCAGGCCCCAACAGCGAAATCGGCGGAGACCTCAATGTCAGATCAAACAGCTTCGAAGATAAAGGAAGAATGTGGAAGAATATCGAAGAATTGATCATCATTTCTGCTCCAGATCTATATATTTCTGCTTAAATATAGATCACAAAAACGTTCACATATGGCAGTGTGTCAAAACCTGGTACCCCTGTAGTTCACATCAAAATAGCTGGGATTTATGGATGTTCATCCCCCTAAAAATGGTATTAATAGGTATTGATCCATACCCATATAGCAAAAGTGTTGGGGATCAACGTACCGAGGCTTCGGCCGGAGGATTGGTGGAAATCCGTCAATCCACTTCTGCAACCGCCAGGCTGTTGGCGTCCATCACAGCACCATCCGTTGTCTTTCGTTGTGCCAAGGTTTGCTAAGACATGGTTCTTGGTACACGTCATTGGAAGCGGCACCCTCACGAGCCAGTGCAGATAGTGCAGTTTTTAAATGTTCAGGCAACTTAGGCAACTTGCGATTGCAAATAAATGTGGGAGGCAATGTGGGAAGCAATGTATGAAGTTAAAGCAAGTCAAATAGATTCAAATAGTACTGCCGAAGTGATTCCTATCCAGGCAGATCCTCTGAAAAAGCACTGAGTCTAGGCATATTTCTTTTTTTTCCCGCTACTTCGCCGATTGCCACCCAGCATTTGCCGCAAGCAAAGTGTCAAGAACAATCGAGAATGTATCAGACAATACTCTCAGGAAATAAAATGAAATAAAATCATCGCATCATCAGTCATCCAGAAGTTCTGGCTGACGTCTGAGCATTTCGACCTTGGCGTCCACAGTGACTGAAACATACTGAGACCAGAGTTGCGTCCTGGCAGATCACAGCAGATCATTGAAGATCATCTTCCAAGTTCTGCCAAGCTGCAAATGAACGCAGTCCATAACGTTGGACAAGAAAGTCCGAGACAGAAGCCTAGCGGAACTGCTGCGGGCTGGGAAAGATTGGGAAAGCATGAAGAATATCTGGGGAAATGCAAAAATGGAAAGGCACAAGTTGCCCAAATAATTTGGCGCACGAGAATGAACCATAATGAACCAGTCAAAATGGGAAAAATAAATACTTTAATTACTGAAATTTACTGCGCTCATTCTCAAGCAAATTTTGTGCGAATTGATCTGAATGAAGACATTGGGACCGGAGGACTCTTCTAAAAACACCCCGAAAGATAGATGAAAGACTGACAGTGCTTGGTCAGACATGGCAAGACGCTCGACTTTGAGTAGAATGTTTTTAGGCATGGTGACGAGTGAAAACATCGTGAGCATCCTTCCTGTTACTCTGCAACTAGGGCTGGACAGGAGGGGGCAACGCCTCTTTCATGCACTGTTGGAGGAGGAGAAGTAGCTCCAAGAGCTCTCGGTCAGCACGATTTTCTGCTGTCCTGCGCGTTACGTATGAGTCAACTTCTGTCAGAACGAATGGTCTGCAGCAAAACGCGTTGATTGACTCATCGCAAGTTCAGGAAGTTCCATTGTCACTTGATGTCATTTGATGTCATTTGATACATGTGTATAGTGAAGACATAATTAAGGCACCATACATAGTTCACATTCTTTGATATTAGTTGACATGATTGTCATTTGATAAGAACCAAATAAGAAACATATTTGACATTATTTTACATAATGCACCATATTGTTTGATATCATGTGATATTACCCTCTGGTAAACTAACATAACTATGGAAAATCACCATTTTTAATGGGTAAATCAACTATAAAATCTATAAATGACCATTTTCAATAGCTATTTTGACATAACCAGAGGGTACATCCCATTAAAATCACCATTTTGTTGGTTAAACCCCGTTAAACCACCATGAAACCACCATTTTCCTATGGTTTCTTACTTGGTTCTGATTTGGTCCAGGTCTGTCCAGTTCGAGACGATGATGCCGTTGTCAAGGCACAACGCCAAGGAGACAGGCGAATTGTCCACCAGCACCACCCGTTCCATGGGTCGGCCCAACTGCCGCAAATCCTCAACACCACAAGAAATCGTTAAAAAAAACGTCTCGAAAATGCGTGGTGATATATTATACGATGATATGAAGATGATGAAGATTCAACATTGGAAAAGGAGATGTGCAACCTGCAGATTGAGAACAAAACTATATTAGAAGAAGAGAAAGAAGGCCTGGCAAGATGTGTCGAAAGGTTGCGGTTGTCGTTTCGAGCCTTGAGGAAAGCGCCACCGCGTTCCATACAATGCTGACCTCATCGTTGAGACTACTATATATTGTTGGAGTTATGTAGGATACGTGTATGTATATATATATATATATATATTGTAGTTATAGTTGTATATAATATAATGTAGGATATATCATTGGATAAGAACCCCAACAATATATATATATATGTATAGTGACATTCAAACGTTGAATAGGAAGGTCGCGGCGTGATGAGATAAGGCTCCTGCGATAGAGTCTGGTGGAAATGCAACGCCGTTCTGGATCCAGTTGGTCTAGAACCTGGCTTTCCACTCACTTTTTGCTCCAAAAACACTGATTTCACCCAAAAAAAATGGCGCTTTTTAACAAAGTGCGGAAATCTGAAATAATTATAGAATATTATATAATATTACAGTGTGTATATATATATAAGTTAAGTTATATAAATGATTCCCAAAAGCATCTGCCTTTTCCAGAGTGCCTTCAGTTGAACTTCAATTTTCAGAAGAGTAGAAAGTTTGCCATGAACTTTCACCCGTCCTGGTCCGCATAGCCTTGAGAAGATGCTGTGAACACAACAACCTGCACCAGTGATGTTCGGCGCAACAACCAGTAGCCGCTACGGCCATCAGATGGCCATGGGTTGGTAGCCTATGGTGCCTACGCTACCCGCGGTGTTGGTGCCTACCCATTTATGGCATGATGATTTCCTGTGAAACTGGGATGCTGGGAGCTACGCAGCTACTGTTTGGAGGACTTCTAAAAGCCATATCGGGGAAACCGAAACAACAGTGGAAAATGAAACGATAAATACAACTGTCGTAATACGGGTGCCTTCTCTCAAAGCCTACGCAGAATGTGTAGATTTCTACAACAGTTGATTCTCACCAACAGGGGATGGGAAATCCTGGGAACCTGCCTAAAAATAACAGCAGGTACGTACCATGCTTCAGGCACTCGCAGTTCGTGGCATCTCATGGCATCTCATGGCACAGCCGGAGCCTCGAACAGTCGAGCAGCAACTTCCAGAAAGAGCCGGGCAAAGGGTCGGACGTAAACATACCCAGTGGCCTGGCAGCTGCTAGGTCGGTTGATAGGTCGATGTCGAGATCCCATGAGATCCCATGAGAAGTCTGCCTTGGACTCTTCGAACTGCACGGAGAAGTCAGGCCTCGGGGAAGTTGCTGGCAAAGCACAGAGCATTTAGTCATTGAGTCATTTTAGGGGATTCGAAGGGAAAGGGAAAGTATGCCATGGTGACACCAATGCCTAAGAAAATCCCGACTCAGACGTAGCGGTGTTTTCACCTGAATTTGCTCGTCAGTACTGGTCCCAACGTATCTGAACTCTGTAACCAGGTCCTGCTCTCTCAATCAAGGCGATTCCGCTTAACCACTCTAACTGACTGCATACTGACCCTGTGGGAAACGGCTTTCTGCTATTGAAAAGCCAATCTTGAGTGAGAGTTATGGGCATCTTCTCTGGATGCGCTGACTCTTCCACTAAGCCCACAGAAAGAACATAAAACTGTTTTCAAGTGAGGCTGGTGGAGCAGAATTGATTGCTGAGCCTCTTTCACGACCAAACAGAACCATTGAAACCAACACAAAGTACATCAAAGTACACTGTGCTTGTGAAGCCTTTTGTTGAGACATGTTGAGACTATCTATGACATTCTATGACTATGTGTGAAGCCTTTTGTCACCCTGTTGTCACCCTGTCACCCTGTCGGCGGCACGGGCACTGCGGCACCACACTTGGACGAAGGCAGTTGATCCAAACGACAGTGTGACAGCGTTTCATCGAGGTCCTCCGCGACTCCACCAACTCCACCAACTCGCTGCGGCAGTTGCAGATTTTTTTCTCGCCATTTTTATCTGGGGAATCAGCAGTTTACCAAAAGGATATAACTGATGTAACGTTAGTTAAAGATAGTTAAAGTTCATGTAAAGCGCAATTCCACTAGTCACATCTAGAGATGAAGATGATGAAGATGATGAAGTCACTAGATGTAAAGAAGGAATCCCAGTCCAGAACCACTGTGAGGCCCACATTGTCCTGTCACCAGCAAATGGAGTGCATTGAGTGCAGTATGATTTTGAAGATTCTTGACATATCTGACATTCCGTGACATCAACGTGAGAAGTCCATAGAAGTCCTCCCGGGGAGGCAGGAGAGAAGGGCCCTGAAAGTCATATTTTCGTGGCAAAACACATCAAAATCTTCGGATTTTTTGTGGCCATGATGGCCAACTGCAAAAACACATCAAGAAAAAACTCGCCTCGACAGGTCCGGAATCTACACATTCAAACCTGGGATGGGAATCTGGGAATCAAACTTGTAGCAACATCTCGCGCTGCCAGTCATTCATGCTGTAATGACTATTAATGACTGGGCAAATTACGCGAGGAAACGCAGAGCCGCACGAAGGTTTTCCTGCAAACTCGGCATAGTGCGTACGAACGTGACATTATGGATACATTATGGATACATTATGGATACATTATGGATACATTATGGATACATTATGGATACATTATGGATACATTATGGATACATTATGGATACATTATGGGTACATTATGGATACATTATGGATACATTATGGATACATTATGGATACATTATGGATACATTATGGATACATTATGGATACATTATGGATACATTATGGATACATTATGGATACATTGTGGATACATTGTGGATACATTATGGATACATTATGGATACACTATGGATACATTATGGATACATTATGGATACATTATGGATACATTATGGATACATTATGGATACATTCTGGATACATTCTGGATACATTCTGGATACATTGTGGATACATTATGGATACATTATGGATACATTATGGATACATTATGGATACATTATGGATACATTATGGATACATTATGGATACATTATGGATACATTATGGATACATTATGGATACATTGTGGATACATTATGGATACATTATGGATACATTATGGATACATTATGGATACATTATGGATACATTATGGATACATTATGGATACATTATGGATACATTATGGATACATTATGGATACATTATGGATACATTATGGATACATTATGGATACATTATGGATACATTGTGGATACATTATGGATACATTATGGATACATTATGGATACATTATGGATACATTATGGATACATTATGGATACATTATGGATACATTATGGATACATTATGGATACATTATGGATACATTATGGATACATTATGGATACATTATGGATACATTATGGGTACATTATGGATACATTATGGATACATTATGGATACATTATGGATACATTATGGATACATTATGGATACATTATGGGTACATTATGGATACATTATGGATACATTATGGATACATTATGGATACATTATGGATACATTATGGATACATTATGGATACATTTTGGATACATTTTGGATACATTATGGATACATTATGGATACATTATGGATACATTATGGATACATTATGGATACATTATGGATACATTATGGATACATTATGGATACATTGTGGATACATTGTGGATACATTATGGATACATTATGGATACATTATGGATACATTATGGATACATTATGGATACATTATGGATACATTATGGATACATTATGGATACATTATGGTGTGTATGTCTAGTGAGTCTAATGAGTCCAATGTGTGTCATTGTGTGTGTCTTTAATTTGCCAGTTCGGTCGTTGTCAAAACAGCCCAGTTCGGTCATCCAATTGAGACCATGCGGGCGCTCTCATTGTAACGCCCATGGCCGTCGAATCGCATTGGGACCTTAGCATGGCATGGTTATTTTTTCATGGTTGTTCATGGTTTTCATGGTTGTTCATGGTTTTTCATGGTTGTTCATGGTTTTTCATGGTTGTTCATGGTTTTCATGGTTGTTCATTGTTTTGCAAGGTTTTCATGTTTTTTCATTGTTTTTCATGGTTTTTCATGGTTTTTTTCATGGTTTTTCATGGTTTTTCCAAATGTCTCCAGTCAAGACTTGTCCATCTTGTCCTTTTGGGCTTTCATGGTCTGACTCGAACGCAGACCGTTTGACCATTTCGCCGACAAAATATGACCAAATAGACTGGCTGATTAGACTGGCTCGAACCTTTGCGGGGGGCAAAACTGGTCAAGTCTCACTTGGCCAACAATCTGACCACCATCCAGTGGCATTTGAAACTTCCGAAATCCAAATAATCCATGTGCAACTCAACCGGCCAAGCACCGGCAATTCACAAGAACTACATCCGATGATCTCGCTCGCGGCCCCAGTTGAGGTGAGCAGAACAATATTTGCATTATTAGGACCCATGGCACCCATGGACCATGCTTAACTTCGGTTATTTGGGTCATTCGGAATGTGTCAAGAGGATGTGGCACTGTGGGTTGGAAACTGACTTTGCATCTAGTTTCCCTGGAGTTGCATTTGAACAGTTGGCTGACATATGTTGTTTTATCTCTAGGTTTGCTGTTCAAAAATGCTCTGCAAAGGCTCATCAAATATGGATGAAACTTCTGATGCTAAGCCATTCAAGCAATCCAGAATGGTTTTTTGAAATCGGCAAACCAAAAGAGACTATATACTTCCAATGAAGTACAGTAATATGAAATAGCTAGAAACATCCTGTCAAAATTTTTGTGCGAGCATGTCTGAGCCCTATCAAAGCTCGGGGCTCGGACTCAAATTCATTGTCATGGCTCCCACTCACAGCACTCACAGTGGCAGCTGCCATTGCAGTGTCTGGAATCTACAGCGGAGCTGACCAGGGTAAACAACTCTTAGCTTCCTAACCTCGACGCGGAAGCTAATGCAAATCTTTGACAAAAAATCCAAGAAGCTATGAAGACTCGGACTGTGATGCAAGATATGCAAGATGATGCAAGTTGCTATAAAAGACAGCCAGACAGCAGTCTCGAGGCTACGTGTGATGTTAAAATGTTGCAGTTTGAATCAAACCATGTCTTGCACAGTCCAATTTTCAGACTCTTCGAAAAAACTAATCATCTTCTAGATGTTCAACTCCCACATTTGAGGCCAAACTGCAATTCCACATGCAAGTGCAATCAACATGCTCCTTTCACAACTGTGATTCATTCTGATTCATGTTGTCACTGGAAACTGGAAAATCTGGAAATGGGTACGGTGGAACTTCAAATAATTCAAGCAACGCTCCGCACTGCTCCGCGCATTTTTTGGGTGAAACTCTTCCGTCAAATCTCTGGGGACCCAACCTGGCGAGACACTCAGCCAGACACTCCGAGCATCTCCGAGACACGGTGAGACCTTTTGGTTTTTTTTCTCAATTTGGGTTTGTCTGAAAATAGTGTACCCCTACACCCAATGGTTAATGATCATTATCCCTACTAAATGGCTATAATTGGGGGTATGCCCCATTTTCAGACATACCCATTTGTCAAGCCTTCTGACCTTTTTGGATGTTTGATGATTTTTTCTAAGCCAAGATGAATGAAGAGGTCACAAATGGAACGTCAAAATCAAAGAAATGTCCAATGCCCCGAAGAAAAATGCCCCGAAGGCAACCCCCCTTGGTGCGCCCTCGCCTCCGTACCTTCACCTTTCGGATCGCTACGAACCCTTGGATCACCGAACACCAGCAGCTATGGCACTTCAGCATCGCTCAAAGGATCGCTGAAAGCAAGGCTGTTTCGAGCAAGATGAGGCAAGAACATTAGGAGGAACTAAGAGGTACGTCTCCATGATCTTGGCCACGCTACTTGTCACCTGCCGAAAGCCCGTGGTTGGAATTGGCTGCGCATCAAGCAATGCAAATTGACAAAACGTTTAAAAAAAAATAGAATAAATGTGAATATAGATAATAATAAATATCAGCTTCCAGGGATTTCCAGAGAAACACTGGCCGAAAACACAGCTGCGACACTCCGTGCCATCCAAGACGCTTCTCCATGTTGCGTGCGAACCGTCAGTCGAACCAGTTGCTGGTTTCCCTCGTACTCCAAGCGTACCTCGACACAATTCCAAACCTCCGAGGTTTGCCAGCTCCCGATGTCTCAAGCCTCCCCTTTTCCATCCTTTTCCATTACTTCAAGGGAAACATTCCCCAGGAAACCCAATTTCCCCCAGGGCACGAGAATGGGAACACTCATCATCTTGCCCGGCTGAGATGGATCTGGTGTAGCTGTGTTCAGCGTCCCTGGGGATCCGGGAAGTCTCGAGGTTCTTTGTTGATCTTTTTTATATTTAGTTGTAATCCTTCTCTCTCCAAAATACATCAAAATGCTTGTTCTTATCGATGTGGAGACATAGCTCGTGCACAGCAGGTCGATGACAGTCATGATGTTCTCATGTTCAAAAAACGGACGATTTTTAGAGGTCAACATGGTCAGTTCGTCTTCGTGATTCGTTGTCGCCTGCCGCTAGGGTCTGCGTTGGTCCACTTCCAGGCAGCACAAAGAAGTTGAAGCCCTGGGAATCAGCAGAATCCAGCAGAATCAGATCAAGTCGTCCATCCTGTCCCTGGTTTTGTCGACTTGGCGCATGCTGAATGAGTGGCCTGAGTCTGTTTTTTTTTTGGTTTTCTTCTGGAATACACTGACTGGCACTTGGAGAGATTATGAGAGGTTATGATAGATTATGATATTTAGATTGAACAGATTCTTCAAATGGCTCAAAGCCTAAGCCATTGCTTTGCAATTCGGAAAGCCTTTTGAAGGTAGTTCAACCACTGGTTTGGAGGCTGCTTTGCCTGGAAAATGCAGAACAGGTGCAGGACCAAGGGCAGCCCGACATTTGTCGAAGGCGTAGAAATTTCAAGTTGCTTTGATGTTCTCTGATACATCTGATACATCATCTATTTTCATAAGCTTCGCATGTTTGAACATGGAACAGCGGCATGTCCATCACGTCCCGCCTTTCCCACCGAAAGCAGTTCTCTCGGCTGTCCAGCTAAGGATTCGAAGAAGGGCATGAATTGCGGAGGCTGCGGCGGAACACCGTGGAACACCGTGAAACACTCAGCACCGGATCCGTCAAAATCATGGTATGCCAGCGCATTTTGATCATTTTGGCCTTGGGCTTATGAAAAATATCTTTGAATAGCGCTATGGATCGCTATGGTATATTCGGATTCGGAAATTTGGAAAGTCATTTGGAATAGATTTGGTCCTTACACGTTTGGATTGTTTTGCACCCGCGTTTCGGATGTCAGCCTGCACTTCTGCTGGAGAGATGAACTTGGTCACCACAGCAGGCCTCGAACTCATGGCTTACCCCCCCGATTTAGGCCCTGAAAACATGACACCCAAACACAGTCCCAGCTTTGACAACTCTCCGAAGAGTTCCGAAGTATTGCACCTGGGGAAAGACCTTGATGGGCCTACACTAGCATTGGTGCAAAACTTAACCAATGCTGAAGCAATCCTCAACCCACCATGCTCTACTGTGGAGATCCGAGGTGCCGAATGATTCACCGAATCGGTGCATCTGGGGTGAAATCTTCAGCAGAAAGGGACCATTGAGGCTCCAACAGCAGCAAAGGCAACTGTTGAGCTGGCTCACCTGGGGCAGTGCAATACCTGGCCCAGCATGGCATGATTCGGCATGTCGGATATGTTGGATTTTTTTCCATGGCAGTTCTTTCAAAAAAATCCAAAGGACATTCTGGGGAAAACTGAGCAACAGGAAATTCTTCAACATGTCTTCGACATTTTTCAAGATTTTTTTGTGTCAAGACGCTGGGGCCTGAGGCGGAAACACAGGAAACGCAGGGAGTGATTTTTTGGGCTGGTGGATTTATCGAAATCACATCGAGTCAATATCAACTTCATGACGTCATGATATATGTCATATATAATCATATATATATGTCAGTCATAAATTGTCATAATATGTCTGTCGCTATATCTGATTCATTCTGATTCAACTTATGTTGTGAAACAACCAATGTTTGAACTGATTTCGCCAAGATTTCCGCCAAGAAACTCCACCGCATATCTTGCAGGCTGCAAGAAGGGTCGCAGGCATTGCACTTGCACCAGATGCTGGGCCTGTCGTGTGTCCATTGCGTCCATCGATGTCCATTGTGTCCTTCCGTCGTGAAAAACTCTACGAATTCTGGATCTGTCTCTGGATCTGGATCAAAATCTGAATCTCTCGCAACTTGACCAACTTTACCCAGCCATGGGAATTCTTTTCCATTGCTTCGCCACGCTTCTGCCTCTCTGTTGTTTTATGGGAATAAAATCGGCCTGCTCACCCGGCTTCATTGAGGGTGGAACCTGTCACAAATCTCTGGCATTGCCGCAGCCCATTCCCCGTTGTTTGACATCCAGCGGCAATAGTCAGTGATAGTCAGTGCAACCGGTGAAGGATATCAGTGCCAACAATTACAGAACAATATACAACGTATGCAACATATATACAACATGTACATGTGTGTATAATACATATATATATATACGATATGCTGGATGTTCTTTCGGACAATGGCCCAGCTTCCCTCTTAGAGACAATGCAGATGGTCTGCAGGATTGGAGCGACCCAAACATGAGAATTTCGATGTTTAACGTTGGTGCGCAGTTCGCAGAACTTCATCTCACATGAACGAAAGAAAATGAAAGAAGTAAGAAGACGTTGACTAGATTGATGACTGATATTGATCGATTGACTTGAGTGATATCTGGTTGGTGGTTTCAACCCCTCTGAAAAATCTTACAGTAGTCAGTTGGGATGATTATTCCCAATATATGGAAAAATAAAAAATGCACCACCAACCAGATATTGATTGGATTAACGACTTTGAGTGATATTGACGTTTTTTTTCTCTTTGCTCCGCCTCGCTGAAGGTCTGGACTTTCATGAAGGGAACCTCCCAGCGTCAGCAGCGTCAGCTGTGCAACCACAAAGGGACGTTCACATGATGATTGCAGATGATTGCAGCAGATGGGTATGGATCAATACCTATTAATACCATTTTTAGGGGAATGAACATCCATTTACCAGCTATTTTGATGTTCACCAGGGGGATAGGGTTTTGACCCATCCCCAGATGACTTGTGCTGTACGTTCCTTCGATCTCGGTAAACAAATTTCGCCGAAATGGCTAAGGGTGGCCTCGGGAATCTGTACACGAATGTTGCCGATGGCTCCCTGCCAGCGGCATAGCAGCGAATCTGAGATGAAGTGGGATACTATATGAGGAGATATCTCAGATATGATCTCAGATATGATCTCAGATATGATCTCAGATATGATGTCAGATATTCTGACTTGCACTTGAACAGAACATGACTGTCGAACAAGTTGCAAGTTGGTGCATGGCAAACCTCGGTTCCTGAACGATGTCGGTCCAATTATCCCATTCCACCACCATTTTCGTCCTTGGAGTTGTTCTTGAAGAGAATCGTCAAGCGGCCAGTTGCCGCATTGTACCTCACGATATCTCACGATTCATCAAGGCAAAACTTAGAAATCTATATAAATCTTAGAAGGATTGCGCAAGTCTTGCCTGAAAATTTCACTCCCACAGCGTCACAGCGCACTCTTGCTTCATCTCCAAAACCAAATGGGGAGAGTTGTAGAACCTGTCGCGACATGGGGCTGTCTTTGCAGCTCAAAGTCGCTGCATAATAAACACACATCGTGACACAAAAAAGCTGCAGATACCTGCATATGATCATAATATCCATATGGATATTGATGATCTTAATCATTAACCATCATAATCATTATATCAATTTATATCATCAAGATCATTACCATAATATTTTCAGATCATAATATCCATCATATATATCCATACACTACGGCACTGTCACTTACGGAGGTGCCATGGCCCCACATGGCCGGCGGGGTGAACCCCACCTTCCAACTGGAGCCAGGCACAACTGGAGCCACAGATCCTGCACCAACAGAATGACAACAGGTCCTGTGGTGAAACAACAACTGTAAGATGATTGATTTTTATCATTGACCTTGCGATTTCAGAAAAAATCCAGAGGCCTTATCATCCAATCATCTTACAACATCTTACAACAACTTCTTTCAGTCCTTGGGACTAGGCCCACTGGCCGTCCCATTGGCGGCTTGTGGATCCGGAGCTGCACCTTCTGAATCCGAGGATTCGGACCTCGAAAAACACAAAAATGAGGATCTGCAATGTACATCTACCATCATATGAGATCATATAATATCTTATAGATGATATGTCATCTAGTAACCATCTAATAGTCATCTAATAATCATCTAATAATCATCTAATAATCATCTAATAATCATCTAATAATCATCTAATAATCATCTAATAATCATCTAATAGTCATCTAATAATCATCTAAAAATCATCTAATAATCATCTAATAATTATCTAAAAATCATCTAATAATCATCTAATAATCATCTAATAATCATATATAATCATATATAATCATATATAATCATATACCATCACATCATATCATTATAATGATTAAATGTAGATCATATAATCATATGGAATCTAAATAATCTAATAATGATGCAATGATATTACATCTAATCATATTAGATTATATCTAATATTACATCTTATAGATTATATGTCATCTAATAATCATATGTAATCATATATAATCATGTATAATCACGTGTGTGTATAATATATATATATATATATAATTATATATACACACACATGCAAGTGCGGGGGGAGGAGGATCGCCACAGAACTCAGAAACACTGATAAGAATCAAGAATCCCTCAATATCTTGGCAGACGTTTTGTTATTTTCCCCAAGAAACCGAGAAACCAAACTTCTTGGTGTTTCTTGTTGGTGCTGCCATTGTTGAGATCTCTTGAGATCTCTGTTATCGATAACGCTGTGCGGCCAAGGTGTTGCCAATATGCCAATGTCTCGATATATCTCGATGTGTCTCGATATATCTCGATGTGTCTCCATGTGTCTCGATGTGTCTCAATATCAATGTAAGTCTCGAACTCTGAAGCAGCCTGCAGCGCAATTTTCAAGATCATTGAACTGCGAGAATGAGTTTCCATCTCGACGTCTTGACACGTCTTGACATGTACAAATGCCGTGGAATATTTGGAAGCTCGAAAGATGGCAAATACACAATGCTTAATGGCGGGAGACAGTGTTCCAACGGCAAGTTTGAGGCGAATGCAGCTTTCAGAGCTTGTTTGGCAAATACTTTATGGAGAAAAACAGCTCCTCACAAACTCTGAGGTTAAAAAAGAAGTGTCTATTTTCAGATATAATTGATATAATTGAGATATATATATATATATTGATATGATATTTCATTGATACAATCATCAATCAATGGATAATCTGCTTGTAGTCTAACCACATCTAACTTCTCTGATAGAAATGGCATTGCCGGCCTGTGGGCTGGACCTCACTGCACTTACTCGACCTGATTTTTCGCGGAGCTTTGTGGAGCTCCAAAATCTCTGCACCGAAACAAGGACGGAGGACTTTTTAACTGGTTGGTGGTGCAATTTTACCATCTTGAAAAATATGAATTAGTCAACGGGTTTTTCATGGTTTTTCATTATCCCATATATTACATATATGAAATGGAAAATAAAATTGATGTTTGAAACCACCAACCAGTGAAGGATTTGAAGGATTTGAAGGAATGTAGAAATGCAGAAACTCTGAAGCTCGTCTCTGACTAGCCTGGATCAGGAAGCTCCAGTGCTCGCCCGTCTCCCTCCACTTTTTTGCCTGGTGTCTTCTCGGACATGGTTTCGGTTTTCCTACAGCGCCTCCCTTCCCAAGTTCTGGAACGAATTAGAGAAAAATATCGAAAAACCGTCCCAATTTTTTGGAACAGCTTTGATCATTCTTTATCATCTGTCGTCAGCAGCTCCACCTCCAGGTTTATACATGCCTCCTTCACTCTTCGCTGCCTACGAGTCTCGCAGACATGTGCCATTTGATCAATTTGATCAACGCAAAGAGAACAGCACAGAATCCATCACTGATCTAATCCGAGTTCGGCACATACAAACAAGGTTCAGGAGAAAATGGGAGAAACAGGCAAGCAACGCAGAACAACTTTGGAATTCGAAATTCCGAAATCAAAAGAAATCGAAACATGTGGCAGTGTGTCAAAACCTTGTACCCCTGGTGAACATCAAAATAGCTGGTAAATGGATGTTCATCCCCCTAAAAATGGTATTAATAGGTATTGATCCATACCCGTGTCAGAGTCTGTCAGAGTCTGTCAGAGTCTGTCAGAGGTTCAACCAGCATCTGCCTCTTCGAGTTCCGCACGTGTGTGCGCGCGATTCCTGGAGGAGAACTTCAGCCGCTGCACCTGTTCCAAAGTGCCAAACAAAACGACAAAACAAAACGAAAAAGACAGCAATGCACCAGCAATGCACCAGCATATCATGCTTGAGAGTCAAGGTATTTGGTTTCAGGGATTCTATATTCTATATGATTGATTCTAATTACATACTTCAAATATACTAGATATGATTAGATATGTCTCGTTTTCTCTTGCCCTAGATTTTTCTGTCACGTTTTCACCGAGTACCCACTGGCGGAATAGCCCTCATGTTCCCCATGTTTTCTGACTCTGCCGCTACCAGCCAGGGTGACCAGCGGATTGTTTCTTTGCACGCTTTCAGCATACCTCCGGTGTTCCATGATCCATTGGTCCATGACACCAAAGATTGCCTGACACTTCACTCACGCACTGACAGTGTTTATCAAAGTTGATATATGAGATCATCATCCCAGAACTTCGTTGAACATCTGTTTATTATCCCAGAAACAACGACATATAAAGACATGGAAACAGCACGGGTCACGCTGGCATCGGTGACAGAACTTCGTCGAGCTTGTCCTGTGACATTTCATTGCAGGTACGGTCGGTTTTCACTCCGTCTTCATTGTCGTTGAGTCATACTACTTCTGAATCCTTTGAAATCTTCTAAATCTTGATGACCGCTTCAAAGACTAAAGCTGGAGAGTCACTAGACATCACTAGACATCACTCGCCAATCGTCCGCTGAATTTTCTTCCATCATCGTCCTGATCCCGTGCAAGTTGAAGCAGCTCAACTGTGCGCTGCTGTAGGTCAACGTCTGCGCTGTCCTCTGAAAGTGGACATCCATGAGGAGTAAAAGCCATGGCAATGCATCGCATCAAAATCATCAAAATCAAACCATCAAAAGCTTCAAAACCATCAAATCTTTTATATAGTTACTATAGTTTGTTAATCTGTGACTCTGAACTTTCTGACCTTTCTGAAGTTTCTTTGTCACAATTTGTGATCTGCACCTGAATTTCCTTCAGGAAGCTGCCGACTTCCCCGGACAAAGCTTCATTTCCGTTCAGGAGCTTCACGGATGCCAGCAGAATGATCGCCTCCGGGTGAAGGTCGGTGGTCCCCAAGCTGTGCGCGGTCCATGATTTGGGGGGTCTTGGGTCAGGGTAAGGTCAGGGTAAGGTCAGCACTTGATCCCATGGCTCCAAAAGGTCAGCAAGCAGCCCGAAAAAGAGCCCTAGCCCTAGCCCTAGTGGCCTTGGTTTGTTGGGAGCCCCTTACGAAGTGCCGATGTAAAGCTTCGAACTTTGCCCGAGGCGTCACGCTGGGTGGCAGCAGGTGCCCGAACTCACCCATCAAATACCTACGGAACGACATGGAACGACATGGAACGACATGGAACGACATGGAACGATGGCCGTGGAGCGTCCATTGTCATCGTGGGGCACGCGCCCAGGCGCAGCAAGGTATCATGAGGAGCTCTCTGAGATGTGAGATTTTGATAAGCCTCTCCAGTCTCCAGGAAACCGGGAAATGCTGATGGTGAAAGAAGCTGAAAGTTTCCCATGAAAAATTATAAAATCGTCATGAGGCAATCATGAAGTAATAATTGAGATAGCCTTGCTGGCAGCGTGTCGCTGCAAACCGTGCTTCTCCTCAAAAAGACATTCTGAGGCAGCAGAATTTACTTCCATGCTCAGTCAATGTGTGGAAGTACTTCCAACTAAAAAAAAAACTGAAGCATCCTCAGCATACATTACCTTACATTAACAACGGATTTCACCCAATTTTTTTCTTACCTTTTTCGTGAAAAACATCATTCCTCAGCAACGGAAATCACCGTCTATTCGAAGCATCTCAGCTGTCTAAGATTGACACTGACTCTGCAGATCCGTCTTCAAAGCCTGTCACGACCTCCCAATGGGCGATCGAATGGGCGCTCAGAAATGTCACCTGAAACCTGGGCACCTGGGCATGATGAACAAACAGATAGGAACAAAAAAGAGGAATGTATATTGTGTGGAAATCATGTTAAGTTATTTTATACATACATTACTGTTACATTACATTATATAATCATTATATTACATTAGATTACATTACATTACATTGTATTGCATTACAGATTACATTACGTTACATTCCATTATATTACGTTACGTTACGTTACGTTACATTACATTACGTTACGTTACATTACATTACATTACACTACACTACATTACACTACATACATACATATATACATATGACATATATATATATACATACATATTACAAGTTGTAAGTATCTAGATGTATCTAGCATCTATGCAACATATCTATGTACATTCTGTGCAAAGTTCTTCCGCTGAAACGGATCGAGGAAAATTGTCTAAAGAAGATCATCGCGGGACCTGCACGACTCGATACCAAACATCATCTGCAACCTCACTGAAAGAACACTGAAAGTACACTGCAGATCGTCAATTTGTTTCACTTTTCGAGCATTCTCAAGTATCAACTTGCTAGTGAAGCACCTGAGATTTTGCTCTTGGTACATTTCACCACCATGTCTCACAACATGTCACGACGTGTCTCACAACGTGTCTCACGACATGTCGTGTCTGAGGAATCTGCGGCGTCCGGAGCACTCTCCAACATCTTGAAGACCACCTCAAGGCATTGCTGGCGTAGCCGTGAGCCGTGCCGTGCTAACCATGTGCCAAGGCTTCCAAGGACAGAGCATCCACGTACCAACCGAAATTCGGAGCGTTCTTCTCTGCCAAGATGGCAATCTTCAGAACCAGCTCCTTGACATCATCGGGGAAAAAAAAACATGAGCCAATTCATTGAGATCTGTTGGTAGGGACAAACAACAATATCCCCTGCCGTCTCTGGCGAGTCGCAAGTTCTGAATAGCCAATGTAGTGCAAGGGTGTGTATGTATATATATATATGTGTGTGTATGTTGTATAGTATTTCTTATATATTATGAGATCATATGTTTTTATTATGTATATATATATATCGAATTGTCTGGTGGTCAACTGATGCTCAATTTTTTCAGTGAAACTCATTGGAAAATGCGGCAGTCCGGCCAAACTGCCAAGAACAGAGCCAGCGTCAAACATAAGTCAATGATGCCGGTACTGTATATATATATATATTATTATATATTCATACATATTCAGATGACGTTCACAAATGTTCCCGGCTGTCTCCTCTTGTAGCAAGCTATCGCTGGCACCCAGAATCTCCAGGAGCTCATCGACAATTTGCTGCCAATTCTCCGGCCTTCACCAGTTTTGGATGTAGAAAAATGGTTGGAAGAAATGTGGTAAAAATAAGGTAACTGTGGGCAAAACTTCCCCAGTCCATTGCTGATAAATTCACTTTGTTCTGCCGTTCTAGACGAATCTAGGAGAATATGACACACAGCTTGCCTGCACAATGCATAGAGGAGATTCAGAGCCTTCCCAAACCACGTGAACCACGTGAACCACGTGAACCACGTGAATCACGTGCCATGACAGCGTGAAATCTGAACAGAGCTTCACAATCCTGGGGAAAAGCAACAAATTTGAAGAGCAAGAGTCACATCTGCCACTTGTGCCTGTCTTCTAATTGAAATGTCGGTTTCGTGCATCTTGTCCAGGATTTGATTCTTATACCTCCAGCCACATCGAGTCTCTGGAAGATCTCTTTTGATCATGATGCTGCTAATTTTCTGCTCTGCTTCTGCCTGTCCAGATATTCATGGGTCGAGAGGTTTGTCGCCAGTCTCGCCATAGTTTCCAGACCCAAATACCTCCGCGCAAAGATGACTTCCCATGAAAATCATGAAAAATTGAGGACGTAACAACTTGGTGCCAGCTATGAGTTGGATTGTGCTTGGTTCATGTTACATCATGTTACATCATGTTACATCATGTTACATCATGTTACATCTACGCGCCCAGCTATGCCCTTCTTGTCTTTCTGGACGAATACAGTTTGGTCCAGGAATCGACGCCGAGTAGATCAAGTGATGATTGTAGTGAAACAGCAACAGGCGTTGCGTTGCGGCGCGTTCGTTTCCTCCGTTTCACTTTTCTCGTTGCACTCGACCGTTTTCGAAGTTCGCATGAGTTATCCTAAGTTTTCCAGAAAGAGTGTCCCAAATGTGGCCTTTCTGACAGTCCTTCAGTACAGTTTTGCTAGCCTACAGGCCTACAGTAGTGGTTCTTAAAGTCCTTTCTGCTGCTTTCCTTTGCTTTGATTGCATGCTTGCTATATCTTGTTATTGCTGTTTGACCATTTGCTTTCTCTGAGCTCCTGCTTTCCTTTTTCCCAGGAAAAATGGATAGGTGTTTGGTGAATCATTGAAAAATGATTGACTGGAATTTAGAGTCAGAGTCTCAAACTGCTAACGTAGGACATGCAGCATCCAGCATCTACCATTTACTCTCTCTAAACCTGTACTTCAGTCTTGCATTTTTTGGTCACACCATCAAACTTTTCGGCCCACCTGATGTTTGGGTCTGTTGAAGACAAGAAGATCCCAAGCAGGCCAGCAGCTGTTTTCATTGTCTCTGGGTCAGCTGTGTCCTGCAATGAGGAAAGGGAAGCAATGGGAAGCAAGAAAAACATGTCGAAAAGGCGAAAAACAACAATGTAACAAGAAATAACAAGATATGTTACAAGATTATGTTACACCACATTCCCGATTTTTGCGGGATATTCTAATCAAAGTACGTAGCCTCCACATCGCTTCAAAGTACGTGTGACACCAGCGAATAGTGTTGAAGAGTGCGGGGATGCTGGGCAAAGACGGACAAAGTACACCAGTGAAAGGTCAGAGGCATTTTTTGCTGCTCAGAATGGACTTCCAAGATGCTTTGGAAGCCTAAACGATCTAAATGTCTGACTAAAAAAAACTACCAGAATATGATCACTTGAGAAGTTCTTGAAGAAACGAGACGAGCATTGTGGGTTTTTTTCCTTTCTTTTTAGCCTTTCTGAATGCTCAAGTTCCCCAAGGCTCGGGCCTCCAGATGAATCATCAAATTCATGGCCTGGCGAGGCCAATGGACTTAGCTATGCTTAGCTATACATATTATGATGCCACTACACTCTCCGAGTCTCATGTGACGTTCAAAAGATCCACTACCTGCGAGGTCTGCGGCATGTCGCTCGCAGGGTTTTGAAAGTACAGAGTACTCTACAGTATTGGCAAACTAGGTGTGCTGAATATATTTTTTATATTATGTATGTATACAGTATCTACATATGGTATCCATACATGGTATCTATATATTATGATATCTATATGTGTGTAATCTAATATTCAAATATATATATATATATATATTCCATATGATTCCCACCAGCGGAGCTTGGCTTTTCAGCCAGCCTCAAAAAGGATGGCGTGTTCAGCATTGGAGCGGTTTTGACGCTCCGCATCCACCTAAACATAGGAGAAAGGCCGTGCCACAATTCCGAGAAGTTGTCCTTGTGACTTTTCAATTCATCACATGGAGGTGTCCTAAAATGGGGGGACCCCTGGTCATCATCCAGCTATTAGAGAACGGGATTTTCCATGAAATAAACATAAATAAACCATCCAGCGATATATTGGGTATTCCCCCATTTATAGAACCCCCCATATGTTTCATCACATGTTTGAGGTATCTTGACGTGGCCTTGCTTCTCTTTTTGCCGGGGCCTTGGCGAATGTGGCGCAATTTGAGAGGACTCAAGGCTCAGAGGCCCATGGATTTTGAAGTCACTATACCCTCCAGTACCATGACGACCCTGCCGGTTGGAAGACCCTGTGTCCACTAAAAATGGCATATTTTCAGGGTCTATGTGAATTTACAGATGGTAAAACAATATAATACAGGGGAGCATCAGTTATGTTCCATTGTTGCTTTATCATCCATCAAGTAGTATCCATTGTTATTATCATTTATTCTCCATAGTTTTACTTTTCATTTACCCTCTGGTTATTTAACATAGCCATGGAAAATGGCCCATTTCTAGATGGTTTACCTATTAATATCTATTAATAGCATGGTGATTTTCCATGGCAAACTGTTAGTCATAACCAGATGGTATCCATTTTTCACATCACAAAAATCCAACGGCCATTGGCAGCGCCTGGTGGGGGCGCCGGAGTTCTCTGTGAGGATGGCTTGGCCAAGATGCTCTGCAGCATCACATTCATCCGGTGCCTCGAATAAAATTCGGTGAAACATGGTGGTCCATGATTGATTTTATGGGAAGAACTTGAAAATCTTGAAACATCTTGGTTGAAACATCTTGGTTGAAACAATCCAAAGTATCCCAAATTAACAACCAGTAACAACCGCTGATCTTGCAAAACATCTTGAAACCAAGGAATTCACGGATTTAAAAAATATGTAGGATCACTACATGGGTGAGCAGAAAGTGCCTATGCTGCGATTATCAGTGGGAAATCAAGGGCTGGACAACAGCTCTGCGTCGAACATGGAGACAGGAAAGAATTGCCTGGCCGTTGGAATCATTCAAAGCGTGGAGCATCGTGGAGCACAGCAGCACGGCAAGGCTATGTGAAGGCTATGTGCTGACATTTCAACTCATGTCAACTGACACATGTCTGAAATGAGAAAATCGCCAGCACCACAAGATTCTAAGAAGTTTCGTCTGAAGCCAGGGAGCAGGTACATGATAGTACCTTCGAAGCAGGTCAGGTCCTTTGTCCACGAAGTTATTGGATGTGAAATATGATACCCTCTGGTAAACATACAAAAAACTATGGAAAATCACCATATGTTTAATGGGTAAATCAACTATTTCGACTGGGTCATTTTCTCATTAGCTACGTTAGTCACTAAACCAGAGGGTACATCCCATTAAAATCACGATTTTGTTGGTTAAAGCCCATTAAACCACCATGAAACCACCATTTTCCTATGGTTTTCTGATGGTTTTCCACCATGAAACCAGGGCACTCATAGAATTCAGGACAATCCCCTTGGACCAGGCTGGCTAAGCACTGGCACACAGGTGGCACCACTTCTGCCCACGCCTGGACCTCGCTTTGCGGCAGCAGAGATCCAAAGATACAGATTTTTCCATCTATCTACATATAATATCATATATATATCATATAATATCATATATTATAATCACATCATATTACAATATATTACATCTATCTCCCGGATATCTACAGATTCTTCAAGTCGCGAAAAACTAGAAGAGTACTCTTTCTAGATACTCAGAGTACTTTTTCAGTGAAATTCGCATGGCCTTTCGCCACCAAAAAAAAAACGGCAGCACTGAGGGATGCACGGGATATTTGCCCATCTCTAGGATTCCGAGCATGAAGCCACTGACAGACCTAGTGACATGTGTCATGGTCCTGGTATTGTCAGCATGGAAAAAAAATCTCAGAGATTTGGCTACCCTTCTGAATAGATTTCAATAAATCAAAGATGATCAAAGTTTTTTTGCTCAGCACGTGTAACACGTTTTTTTTGTTAGGGACTTACCACAGAGGCCTCTTTGCAAACTCAGGCAGGCACGTTAAAAGACCAATATCTCGCTCGAGGAATAGAGCAGCAAGCTTCTTTGACCATATCTGGTAGCACCGAAAATGTGTTTTGAAATGCCGTTTGAAATGGAAACGAAGACCTGGTGACCTGTTGAGACCGTTTTTGCTTTTGAAACTGCTAAAAAAACCATCTTAAGGAGGAGACGTCTGGCTTCAGGCCATCATTTTCCTGTGGAAAGTTGGACGCAACTTCTGCAACAACTCTGCAACAACTCTGCAACTTTTGCTGTCACAGTTTTCTCAGTCCTTTCTGTATAGTCTCAGCAAACAAATGCACGCTTTTCGCTTAATGTACGGTGACAGCCTTGGCCCACGGCACGGATATGGCACGGATTCTCTGGATTTCTCTGGACTCTAGACGTGTCACCAAGAAACGCGTTGGACTGTGACAAAAGCATCTTGGATATGTCAGAGAAAAGGTTGTCGGCAAACTCAGGACCTGACAAATTGTATAAAAATTGACATACCATTTCTGGTTGGTGGTTTTAACCATCTTGAAAAATATGAAAGTCAATGGGAAGGATTATCCCATATATTATGGAAAAAAAATGTTCCAAACCACCAACCAGATTTGTTTATACCATCCACATGACAATGACAGGCTCAAGATGCTCCCGCAATATCCGCAATTCGCCTCCAATATTGGCCACCGTGTTCAGGGCCAATGCAGCCATGTGCTGGGCGCGCTTGGAAGGTCATGCCGAGAAAAAAGCGCTATATGCACTGTGGTTTCGGGTTCCATTGGTTGCATCAAACTTGCACTTGACATCACTTGACATCACTTGACAAAGCCTTACTTCGCTCATTTTCATGATTTAAAATGGTACCTGTCTGCCTGTCTACGCACGTAGAAAACAATTGTTCACATGTTTTTTTTGAAGCACTGCCCCTGCCTCATTGCCAGATGCCATGTCTGTCTTCACGCTGTTCACGATCATGCGCACCATGTCGTTGTTGTCAGCAAGAAGCAGAGAAGTGGCCAAATACCTAGCGCGCTCCAAAGGTGGTGAACTGCTGGCGAATGCTGGAGAATGTGGGCATCAAAAATGCTGGAAAACATCTTCGAAATCTGCGAAAATCTTCCAACATCGAAGTTTCTCTGAGTTCAGCTGATAGTTTCTGATAGTTGATTGATAGTTGATTGATAGTTGATTGGATGTTGATGTTGTTGGGGGCTATCAGCTGAGTGCAGTGCCCGGCAGTCTTCTCACTGAATTTCGATGCGGAGCAGAGCTCCACAGCCTCGACGCAAAAACACGGCGTACACAGCGTACCGCGCAACGCTGAACCGCTGTGCCACGGCCGGACCTGGAAGTGTCCAAAGTCGATGTCGTAGCCCAGCATGTAAGCATACAGCAGCTTCCAGACGTACCTGAAAATAAAATAAATAAACCAATGATAAAAACCATGATTCAGTAATATTCAATATCTGAACCATTTTGAATCAAAGGATTGCTTAGCATGATGTTCATATTTATACATAAAATATATATTAATATACATTCTATAATATAATATAATATAATATAATAGAATAGAATATAATATAATATAATATAATATAATATATGTATATATATTATGTATACATGTTGTTTGAGCTTGTAAATGTTCCATTCTTTCATGACTTCCGATTTCCAGTGTGCCCTCAAGCGCACTTTTTCTTGTCATAGCCCGAGAGGGATTTGGGATTTGCAAATTTCAAGCGAATCTTCGACAACTCCTCGCAGCAGCAGTTTCGAAACTTCTGCTTGAGTCAAGCAGCGCAAGATACATTCTAAAAGGCCAAAATAATCCAAAATAATCCAAAATATGTTTTGCGAGCAGAAAACAAGAACTCAAACACTTCGAAATGAGCGAAAGAGAAGGTTCTCTTCGGCTGAAGAGAAGTTAAAAAGCTGCTTCAATTGGTGCTACAATCTGTACAAAGCCTGCCTTGTCAACCCTCTGCTGCTCTTGTTCTTTCGTCTGGCAGTTTCGTATGTCAGCAATAAAGACCTGGCCGGCAGCAAATCATGCGACGAATGCCGCAATGCTGTGCGCCCCCTAAGGTCAGTTCCAAGTCATGCTCAAATAGTCACGGCTTTTGCTTGATGCATCTGAGCATCAGTGCCACGACTAAAATCATCAGAAATTTCCCAGCAATCACAGTATTGTGCATGTGCAAACATCTAAATGAGATGCTTCAGATGCTTCAAATGCTGAGTTAAGAAATGAAGTTGTTTTTTTGCATATCAAAATTCATTGCCGGAATTCTTCCCTTGTCAATTGTGTCGGTATCACCTGCAGGCCCTTCATGTGGCTTGGGGAATCGAAGCCCAAGGTCTCTTGGGCTCCCCGCATGGCAGCCTTGGACCATGGACATCCATGCAGCCATGCAGCCATGCACCACAACTGGATCCGCATCAACTGGATCCACAACTGGATCCACTGAGTCTCCGGGCCTTGACATTCTTCATGACTCAAAACACCTCACGTCACGTCGGTTGAACACACGAAAAAATTCTGCAGTCTGGTTGAAAGACGTTCTCATTGTGCGTTAGAAACAATCGTGATACCATATCATACATTATCATACATTATCATACATTATCATACCATTTATGGTGTGTTGTCTCTGTGTCGCATTTCTGTATGGCTTTTCTCTTTTCATCGTTTCGGGCCTGGCGGCCAGCTATGGGCACAATCTATGGAACATCCGCATCGCGTCTGGAAATCGCGACCCAAGTTGTCGGTGCTAAAATCCTCTCGCAATTTTCATGTGGCTTCAAAAAAACATAGGACAAGAGAAGTTTCTTAAATGGCTAAACTTAAATCTCAGAATCATCTTAGACTTCACAACCACGGACATGAAGGGAATGAAGCACAAAATAAAGTCATGAAGTTCTGAGTGCTGGAGCTACAGGCCTTTGAACCTAAATAAGCTTCCGCCAAGAGAAGGATTCAGCTGTCAAAATGGTCAAGACTCTCTACAGGCTCGCTATGGTGAGGCCAAAAATCATGAGAGATCACAACCGTTCAGCGTTTCAACGACTTCACAGGAGCTTTTCTTGTCTCTTGCAGCGGTCCACTGCTATTGCGCTCAGATTCACTTGCTCAAGTTCTTCATGAGGTAGTTGTAGGCCTGTCAGAGTGTTCGACTACATTTCTCCACATCCCATGACACGTTTGACATGTCCTTAGCTCAACATGTCGCAGCAAAATCAAGGGAAATCATGCCAATCCGCTCCTCGCCCTCTTCACCAAAGTCCACGACTGCCACGCAGCTTGTGCCAACTACCTGGCAAAATTCAGAAATAGTTGAAATAGTTCCATATTGTTTCACTATGTTTCATATGAGAGCTGCAAATCAGCTTGCCACCTGCCTTCCTAGGAAGACCGTCCTTGTCGATCTTGCAAAGGCCTTCACATACCACATGCATCCACACGCACACTCCGATCAAACTCAATATGTAGGACAATGTAGGACCTACTCCAAACCTGCGAAGCAACTGGAGACGGGTCGCCTGCCCATTCACCCAAGCTCTTGTTGTCAGGCACGTCAACAACAGGCACGTTCTTTTCCAAGCACAGGCCCTGTCAGTAGGAGCACTGCTGTCACTAGCTGAACATTCTGAACGTTCTCACAATTCTCTACGCATTTCTAGTCCTTTCTACCATTTCTATGCCACGCGCTTTTGCGATGTTTGTTCAATGCTTGTCCCACTTGTCCCACTTCGCTCTCACAAGGCGGACACGTGTCACGCGGGTCATGCAGCCTGGATCAGCTTCTTGTAGGTGGCCTCGTTGCAAGACTCTGCCAGGAACACGACCTGGGCCTTGCAAGCTTCGATGTGCTTGGCCACCTGGTCGAAAATGAAGAATCAGAACATCAGAACATCAGAACCTCTGAGTTCTGAGCACGCTCTGTGGAAATCATGCTGTCACCAACAAAACAAGTGAAAATTGATATGAAAACATGTGCGAATTCATGCGAATTCCATCAAGATCCACAACGTGCAGACCACTCTCGAAATACCAAAACATGGCCTGATCCACTAGAATACTTCTTTCAACAGAGAAAAAAAAACTTACAGTTGCACTATGTCACTATGTCACTATGTTGCACTGACTCTGCCTCATGCAGACCGCGGATGACACCATCAACCTGGAGGGCCCGCTTGAGGACCCCTCGCACAGCTCCGTTCATATCGGTCACCTTCGCAATCAGAGCAAACATGCTAAACGATGCTCAATGTATGTGAGCGGCAGATTATTGCGGATTCTTGCCAATTGTTGCCGTTGCAGAGTCATCAGATTCACCAAATGTTGCTTTGAACATCTTTGAAATTATTGAAGTTGCTGCCTCCTCTTCCTTCTCGGGCTCAGGAGCCATGGTCTCCTCTTCAAGTTGTTCCGCCATGGCCTGTGAGTTCACATCTAAAGCTGGCAAATCTGGCAAATCTGGCGCGCACAAGGTCGCACTCAAATATCTCAGAACTGCAGAAACCAACCTCAAAAAAGTGCGAGCAGCTGTGGTGTGGTTTGCTAAGAGACGTTCCTATTTTGAGCCGAGATCACCACATCGGCAACGCTCAGTTTACACATGCCCAGCTACTCGGGTTGTAAACCCCAACTTGTTCAACGAGGACTGCAGAGATTAGCACCCCACAACCCATACAGGTGCCCTGTCAAGGCACAGCTTCACAGGAGCTTTTCTTGTCTCTTGCAGCGGTCCACTGCTATTGCGCTCAGATTCACTTGCTCAAGTTCTTCATGAGGTAGTTGTAGGCCTGTCAGAGTGTTCGACTACATTTCTCCACATCCCATGACACGTTTGACATGTCCTTAGCTCAACATGTCGCAGCAAAATCAAGGGAAATCATGCCAATCCGCTCCTCGCCCTCTTCACCAAAGTCCACGACTGCCACGCAGCTTGTGCCAACTACCTGGCAAAATTCAGAAATAGTTGAAATAGTTCCATATTGTTTCACTATGTTTCATATGAGAGCTGCAAATCAGCTTGCCACCTGCCTTCCTAGGAAGACCGTCCTTGTCGATCTTGCAAAGGCCTTCACATACCACATGCATCCACACGCACACTCCGATCAAACTCAATATGTAGGACAATGTAGGACCTACTCCAAACCTGCGAAGCAACTGGAGACGGGTCGCCTGCCCATTCACCCAAGCTCTTGTTGTCAGGCACGTCAACAACAGGCACGTTCTTTTCCAAGCACAGGCCCTGTCAGTAGGAGCACTGCTGTCACTAGCTGAACATTCTGAACGTTCTCACAATTCTCTACGCATTTCTAGTCCTTTCTACCATTTCTATGCCACGCGCTTTTGTGATGTTTGTTCAATGCTTGTCCCACTTGTCCCACTTCGCTCTCACAAGGCGGACACGTGTCACGCGGGTCATGCAGCCTGGATCAGCTTCTTGTAGGTGGCCTCGTTGCAAGACTCTGCCAGGAACACGACCTGGGCCTTGCAAGCTTCGATGTGCTTGGCCACCTGGTCGAAAATGAAGAATCAGAACATCAGAACATCAGAACCTCTGAGTTCTGAGCACACTCTGTGGAAATCATGCTGTCACCAACAAAACAAGTGAAAATTGATATGAAAACATGTGCGAATTCGTGCGAATTCATGCGAATTCCATCAAGATCCACAACGTGCAGACCACTCTCGAAATACCAAAACATGGCCTGATCCACTAGAATACTTCTTTCAACAGAAAAAAAAACTTACAGTTGCACTATGTCACTATGTCACTATGTTGCACTGACTCTGCCTCATGCAGACCGCGGATGACACCATCAACCTGGAGGGCCCGCTTGAGGACCCCTCGCACAGCTCCGTTCATATCGGTCACCTTCGCAATCAGAGCAAACATGCTAAACGATGCTCAATGTATGTGAGCGGCAGATTATTGCGGATTCTTGCCAATTGTTGCCGTTCCAGAGTCATCAGATTCACCAAATGTTGCTTTGAACATCTTTGAAATTATTGAAGTTGCTGCCTCCTCTTCCTTCTCGGGCTCAGGAGCCATGGTCTCCTCTTCAAGTTGTTCCGCCATGGCCTGTGAGTTCACATCTAAAGCTGGCAAATCTGGCAAATCTGGCGCGCACAAGGTCGCACTCAAATATCTCAGAACTGCAGAAACCAACCTCAAAAAAGTGCGAGCAGCTGTGGTGTGGTTTGCTAAGAGACGTTCCTATTTTGAGCCGAGATCACCACATCGGCAACGCTCAGTTTACACGTGCTGTAGGACTTCTGCTAGAGGTCTGACCAAAACGGGTTGGCAGCGTGTTATGGCACTTTTCCGATCGCTTCAGATGCTCACAGCATCACTCGCATCTTCACTCCTGACACCAGGTAGGAGCTCAAAAGACTGCTTGACATTTCTTCCTTTTCACATCAGCTCAAAACAGCTCAAAACAGTCTTAAAACAGAGTTGAAATGATGCAAAGCGATGCCCGCACCATTCTTCCAGATGAACTCTGGATGTTTCTCCAGGCTTTGCCGCCTATCCTCCACCTGCGGAAATCTTCTGCCCAGACTCATGAAAACCGATCAACATGGATCTACTTCGATCAAGTTGGTCTTGTATGATCTGCATATGATCTCTATTATGACCTGTACTTTCGCAGTGTTCCGCAAAGATTAGAGTCAGTACCCGGAGCGACAGCCTCCTCCTGCTGCTCCAGTTCCTCCACTATTCGCTCCCACCTGCGCAACAGAATATGTGCACTTTTTTGTGGCCATATTGTGCACTATATTGTACTATACTTAACTCTGAAAACCTCAAACCTCAGAGAATCTGAGCCAAATTGAGGCAAGCATCTTTTGGTAATCGTCAAAGCTCTTCACCTAGCAGGTCACAGCGACTATGGAGCACGAATCTGTGCGGAGTCATGCCAGCGGGTGCAACAGGTGCAAGGGGCCTTGCTCTTTGCAATCGTTTGGTCCTGCAATCGCTTCGCATCCAACGAAACCAAGATTCAGACTCCGACTTTGAGATTGCAGGAATATCTAATTCATCCAAACCAATATATTCAGCGAGTTCTTCAGGACTCTTTTGGATTCTTTGCATCTCATGTTGAATATCAGCGCTCACCTCAGCGAAGGGTGGTCTCATGGCGCGGACGACCTCCAGACAAAATGCTACAAAGCTCTTTGGAAAGCACAGATGGCCGTTCTGCTTCAGAACCCAATTCACTCAAAAAAAAAACGCGTTGCAAAGGGACGCCTCTTCCATGTCGAAGTTGCTCTCTTTGACCACAGCCTCAGATCTGCTGGTGTGGCGATGATTCGGATCAGAAAACACTCCCCAAGTCCCTCTCCTGCGTCATTTTGTCCTCAGCTTCCCCTGGCCTCACAGTGCGTATCGTGACATTAATTGACAAACCTGGAGGATCTTCATACAGTGCATGTACTCTGCATTCATTTCTTCTTCCTCTTCCTCCTCCTCCTCCTCTTCTTATTTGTTTTTTTCTTTCTGATACGTCTGTCATCAGTTTGCGGAATGGATAGCATGTCTCATCACATTCAGTTTTCAAATGGAACAGGTGTGACATTCACTTGGTTCTTTTCTCAAAGTCAGCTGCACGAAAAATGAACGTCGCAACGAGGATACCGTGCCCTAGGCCTCTTCGGTGCCATAGCATGTGCTGCGATGATGGCCTCAAGGCTGACCCGGCAGCCGGGATGTCTAGCGCAACGGTGATGAGAATTAGTAATTGCGGTATGGTCATTATTAAAGGTACAATTCTAGACTACTATACTATACTTAGTCTATACTTAGTGCATCTATTACATCTTATTGCTACAATTATTGCGGTAAGTCATGATCATGATCGTGATCATATAAGTCTTCAGCCTGAACTCCGTATAAACTGTAGACTCTTTAGCCTTTCGTGCCCTTTCGGCAGATTCTATATGTTCCAAGAACGCTCTCGTACGCAAATCACGCAGCAATACAACAATGAAAACCGTACACAACGTTCTTCTTGTGCATGATGTTGTATAGTTATAAGACGGATGTTGAAAATTGTCATCAAATCAATTCCGATAGCATCTCTTCTCTACTCTTCTGCACCACTTGATGCTCCATTTAAGGCATCGACGCCCAAACGCCGGAAGCCCCGCTTCGTTGCCATTTCTTCAGCCGTCAGACCGTGCTGGTTGGTCACTGCAGCAGGCGCAAAGGCCTCTAGCAAGATCAAGTTTTGCCAAGAAGAAACGATCTCACAATACAGGAAGCACCCCTAAACCCTGGATTACGAAGGCAATTCCCTGCTCGAGAGATCTGCAACATGATACGGGGCCTGTGACATAATCATGAGGTATTGTCTGTACATGTACTGAGAAGTCTAGGGAACCAAAAGCCCTTCACCCCCGTCTACCCACTATTTTTCAACCACCCATATTTTTTGTGAAGCACGCAGGGTGACTCTTCAAACCCAAAGGGGTTCTGTCTTGCACATACTTTTCACCCATATACTTTTCACCCAGAGACTCTTCACCCAGAGACTCTTCCCCCAGAAACTCTTCTTGCACATACTTTTCACCCATATACTTTTCACCCAGAGACTCTTCACCCAGAGACTCTTCCCCCAGAAACTCTTCTTGCATAGATTTCTCACCCAGAGACTCTTCACCCAGAAACTCTTCTTGCACATACTTCCCCCCATATACTTTTCACCCAGAGACTCTTCACCCAGAAACTCTTCTTGCACATACTTTTCACTCATATACTTTTCACCCAGAGACTCTTCACCCAGAAATTTTCTTGCACATACTTTTCACCCAGAGACTCTTCACCCAGAAACTCTTCTTGCACATACTTTCACCCATAGACTTTTCACCCACAGACTCTTCACCCAGAAACCCTTCTTGCACATACTTTTCACCATATACTTTCACCCAGAGACTCTTCACCCAGAAACTCTTCTTGCACAGACTTTTCACCCAGAAACTCTTCTTGCACATACTTTTCACCCAGAGACTCTTCACCCACAGATTTTTCACCCAGAGACTCTTCACCCAGAAACTCTTCTTGCACAGACTTTTCACCCATAGACTCTTCACCCAGAAACTCTTCTTGCACGTACGTTTCACCCATATACTTTTCACCCAGAGACTCTTCACCCAGAAACTCTTCTTGCACACACTTTTCACCCATATACTTTTCACCCAGAGACTCTTCACCCAGAAATTTTCTTGCACATACTTTTCACCCAGAGACTCTTCACCCAGAAACTCTTCTTACACAGGGCCTTGGGGAACGTGACTTCTTTCTGACGGCTACTATTTCTTCTTTGTCCGTGCTTGTTTGTTAGGTTCCCTCTGTGGGGAACACCGCCTCCTTCAATAACATCTGTATATATGTATATAAGACAATATGTCATATGTCTATATATATCTCTCTCTATCTATCTATCTATCTATCTATCTAGCTACCTACATATAACCAACAGATGTCTTCTGCAGGGATGAAGTGACATGGTTTGCCATTGTGCCTATACCAAGCTGCCTCAAGATGCCAGGATCATAACACAGAATATATCATAATAATTCATCATACATCATTATCATAATTCAAAAGAGACATACTAAGAAAACCGTGCAAACTCAAGATCAAACACAAGAATTGCACAGACGTTGTGTCACTTCCTTTTCACAGGAGCAAGGTGTACAAGGCAAGGGAAACAAGCTGCCCATCTCTCTCCTCTGGGCGGTGGCACAACAGTGCCCACACCTCAAGATAGAAGTCACGTTCCCACGCCCAGGTGACACCTTTGTGCCACCAGCTCTTCAAAGTCAGTGGATCCGTGTAGCCTCGAGGCCGGGTCAGGTCCCCCAAACAAACCCGACAAACATCGTGTGTATGTAGTTGAGGTCCGGGCGGATCCAGCCGTCATCTGGTAACAGTCGGAGATCCGCTTGGTAAGCCTGTCGGGGCAGTACGGAATAACTGCCGTGCACCCGTCGGGCGCATCGGCTTCTTGGGCTGTTTGCCCCCCCCTCGCCTGGCACACCTCCGCGGAGGCATAGACCCATCCATGGG